CGGGCTGAGTCCACCACAGATGAGGAAAAGGAGGGCGAGCCCCTGCTTCGGCGAGCGAAGGAGGATTCCGCCAGCCACAACGGTGGTGCGTCATCTGCGGCCCAGTCCTCGACCCCCGCCCCCGTGTACGGAACACAACCACCCGATATCGACATCGACTCCGCAGCCGACGGTCTCGACGGCCTCGACTAAGCGAACGAGGTCGCGCAGACGAAGAAGAGGAGCCGACGAGGGAGAGGGTGGAGAAGTTATTTATTATATTCGTTCGAACGTTACAGCCGCAGCGCGAGGCTTCACTCTACGGGTGGGTGGTGGCAGCAAGCCACCAATAAACGCAAGTGTTGCAACATCAAACTTGAGAGTGTACGGTCAGGTTCGTTTCGGTCGAACGTTCTTTACAGAACCAAAAAGGCAACGTTGCCTTTTTATTCGCTCAATGAGGGCTGCTTGCTCACAGGTGCTGCTGCGGTCGGGGCAACTCGCCATAGCGGACACGATACCTGCGCGGGGTTGATGAGGGGTTCAGCAAACCTTTTCTTTCTATCTCTGGTGGAGGCTTGCATGAGGCTAGTACGGTACCTCTCGTAGACGTCTGGCCGCATCTCGACGCTCAAGCGTGTGCGGCCAGCCACTTGGTAGTCGGGCTGTACGGTGCGCACGCGGCCACCGTGGCTGGTCAGGAACTCCAGCCGCTCCTGCTCGTTCTCGCCCAGAAGAAGCTCGTACACTGTGGGCCGGCGGAGATGGAGGCACATGGTGCAGTGGGTGAGAAGAGAAGAACAAAGAAAACTCGAGCCACAAGACAAAGGCGTAAGACGCACCTCGCTTCCGTTCTGGATAGAGCGCCTGTAGCCGCTGATCGATGGCTTGCAGTAGGTCATCGCACCCCGCGCCTGAACGGAAGACTAAGGTGAGCAATCGGGGGGCTCGTGCAGGGCACAAAACGGTAAAACCGCTCAGACGCACCGGTGCGGGCCGAGATGGGGAAGATGCGCTTCCCTAAGACACGCTGCGTGGTGACCAGGCTGTCCAGACGAGCGTCATCTGAAGTTGGGTGTTAGTGGGCGTGGTCGAGGCATCGAGACCGACGGGAAGGTGCTTGAAAGAGGGGCGGGGCGCACCCATGAGGTCGATTTTGTTCCACACTTCGAGGTGCTGAGTGTCGGGGTCCGTGTCCAGCCCTATTTCCTTCATGACCTTATGCACGTTGGCCTTTTGCATCTCCGTTTCAGCCTGTGTGTGTGTGTGTGTGTGTGTGTGTGTGTGTGTGTGTGTGTGTGTGTGTGTGTGTGGTGACTTGTGCCACATGCCAAGCAAGGGAAGAGGTCGTTGCCTATCTATAACTGGAGAGCACGTACGTTGGTTATATCGCGGACGTGGAGGAGGACGTCGGCCGAACCGATTTCCTCCAGCGTCGAGTGGAAAGGGGCGACCAGGCCATGAGGAAGGTTCGATATGAAGCCTGCAACAACCGCGCTGTTAACACTAAAATTAAGGCCCAGCCACATCAAGGAGGGCAGCGCGGATGCCGTACCAACGGTGTCGGCAGCGAGAGCGCAGCACCCGGACGGGAGTTCAATCCTGATCGCCACACGGTTATCAAAAAAAGCAAAGCGGTCGCACCGATCAGACGAAGGAGGAAAACGCACTTGCGCATGAATGTGTGCAAGGATGCAAAGAGTTGATTCTGGCTCACGAGCGAGGTCCCGCACAATCGATTCAGCAGTGCCGATTTGCCTGTAGCGACGCCGACGATGAGAGTTTTCTCTGCAACGACCGCGAACGCCAAGGCGCGTGGACGTTTGGTGTGGGGAGGGGTAGGGGCAATACCAGCGTTGGTGTATCCGAGAATAGCGATTGTGGGGATGTCCTGCTTCTTCCTTGATTCGCGGTGGAGCTTCCTCGTTTTCTGCAGCACCTCCAGTCGGGCTTTGATCTTCTTTTCGCGGACGACCAGATGACGCCTGGGACCACGTCGCACGGATTAGCGGGTTTGGTTACACGATGGTTGGCTTGCCGTTTACCGCTCGATCTCTAGGTTGGTCTCTCCTGCGCCCGAAAGGAAGGCGCCGCCTCCTCGCTGCTGCGCCAAGTGCTTGGACTCCATCGCCGACTTGAGGTGCACGCTCTTATAGGCCAGACCCGCGAGCTCGACCTGCATGGACGGTGCGCCCGCAGATGATGAGAGACGTGCGACGTCCAACGTGAACTTTCACAGCAGTGGGAGTTGGAGGAATGCGCACCTGCAGCCGACTCTCCTCGGACTGGGCTCGTTGGGCAAAGATCTCCAGGATGAGCCGATATCGGTCCATCACCCGAGTGCCCAGCATTTTGGCGAGCTTCTGACCCTGGGCGGGCGTGAGCGAGTTGGTGTCCATCACGACCACATCGGCCCGCTTGGCCTGGCACGCTTGCCTGAGCTCGGCGATCTGTCCGCACATAGAACACCACATCTCAGCACCTACTCGTCGACACCCACTTGCCCAGTGCACCACCACCCACCCGCCCACCACCCACCATCAGTAGACCGGTGCAGAGGAGTTCAATGGACGGACCTTGCCCTTGCCGAGGAAGTGGGACGGGTTGACGGTATTTACAGTTAGGTACATCGAATCCTCCACGGGCCACTCCAGCGCCTCGACCAAGGCAACTGTGCACAGCACAGTGCGCCGGCGCTTGTTAGAGACGACCCTGCCGTGGCACCGAGGTGAGACGGGAGAACGTACCAGCTTCCTTGAGGCGAAGATCAGGGTGGTCTGCACAGTGTGGTACAGAACACAAGGGGACACGATCAGGGACATTCGCAGGCCAAGCCACTTACGAGCGGGGGGCAATCGCGAGAGGTGAAGGGTACCCTGGCCTCTGCAGACCTGCTCTTCCTCTTCTCTCTCGGCCAGAAGGCTGAGCCGCCGCTTTCGTTTGTCGGCATAGACCGTGTTGCGCATGTAGGGATGCACCACGCACACCTGCACATTCATTTAACTTGTATTGATCATTTAATCTTTAAAAAATCAAATCCATGGTGATGGTGAGGTACCCGAGGTGGGCGAGTTGCACTCCAGAAGCGGCCGGGCTGCATGGCGTCGAGCGCCTGTCGGCCACTGTCGCCCTCCTCTTCCTTTCGTCGGCTGGATTGGCTCTTGGCAGCCGAGGCCAAGGCAAAGGCGGCATCATCGTCATCTTCATCTTCCGGATGGGAGGAGGCTCGCCTTCCGTGACGCCAATCAAAGTCGATGGCAGAGCCCCACGCTTCCGCCACTGAGCGCTGCGGCCGAGGAACTGCGGGGACGGCCCCCGCCGCATCTGCAGCATATGCGTAGTCTGCACTGTGCAAGATGCGACGGCATCGCCACCACAGAACCGACGTAGAGGAAGAGCCTCTACACTGAGCGGCACCAGTCACCCCCAAGCTCGAAACGCGCCGCCACATGTGCATCCACCGCTCTTTCAGTGTGTACTTGTTTGGAAATCGAAATGGAAAGAGAATCTGCGCAACGGACGAAAAGCAAAATAAGTATAAATAATAAATAATAAATAAAAATGTTTTCGTTTGGCGTCGGTGTGTCGAGGTAAAAAAGGTGGTTTAGTAGGGAAGAAGGAGCGGTGAGGGAGAACAGATGAGGCTCAGTCCTGCTCGTCGTCCTCGTCGTCGCTGCCATCGATCACGCTGTAGCCCGGGTGGCCCTCATCGTCGCCGGCATCGGCGAGCGAGCCCTCGGGCACGCTGTAGATGCGGAGGAGGGGCTTGCTGGGATCCTTGACCAGCACGTAGGTGCCCTCGTCGAGCTCCTGGCACTTGTCGATGATGTGCTTCAGGATGCCCCACATGTTGGCCGCGCCCAGACCGATCTGGCCGGCAAAGTCGACCGGGTTGTACGTCACCATGCCCACGATCTGGTGGTTCGAAGCATCCTTGGCTGCGGTGCGCGTGACGAAACTGCAGTGGTCAAAGAGAACGTGGAGGGAGAGAGAGAGAGGTGAGCACCAGGTCGGCAGGGCATGATGATGAGGATGAGCAAAGGGAGAAGGGAGAGGAGGAATACCCGAGCTTGAGGTGCTGGACGCCGGCGAGGACGGACTGGGCAGTCCACCTGGCGAGCTTGCTAGCGTTGTTCTTGAATTCGGTGGCCATGACGGCACCACGCTGCGAGTCGAGCTTCTGCCTCCAGTCGATGCCGGTGGCCTTGGAGTCGTACTCGTTGAGGGCCTTGACGTTGACAAACTCGACGCCGTTGTCCTTCTTGAGGGCGGCATCGACCTGGCATCGGGCGAGGAGCACGTTGCCGTCGCCGAGGTCGAACTTCCGGTAGCGGTAGCCGACGGAGGCCATCTCCTCATCGGTGAGGGTACCCTGGAAGGGGCTGGGCTGGGCCATGCGGTGCCGGTTGCCGTCGCGCGCGAGGACCTGCTGGGAGAAGTTTTGGTTGATGAAGGTGGCCTCGTCGCTGAGCTTGAGCGGCGTGTTGATGACGTTGGGGTCGTCGTCGCGCGGGGGCTCGCTGGCGTTTTCGTTGACGGTGAGGTAGTCGAAGAGGGAGTTGTCGCGCTTGTCGAAGTAGATCTTGGGGTTGTTGTCGACCAGCACGCCGTCCTCCTCGCGGTTGGGCGGGTTCACGCGGCGCACCACGACGTCCCAGGAGTAGTTGGATCGGGGAGCGGTCATGAGCACGGAGAGGATGGCGTCGGTGGCGAACACGTTGGCGTCCGAGGCGACATCATCGGCGTGGAGGCGGGAGATGATGGGATCGTCACTCGTCGTGACGCGGAAGAAATTGCGATCGATGCGCTGCAGGGGCTTCTTGTTCTTGGTCGTGATGCGATCATACACCTTGTCGTAGAACTCGACGGAGCCGGCCTGGAGGAGATCCTCGGGCTGACCCACCTGCTCCTTGCTGCGCATCTTGAGCATCTGGTTGAGATCGAACTGATCGACCACCACCCAATCGGGCTTGACCTCGATGGAAGCCTCTCGGCTGAGCTTCTCCCCGAAGCGCCTGCCGCCGAATGCGCCGAATCGGCCACCGCCCCTCGCGCCGCCGGGACCGCCGCCCCACCTCTGCCAGCGCGCTCCTTGATGCTTGCGGCGCTGCTCATGATGCTTACCGAAATTAGGCTTGTTCTGCGTGACCGTCTCTCCACGACGGCGAGCCTGCGGCTTCTTCTGCCAGCCCTGCTGCCAGCGCGGCTTGGCCTTCGACTTCTGTTTCACCGCGGCCGAGACCAGCTGGAAATCGCCTCCCTCATCGGTTTCCTGATGGTAGTAGTTGAAGGCGGTATCCGCAGATCCGTAGCTCTGCGTCTGGCCGCGGTAGCCGCGACCCTGGTAGCCGAGATTGTCGGCCGCCTTGCCCAATTTGTCGCTCTTGCTGAAGGGCGCGAATGGAATCTCCTTCAGCTTCGAGGGAATGCTGTCCTCGGTGGGACCCCAGCCCTGGGGGTTGTCGAACACCAGCGGCGGTGCGAAGTGCAGTGCGGGCGCGATCGATGCAGTCTCTGCCTCCATGTTGATTCTCTGTGTGCAAGGATCAAAAAATTCAGAGATGACACTCTCAAGAATCGCCTCGCTGCCGGACCGAGAGAAGAAATTCGGAAAGCGATCGTGCGCGGCTTCTGCACAATTTGATTAAAAATGAATTAATTTTCCATGGCACTTTCCTTATCAGTTTCCGTTCTTCTCTTCTTCTTCGCCGCGCGTTCCTCCGCCCAACACTCGTGATCGAGATTTGTTGCCATCTTTCCTGCGCGTGCGTGAACGGAACACGCAACGAAGGAAAAGAAGAGTCTAAACGTAGAGAGGAAGTAGGGGATGAGTTCCACGGCGGCCGAGGCGACTTCTTCCTCCACTTCGCCTTCATCTCCCGCCGCTACGTCGGTTGCGGACTCTCCGGCCAAGCAGCAGCAGAATGACGCGAAGAAGGCCGCTTTCTCTGACGTGGTGAAGGCCGGCGCCAAGAAGGTGGAGGCCTCCGCCCCTGCTGACTCGGCTGAGGTGGCTACGTCCGCCAAGGAGGTGACTGTTGCTGATGCCCCCAAGGCTCAGCAGCCTGCTGCCTCTTCATCTGCTAATGCTACCGCGGCGCGCAAGCCCAAGGCGGCATCAGCATCGGCATCACCTGCTGCCTCCCCGTCCGCTACTCCGGCTTCTGCCCCTACCGCGGCGAAAGCGCCCGCCACCAATGCGTGGGGATCAGCACGCAAGGATTTGGCTCCTTCAGCCTCACCTCTTCCTTCAACTTCCACTTTACCTTCCGTTCCTTCCTCATCTTCCTCACCTGCGCCTTCTGCTACCCCCGCTTCTCCGCCTTCTCAAGCAACATCTGATGCCGCTGAGAACAATGACGCCCCTGCGGAAGGAGATGAAGATGCAAATGGAGATGAAGCCAAAAAGAACCGCCGGAAGAAGGTAAATGCTCCTGTTGATATTTCATGTCTTCCCCCCTCTTGCATGGAGATTGATTTTTGCAAAAATCGCAATCGAAAAGATCACGGATTTGAAGCGAGATTATTATGAAGAGCTCTTTTCGAACACGATTGAATTAACGTGCAATCGCGGCCGCTCGGTCATGGTTCAAACACGCAGGACTTTGTGCTTGAAACTCAGAGCTGGCCCAGCCTGGGCGAGGTCAAGACCTCGCCCTTGTCCCCGGCAAAGAAGCTGAGACCCTCCAAGGAAAACGTGACCGTGCCGTCGCCCGCTCCGGCCCTGCTTGCCTCGCCTGTCGTAGACGTGCGCCCGCCGTCTCCCGTTGAGGCTGCCGCAGAGAGCACCCAGGCCGAGGCCGTGGGTGCGCCCGCAGGTAACAGCCGACACAGCAAGTCCAAGAAAAAGGGTACTCTACTTTCCTGAACATCGTTGGCCTGGCTTCCATCTCTTTCCATCTCTTCCCTTTCTCCTCAACACGCACTGGGCTCAGCTGAGCACTGCTCCTTCAAATGTCAGGTGGAGTGAGCTGGGTTCCGATGAAGGACATCGGTCCGGGTCCTTCGCGTGCCCGAGAGGCCAGACAGCACCGCAAGCCCGACGGCAAGGAAGGTGCTGCTCCCGCTGCCAACACCCGTGACACCGCCACTGCCGGCGCCGCTGCCAACAACCGGGAGAGGCGCGGTCGGGAGGGTGGAGCACCGAGCAACAGCCGGGAGAGGCGCGAAGGCACCGCCGCCGGCGTCAACTCCGCCCCCAGCGGCAGCAGGGAGCCCAGGGACAACACGAGCAAGGACAGCCGGGAAAGGAGGCCCTACGCTCCCCGTGCCAACAACCCGAGGGAGCCCCGTGCCCCGCGCCCCACTCCCGCTGCAGCTGCCGCGAAGGAGGGCGAGGCCGCTCCTGCCCTCGCTGCAGTGCCGCCCGTCAAAGAGCCTTCGCCATCGTCGGGTGATGGCATCCTCTCCGGCGAGGAGGGCGTTGCTGCCCTCCCGACCCCTACCGGGATCCATCCCCAGCCTCCTCGCGGCAACTACAACTCGGCCAACAGGCGACCCTATCCGGCCAACACCAGGAACCCGCAGAGTAATCCGCCCCTTCCTTTTCGTGCCCACTGATAGGCTCAGCCCACGGTTTTCTTATCTTCTCCACCACAGACACCACCAGGCGTTACGGATACCAGGGCGAGGGATACTATGACCCTCGTTACCCGCGTCCCAACAAGCCCGAGTCGCTCAGCGAGACCATTGTGCGTCAAGTGTACGTCCCCTCCCTCGGGATTCCAAGGCGATGATGAACGGCGGAGCTGACACTCTCTTCTCTTTGATTTTTGTGGCGGTGCGCCCCATCACCAGGGAGTTCTACTTCAGCGTGAATAACCTCTGCCGCGACGTGTACCTGCGCATGCGCATGAGCCAGGACGGATGGGTCCCGCTGCAGATCATCTGCAACTTCAACAAGATGAAGCAGCTCACGACCGACAAGAGGCTCATCCTGGACACGCTCAAGGCCGCCTCGACCAAGCTGGAGGTCGACGATGCCAAACAGCGTCTCAGGATCAAGGGTGACTGGGCCACCTGGGTCTTCCCCAAGGATGAGGAGACCGGTGGCTATCTGACGGGCGAGGGGCTCAAGTTTTTGTCAAAGGAAGAGGCCGAGGAGCTGCAGAAGGTCCCCGAGCCGCTTCTGGCATCGGCGCCCCGCGAGGACACCAAGGCCGGCGACAAGCAGGCCCAGGAGGGCAGCCGTCCCACCACCGAGACCACCGCCTCTTCGGCCAAGGAGGACGACTGGCAGCCGGCCAGCCGCAGACGGAAGACCGGCAGCCTTTTGAGGAGGTACATCACCGATCCAATTTTGCGTGTTGGTCGCGTTGTGTGTTGTGTGTTGTGTGTTGTGTTGTGTGTTGTGTGTATTAAGCTCTTTTTTCTTCAATCGAAACAGGCCGATCACCCCGAGGGGCAAGGAGGAGGAAACTGAGGACATCGACGACTCGGAGATCTCCAACCTGATCATCGTCACCCAGTCGCCGATGAAGGCCCGCCCGAGGACGCGCAGCAAGCCCGAGGAGGAGGGCGAGCTGCCTCACTCGCACGAGCTGAACCACGACGACATGAAGAAGATCAACCACGGTCTCTACCTCTACGAGCAGGAGCTGAGGGGAACGGGTAACTCCGAGGACCAGGAGGAGGTATGCATTCACGCCTGCCCTCGTCCATTGAAGGCCACCAAACTGATCATTGGCGGCGCGTGTGTCGTGTGTGTCGTGTGTGTGGGGACCAGGACGCCAACGGCCAGCCGATTCCTCGCCGCCTGTATGCCATGACGCCCAAGCGCAAGGAGCAGCGCCGCAGGAGGAGGAAGAGTGTGTTGCAGCGCCGCACCACCACCTCCACCCACGGCAACGGTTCAGAGACCCCCCTCCGTTCCCTTCTTGCTCTTTAGGCCTGCGTGCGTCTGACTGTGAGTGTTGGGTCGGTATTTTCAGGAGCACCCGCCGCGCCTCAGACCACGGGACGCGCTGGATTGACGTCGTCGCAGGTGTACTCTGTGGGCTACATCATCGCCAGCCCCATGAAGTCGTCCAAGTCGAAGGAGCCCGAATCCGACGCTGCGGACGCACCGGCGGCGGTGTCGACCGACTCGTCCAACATCCAGCATCCCTCGCGCGAGCTACTGAAGAAGAACGGCTTCATTCAGTACAACTACGACATGTGGCACGACAACTGTGTCAAGGGTACATACACCACTCACACGCCACCGCTAACGACACGACACACAATCGTCGTCGTGGTGCTGCAATCGCGATTTAACTGTTCTAACACATTTATTGGGCACTCACACATTTCGTGATCACAGAGAGGAAGGATCTGGGCGTCGGTCAGTCGAGCGAAATGAACACGCTCTACCGCTTCTGGTCCCACTTCCTCCGCTCCAAGTTCAACCAGCGCATGTACGACGAAATGAAGGAGCTCGCCCTCGCCGACGCCAAACAGGGCTACAGGTACGTCGATGACCGCTCTCGCGATACTGTGTTGGTCGCCCCACCTAGTGAGCCTTGGTGGCTCATATATCACCGTGATCAACGCCGCGTCGCGCCACTGCACACAACAACAACAACAACAACAGGTACGGCATGGAGTGCATCTTCCGGTTCTACAGCTACGGACTCGAGAGGAAGTTCCGTGCGGACATATTTAAGGACTTCCAGCAATTGACCGTGGAAGATTACAACGCGGGTTTGTCCCCCCCTATCTTCTTCTGGCTAGACTTGGTCGGTTGATCGTCATGTTGTACTCGCGCTCACCAACTCCTCGTGTACACGCACAGGGTCACTTTATGGATTGGAGAAATTTTGGGCCTACCTCACGTACGGCAAGGCCAAGTTGGAGAAGGAGGGCGTGCATCTGGAGATCAACCCCGAGATCCAGACGTGGCTCAGCAGGTACCGCACCCTCAAGGACTTCCGCGAGGGTCCCCAGAACTACGACAACGCCGAGGTATCGCATTCCACCGCCTCTTTTTGTTCGTTCTTCGTTCTTCTTGTTTCTTCGTTAGTCGAGATTGAGCTCACCCTATCTCTCTTCCCAGCGTCCTGCCCCTGCGACCCAGCCGGAGGCGGCCGCCAACTGAAGAGAGCGGTCGATCTGATCTGTCCCCCTCCCGTCGAGTGGCCTTCTCCCCTTCCCCGTCGCCGTTCAGGCGTTTTTTTCCTCTCTTGCGCTCTCTAGCCCCTAGACCTATCGCCATAGGACTCCCACACCAGCCAGCTTGTGTTGTGAGCGGCACCGTGGCCATACCAATCGAGCAGTGCCTTGACCAACCTTTGCTGCACTCTCTTTCGCACGCGTTTGTTTGTTTTTTATTTTATTTCTTTTTTTATTTCTTTTTTTCTTCTCTTGCCGCAAGAACCCGAGACGGGCCAATGGGGCGTTGACGAAGTCGGCGAGCCAATAGGGCAAAGGAGATAGCGCCCACAGCACCACACAAATTGAAGAAAAGGTCCATCCTCAACACTCAACACCGAACAGCTCTTCACCAACCATTACCAACTAAAGCAGGGATGATCTCCTCTACCTCGACCTCTACCACAACGACTGAAGGAGCCCAGGCACCGCACGCCATCATCATCGGCGCCGGCATTGCCGGGTGCTCCCTGGCCCTCTTCCTCAAGCGGGCTGGCATCACATCGACCATCTACGAGGCCTACCCGCGCGAGCACGCCAGCCAGGGCACTGGCGGTGGGCTCCAGATCGCGCCCAACGGCATGCACGTGCTCCACCACCTGGGTCTCGCCGACGCGCTCAAGGCGTGCGGGTGGGTCAGCCCGGCCTACGCCTTCCACAACCAGTACGGCAAGCGCCTGGCCGTCCTGCCCACCGACCCGCACCAACCAGCCGTCTTCGTGGCCCGCGCCGCGCTTCACGAGGTGCTCGTGGGCGCCGTCAAGCAAGAGGGCATCAACATCGAGTTCGGCAAGCGGCTCGTTGACCTGTCGGGCTTCAGGGACGACGACGATTACGGCCAGAACGACGGCCGGGTGACCGCCACGTTCGACGACGGGAGCTCGGCGAGCGGAGATCTGGTGGTGGGCGCCGACGGGGTGCACTCGCGCACGCGGGCCATCGTGCTGGGCGACGAGGACCCCAAGCCCCAGTTCCTGGGTCTAATGTACGCGACGGGCTTCGTGGAGACCGACGAGCCAGTGCCGGAGGACACGGCCAACATCTTGTGTGGCCAGACGGGCGGCACACTGGGCTACACGCGGATCCGGGGCGACAACCCGCGGCTCGCGCTGTGGTGGCGCAACATGAACGTGCGCGACTGGTGGCCAGAGGGCGCAGCAGTACCGACCCGCGACGAGCTGTATGCCATCGACATCGACGAGCTCAAGGCCCGCGTGCTCAACATGCCCGGCGGGTGGTCGCCCCTGGCCCAGCGGCTGGTGGCCGACACCCGCCACATCGTGCGAGGAGCCGTGCACGACCTGCCCCCGCTGCCCAGGTGGTACCAAGGCCGCGCCGTTCTGGTGGGCGACGCCGCCCACGCCGTGAGCCCCCACTCGGCCCAGGGCGCCTGCATGGCCCTCGAAGATGCCATGTACCTGGCCAAGGTGCTTCGTCTGGCCATGGCGACCACCACCACGGCGACGGGGACCAGCACCAGAGGCCTCTTCCCGGTTCGGTGGTCGAGGCTGCATTCCGGGCTTACCAGAACGGGCGCAAGGCGAGGGTGGAGGCGGTGGCGGTGGGCGGCAGGCAGCGGGGCGAGCCGAGGCCGGTGCAGGAGGGCGAGCAGCCAGCCGGGTCCATCCAGCAGTGGATCAAGGAGGCGATGCTGGTGGTGATCTTCAACTTCGTGGTGCCGCCCGCCCTGCAGACGACCTTCAGCTACCGCCTCGAGTGGGACGACTGCGACAGTCTTGACGGCGTCACCGAGGCCCAGAAGATCTCTTCCTCCTGGTCCTGGCCGTGGTGGAACAGCGCACAGTGACCTGCATTTCCTGGTTTGGGTCGTTTGACGTCAACGCTGATCAATAAAATGTAAGTGTCACTTCAACAAAACTGAAGCTGGCAACCAGCTGCTTGCCGCACCATTGCGTGGGAGCAGCAAGCTGAGTATTTCTCGAAGCCGAGGGTCTGCCCTGAATGGCTCAAGTTTCTGCGGTCTGCGCAGTGTGGCCTTGGGGAGTGAGTGTGTCCTCAGCGCCGTCACACCAAGCTGCCTCTCGAGGCTCCGCTGTTAGGTCTTGAAAGCTCTCTCTTGGACATCTCGTCCGGCGGCAGCTCTCTGAGATCCAGTCTTGGGGCACGGAAGCCCCGACAAAGCCCTCATCGGACAACGACAACTCCCTGAAGGGTATGGAACTCCTGCGTGAGCGGCATGTAAAAGGGAAGGGGTGAGAGACTCTCTGCTGACCGCCCGCCCACACCATTTTTCGGAGCAGCATTTGAACGCTTCCGCTCTTCGGCATTGGCGTCAAGCAGCCGGGCCTTGTATGCCTCATCCCTGGACAGGAACCGCAGTGGCAGGACGGAGACAGCACCCTGAGCACCTCATTCTTGGACAGCCCCAAGGCACTGGCTCCCATTTATGAGCCCTGAGAGCTACGTATGGTAAAATAAAGTGAGGAATGATCAATGTACATTGGCTTGGCGCAGGGTTCACGCGGGGGTGAGCTGCAGGAGGAGTGAGTTGAGGGCGATGGTGTAGTGCTCTTGCATGGCCTTGGGCGGAAGCATCTCGTCCAGGTTGGCAAAGTCGTCCCTGTGCTCGTCAGACCAGAACAGAGCAGAGTCACAGTCAGAAAGAGCAGGGCAGAGCAGTCCGGTGAGGGGTAGTCCTACCTGTCCCGGGTCAGCACCGTCAGACACAGCAGAGCCAGGTTCACTGGGCTTCGCTTGTCTGGCATTGTTGACAGGGGCGCCGATGCGTTCGGATCAGAATCGGTTGTTGTGTTGTAACACCAGTGGTCTTGGGTACGTACAGCAGCGTTGGCGCAAGCCATCGATGGGCGACGGTATTGGCTTCTTCCACAGCTTGCCCAGCCGCCGCTCCTCCTCCTTGCTGGGCGTCAATGGCGCTCCGTAGGACAGCAACGCCCCCGCCACGCCAAACAGACCTACATGTTCGGGGTGGGAGTGAGTAGGGGGAGTGAATGCGCGGTGGGCCTGTTTAGCAAGGGAAAGGTACCTGCGGTGAGGGCGAGGTGGATGGCCGTGTGGCCCCGGCTGTTGCGTACCCGCATCAGCTTCTGTACAGTCAGCCGCCCGAAGTGCTTCTCCACCTGCTGGACCACCTGCTCCACTCCCTCCTGCCTCTATTGTGTTGTGTGTGTGTTGCGTGGAACCTGAGGCGCGCCCATCAAATTCAGGGTGTCGTTGAAGCATTGTAGTCTGTACCTGGTCAATGAGGAGGTGGAGGAGGGTGTTGTTGTGCTCGTCGCGGCCCAGCAGGCACGCGGGTTCCAGGCGCAGGAGCTCCCACAGCTGCTTTGGATTGTTCACCGCGTGCAGAAATGACTCCTTGTACCTGCGCACCACGCGCAACACCCTGCCAAAGGCCAGCTAGCAGGAATACGAATACAAATCAGCACTCGGCTGGCACCATCGCACACACGCACCACCGCCCGCACACAGCATGTCGCATCGAAGGAGGTACAGTGACGGCGTCTCGCAGAAGCACGCGCCCCAGATGAGGACAGACATCGAAGGGCTCCACCACGAGTGCCGCCAAAGGGCGCAGGCGCACCTCGGCCACTACGGCGGGCAAAGCAGTCAGTCAGCACTTGGTTGGGTCCGCGGGGGAGGTGTGAAACGAACCTTCTCCCATGCGCACTTCGCGCAGTGCCCTCTTGGACAGCTTCTTGCCTCGCTTGACACTCAGTATGGCCATCACCTGCGTAGTTCTTGACCGCGTGAGACCGAGCGGTCGAGTGCCCAAGAGCGGACAAAGAAGAGAGCGAGGACCTTGCACGTAACACGAGCGCTGTGGCTGTACACCACCACCTCTTGACCGATCGACAGCACTTTCCATGGCGGCTGGATGGTTGGATGTTGATAGGCGGATCACATGTGTCCGAATGAATGCCAGGCGGGCGGTGATGAGTGGGGGTACCTTGCTCTGCACGGGGTTGATTGCGCGCACGGAAACGGCGAACTCGGTCACAGTCAACTCGAGCGATGTCTTGGCATCTTCCTTGGCGTCCATTGCCACCATTCCTGCCACAGCGACGTTTGTGACATCGTGAAGGGTGGCGCAAGCGACCACACAGTGCAGGTCAGCAGAACCTGCGTAGAAAAGGACTCGTGGCGCGCGCCGGACTTGGACGCTGATGCAGGCTCCGGCTCTTACAGGCGTCGATACACCCTTAAGTAGTACATACATACACACACAACCGCCGGATGAGAATGTGGGCACAGGTTAACTGTGCGATGCACAGGAGGGGGACCTCTGCGTTGCCGGCGCACCTCATGGAAAGATTCAACAGAGCCTGTTTGTACCGGTGCTCCGCGTGGGTGTTGGCGCCACCCTTCCGCTTGCTGCTTAGACCTGGTCTGCGGATAGAAGGCCAGGTCCATCCTGATGAGGGGAATAGGGAAAAGCCGATCAGCTGAGGCCCACATTATAATTATTGTTTGGTTATTGTTATTGTTAATGTGTGCGTTCGCACGAACCCAGAGTACTTAGACGTATCCCAGCGTCCGGACACGACCCTGCCACTCACGACAGTCCCAATGCCTCCTATTCTGTCCACGCCCAGAACCGCCTGCCGAAACGGCGCCGAAGGCCCCTGCTGACGGCGAGTTCTTGTCACCGGTAACTCCTCCCATCTGGCCAGTCAATCGCCGTTGATCAGGTCACCGCGCGGTTGTTGGTAATTGCTTGATTGCTTGATTGCTTGTTTGCTTGCTTTGTTGTGGGGTACCGAATGTTTTCAAGGGCATCTCTCAGGCACAGGCCGTTCGCGAAGAGAGGAGTCGATACCCCTTGCTCCTCCCATACGCTGACACTCACCACCTGTATGTTCTCCCTGAGCGTGTCGTGTCGTGTGCGCGAGGGAAGTGGTGAATCACCCTCATGAACCGCAGCGCGCGGGCGCGTACCTCTTGAATTGCATCGAAAGCAACAGGGCGACGACGCGCCGCTCCCGATCCTCGATGAGCGCCTGGTGCTCACGCGTGCCCTGGCCCGGCTTGAGCTCCTTCAGCACTTCGTCTGCCTTGGTGAGCACCACGACGAGCTGCTCGATGCCCCACCCTCTGGACGATGATCAAAAGAGAGAGAGGAGAGGTGAGTCCTCGCAAAGACTCGAGTGGAGCTGAGAGAGGTACTTGGCGACCAGGGCCACCTCGAAGAGTGATTTGGCTTTCCGGTCGGCCATGCACGCCTCGAACTCGAGAGCCGCGGCAGACACGACCATCAGAGCGAAGTCGGCCTGTCACAGGCAGAAGAAGCCCATCAGACTGTTTCCGTTGTCATCTCCACCACTGTCATTGTCACTTGGAGCGCACGTTGGCTGCCCCTGTAATGCAGCTGCGTTCGAAGAAGCCCAGCGAGGGCACGTTCACCAGAGAGAATGGGTATCGCTTCGTGCGTATCCGGAACCGGCTGGAGGGAGGGAGCAAGTTGTGTGAGCTTGGTCATTTCGGGCACCCGAGGTACTGAACGAACCGGGTGGCGAGGGTGATGCCTCGCGCCAGTTCCTCGCGCGTGCGGATCAGACCCTCGAGCCGTCGTCGTGCTGGAACTGACCTTGAGTACAAATCCGACTTTGGCCAACCACACCCACGGTGAGTCGCTCTAGGACAGACAGTGACCAGTGGTGGACCACTAACGTACTGTGGAGCCCATGAACCGCTCCACGACCCTGCGGTCGAACGCCCCACAGTCGAGTAGTAGGCGACCGAGCAGGTGAGCTTTGCCGCTGACTGGAGGGCCAAGCAAAACCGCCTGTTCACACGCCACAACATAATTGGTGGGTTGGGGAAAACAAAGAGATATGGGGGGGGGGTATACTTCTACGTGCGGCACGTTCGACTGTTCGTCTGCTTGCTCCATTCGATGATTCAAAATGAAAATAAAATGAAAATAAAATAAAATAAATAAATAGGTAGTCCAGTAGTCAAGGCTGAAGAGGCAGACGTGACCGCCAGTCGGCTGGCAAACCATCGTCGCCGTTGTTGAGCTGCTTCCACGGCACGTCGGGAGGCGACGGCGGCCGCCGATGGCTGCCTAGGCAGAGCAGCAGCATGTGCACCAGCTCGCGAGGCAACTGGCCCAGTGACTTCAGTCGGGGTTCCTTCTTCCTCTCTGCGTCATCTATGCCCTCCTCATTGTTGAGCCTCTGAAGCCGACAGGCGACTAGCAGGGTACTGCGCACCTCACTTAGCAGCTGATGGCGGGAAGCCACAGTCAGTCAGTGAAGCCAGATCGACAATAACGAATGGTGTCTGGTAGGAACCGTTTCGTCGACAGCGACGAGGCGCCCAAGGTGGGCCATGCTCGAGCATCGTTGGCCGGAGTCGACGTAGGCGCGTTCGCGATAGATGCGACCCTTGCCGGTGGCGTAGTATTGCGTCCACAGCCGCGCCGTATTGGCCGCCCACTCCTCCCCTCGGCTCTCCCATTCCTCCACGACGGGTGCCACCTGCTCTTCGCACCTGGTCAGCTCTCTCGGAATTCGGGCTCTCCCAGGCGCGAGAGCCGTACCTGTGCGATCTCGTGTCTCAGTCGGTCCGAGGCCACCGGCGACAAGGCGTAGACCTCGAGCTGTTTGATGAAGTCTTGCACCGCCGCAACGATCATGTGGGTTGGATTCCACCGGTGTAATCTGGAAACGAACACACAAAACGCGCAAGCTCGCTTAACGCCCACAAAGGCCAGTTGTCATGCCCAGATGCGGTGGCGGTGGTACGGGTCGTGGCCAAGCACGGCGATCGTGCCTTGTGGGCCGACGGTCGGGTGGTAGAGGGGCGTGAGCATGCGCAGCGCGAACGGACGGAATGGGTAATCGGGCGGATAGGACGCCCGCAGCAGGAAAGCCCCTCCTGCGTGTGGCTCATGATGACTCGCGTGAGCTTAAACAGACCGGCAAGCGACGGACGTCAAGCGTACCGTGATAGAAACTATTGGGAGGACCTTCAACAACGAGCTCCACCCACTCCACTTTTCTTCCCACGCGCCACAGATACACGAGCGGCTGCTCTTGCTCTGGCCAGCTGTGTAGCAACTCCTGGATCTCCTTCCGTCTGCGCACTGTCCTTCAACTCAGCGGCCTTCATCAACTCGGTGGGAGGGGGGTTGAGCGTACCTATGGGCCTGGCAGCTGGAGTAGTAAAGGCGGTGGCTGTGTCCACTACGTCCTCGTCTGGCGTGGGGAGAGGTGCCAGTGGGTAGAAGGGGTCTTCTCTGCTGGCCAATGTAATGTGCACCAGGTCATGCGAGGCGATGTTGTAGCTGGCAAGTGTGCGACTGTCCTCGAGTACCCGCCCGGCGTGGACCAGTCGCATGTGCTCGGGCGGTATGCCCTCGCTCTGGCCAAAGAGCGTCTTGAGGTCGGAGACCAACGGGGATGTAGGGTGGCCTCCCAACTCCACTGTCGTTTGCTTGCCTGACAGCAAGCGGCCATCAACCACAAAGGACTGCCTCTGCGTCCCCTCCATTTGCTTTATTTTATATATTCTTGTTTTGTTTTCTATTTCGGTTATTTTTCTTTTTATAATTGTAATTCATTCGAATTACTGAACTGGCTGAGCAGTACATCAGGCGATGACGTTGAGCTTCTTGCCCACGGCGGTGAAGGCGGCGATGGCCTTGTCGATCTGCTCGGGCGTGTGGATGGCAGAAAGCTGCACCCTGATGCGGGCCTGCACGGAGAAGGAGCACATAAAGGTGGCCATCAGCACCCAGCCACCTTTCGAATGGAGTGTTTCGTTGCAGCCCGGTGGTGTACCTCGCCCTTGGGAACGACGGGGAAAGAGAAGCCGATGACGTAGATGTTGTGGGCCAGCATCTCCTCGGCCATCTTGCTGGCGAGGCGAGCGTCGCCCAGCATCACCGGGCAGATCGGGTGAGCGTCATTACCCAGCACCTGCGTGGCCGCACATGCGTGTTTGTCGGTCAGTGGGACCCGTTTGCACATCCAAGTGACGAGCACTTGCGACGTACATTAAAGCCGGCCTTCTTCATGCCCTGCCTGAAGCGAGCGGTGTTGGCCTCCAGCTGATCCCTCAGCTTGGTCGAAGTGCTGTTTTTTCAGGTGGCGAAACGATGAGGTCAGCCTCCCGATAATCATGCATTGCTTCCAATGGAGGAGGCGTGGTTGGTACGTGAGGAGCTCAAAGGTTCGGAGGGTGGCGCCGACAAGCGCAGGCGGCAGAGAGTTGGAGAAGAGGTAAGGGCGAGACCTAGGCAAGACACTCAAGTTAAGCGACGGACAGGTCCCAGGGAGCACAGTTCGCGTGAAGCTGCGTACCTCTGCCTGAGGAGGTCGACGATCGCCTTCCTGCCGGTGGTGTAGCCTCCAGTGGCACCGCCGAGCGCTTTCTACATCGCACAATAACCGTGCCGCAAAGCGTAAGCCAACAAGCCGTGAGGAGGTGAAACGCGTGGGGCGGAGTTCATACGCCCATCGTGGAGTTGGTGACATCGATGCGGTCCATGACGTCAAAATACTCGGGCACACCTGTGGCATGGTGGTGGTCAAGTGAGAACATTTGTCATGAGTGGCGTGTATGTTCGTGTGGTACCGCGGCCAGTAGGTCCGAAGAAGCCAGTAGCGTGCGACTCGTCCACCATCACAAGGGCCTTGAGTAGGCAAAGAGGAGGGCAAGTAAGAAAAGATCTGCAGTGCCTTCACACATGCGGCGGCTGCAGCCAGTTGATGGTACGGTACATTGTACTTGTCGGCAAGGGCGCAGATCTTGTCCAAGGGCGCCACGTCACCATCCATGCTGAAGGCGCCTGCAAAGGGTCAATGACCGCCGGTAAGCTGAAAGTCGAACGAGGGCGCATCAGAGCAGAGCACGAACCATCGGTGGCGATCATGCGGACTTTGGCCCCCTCACCGTCGGCCTTCTTGAGCTGCTCCTCCAGGTCGGCCATGTCCAAGTGCTTGTAACGGAACCTACCACGCGCACGGGCATGAGTGCCAGCGTTTCCATTTGCTACTCGGTTGGCGGTGTGTGGGCTCACACACCTCTTGGCCTTGCACAGGCGGATACCATCAATAATCGAAGCGTGGTTGAGCGCGTCGGAGATGACGGCGTCGCCCTCGCCCAACACGGTCTCGAAAATACCACCGTTGGCGTCCCAGCAGCTATGGTTTGCCAATGAATGAGCCAGTCAATCGACATCTTCAGTTGTGCAAGAAAACAAACACCTGAGCCATGTCACGCGTACCTCGTGTACAAGATGGTGTCATCGGTCTTGTGGAACTCCGCGATCTTCTTCTCGAGGTCCTTGTGGATGCTCTGCGTACCTGTACCAAGCCCACAATCAGCAACGGATCCGGTGCGCGCCTTAGGGACGTGGGAGCCACACCGCAAATGAAACGGACGGAGCAAGACCCAGGCCGAACTTGTCCAAGTGATCCTTGGCCACGTCGATCAGCTCCTGGCTGTCAGCAAGACCTGCAAGAGGGCATCGCACGATCAGCGTGGCAAGCTAGACGGGAAGGGGAAAGAGGACGCACCGAGGTAGTTGTTGGCGCAGAAGTTGATGACAGGCTCAGAGCGCTCCTTGACGCTGATAGAAGAGCTCTGAGGAGTGACGATAGTCCTTTCCCTCTGTTCGCATGCCCCGCCATCGCGTAGTGTCAATTTAATCAAATCCTCCAATGAAAGATGAAATGAAAAAAATGGAGGTGTGCACCTTGTAGAGCCCTGCCTCCTCAATTTCCTTGAGCGCCTGGTCCAAACGGGGCTGCAACGTAGCGGCATAGACCGATGCACCACTTGACTTGCCGGCGTACAGACGAATCGCGCCTGAATTATGCACAACATTAATCGTCCATTATTGACGGACGTGAAGCACAATAAAGGGACGTAGTAAACCTTGCGCGGCGGCCCGCTGACCAAGAGTAACAGGGCACTTTGATACAACACGGCGCATCTTGTGGTGATTATCGGCAACAAGCAAGATGGAACAAGAACAAGGAAGAAAAAATAATAACAAAAATGGACCCGAATTCCAGGCATTCTGATCCCGCGTCATCGGCAAGCTTGCGCCCAGCGAGCCGCAGCGCTCAGACGTTGTCTGGGCCGTTGTCGTTGGAGGAGGCGCCGCCGCCGCTATTGTGCTGGTGGGTCGCCATGAGGGAGTTCAAAAAGTCCTCGTCGAGGGCGAAGGGCATGAACGAGGGGTCCAGGTCGAGGTCGTTGAATGCGTCCTCCACGCCCGCGATGTCGGTCGCCGAAGAAGCTGACGATGGGGGCATTGTCGCGCCAGTGAGCGGGATGACGTTGGGTCCGACGATGTAGTGCGGCGCGGTGGACGCGGACGCGCCGTAGGACGACAGCGCGGGCTGCTGAGTCGCAGCGGTGGTCGAAGATGATGAAGCTACAGGAGAGCCGTAGAAAGGTGAGTAGAAGTTGGTGGGAGGAGAAGCTCGAGAGAAGAGGGCAGAGGAAGAGGAGGAGAGGGAAGGCGACGAAGGAGAAGAGGCACCCATCGGGGTGTCATCGAAGGAGAAGGCGAGAGGGGAGGCCGAGGAGGTGAAGGCGTTGTTGGGAGACGGCGGGAATGGAGGCGCGGCGGAGGGGAAGGGCGAGGAGAGTGAGGGGAAGTTCGACGAAGGGGGCATCTGGAAGATGGAGGTGGGACCCTCCGCCACTGGTTGCGGCAGTCTTCGCTGCGGACTGGATAGCACCTCGTCGAATGAGGTATGCTGCACATGAGGACTTTCGCCATCGTCTTCGTCTTCGTCAAGAACCCTTGCATGCGAAGGGCACTGTCAGTGGCTCTCACTTCTTGAACACATATAAACTGCATCTCATCGAAAGAGCTGTGCTGCTACCGACAAAGAAGAAGGAGTACCTCATACTGGCCTTTGGAATGTTGTCCCGCAGTTTACGCGCGGCTTTCTCTTCACCCTGAGAGCCGTAGAACATCAGCTGAGGCTGCGACGCTTCTCCGGTGACCTGCACCAGTAGTAACCGTCAATGCCAGTCCAACACACGGCACACAATGAGTTTTGATCATACCTTGGTGGTCGGTCGTCTAGTCTTTTTGGTGGTCGCCTGTGGGGTTAGGCTCCGCCCGCCTTTGCCGTTCCTCGGCCCGGCGCCTGGCTTTGCCTGGTGCCCAAACACCGGAGCGGACTGGGGTCGGTTGATGTGTGGAGACGACAGCATCGGATCAGAATCGAATTCGTCATCTGACGGCGATTCGACTACGGGCGACGACAGCGGCTGGATGGAAGAGGGCGATAGGTGAGTGCCGGGATGAGCTCGCCCTTCGTTGGCCGCGGTGCTGCTCAGGAACTTCATCGGCGGGAGGAAGGTCGGCGTGTTGGGCACGCCGCCGGCGGCGTTCGACTCGGGGAAGTAGAGGGTGACCACGTCCGAGATGGGCAGGCCGTCGTTACCAAAAAGGATCGTATGAGTATCGTACGTAGCGAACAGACCACCTGAGGTGAGGCAAGTAGAATGGACATGAGTATTGATGTCAAGGCGTGAGTGGAGCCAGAGCTGCGGGCGATGGGTTACCTGTTCTGTGCCGGTATACTTGATCGAGCTGTATCGTTGATGATAGAGTCTTCTGCTGCAGAATGGTGTTCATGGTTCGGCGCGCTGCCTCTGGTGGAATGAACTCCGTCCACGGCATTCCAATGACTTCATTCTATGGGCCGTGATCACATCACCATGTTTAGAAGTGGTAAATGAGCGATCATGGTCTAGCAGTTCACCCGGGAGAAGGAGGATTGGGTACCAATTCGTAGCCGATCATTTGGCAAAAGGTGGTGTTGGCGGTGAGCACGGTCGCAGTGCTCTTGCTGAGATCGTACACCACCATGGGCTGCTCGGCCCTGCCTTTTGGCAGAGCGGTGGATACGCCAATGTGGGAGGGGTTGTGGGTCGAGCTCGCGGTGGTCTCCATGGCATGGGTCGGGAAGGCCGGCACTGCATCCAGCGCGCGCAGCGGTCTACTTTCGTGTGAGGTCGAGTGAGACTCCAACGCGGAAGCAATGGGTGGACTTGATCCGAAGTGACAAAGAGTGAACAGGGAAGTTTGGTACCGTTGGGTGGGAATCTGCCCACCGGGTTGTTGGTCCGCCATCTGCGAGAAGTAGTCCATGAGCCGCATGACCTGCCACTGGCTCGTCTTCAAGCGAGCGGATAGGTTGCTGTTCTCGAGCTTGAGGTGCAGCACTTCGTCGTCAAGTCGCTTCTGGTCGCCCTTGAGCTTCTTCAGCTCTTTCATAAAGTAAATGTTCAGATTGTTCTGCTTGGGTGATATCTGGCCGATGACCACCCATCACAGCATGTGAGAGTCAGTCATACCATCACACTAGTGCATCAAGCATGTATACTTATGGCACAGTTCAGAGTACCTCGCTGGCTGCAGGGGCGTCTTCTTGCATGTGGTTCGCACTCCCACTGGGAGCTGGGGCAGTGGGCGTCGGCTCTTCCATAGGCGTACTAGGCTGAGGAGAGGGTTGATGCTGCACCGCTGGCGATGGCGTAGTGGGAGGCGATGGCGCTGCGACTACGTGGGGCTTCGGAGACGGACGCCCAGCAAATGGGTCCCCCAACGCCTCGAACGCAGCAGCAACTGGCGGGGGTGGCGGAGCAGCTGCCTGGGGCGTCGGCACCACACGAGGTGCCTGATTTGCAGATGAAATAAATCACTGACTGGATGCAAAAGAGGAGAAAAAGGATTGTTGGAAGCTACCGAAGGCATTGAGCCGAGATCTATGCCGATGCACATATGCGGCACTCCCAACCGCACGCAGCGTGAACAGGGGCGTACACCATCGCAATGCTCCGCTTGATTATCTTTCTGTAAATGTTAATCGATATTAAAAAAAATCATGAGGAAATGGCCAGGGCAATACCCAACGAATGGGAAGCGCAAGTACCTGGCAAAGGAAGCAAGAGGAGATCTTCCTCTTTTTGTTGTGTGACATGCGCTGCTTACGCACTAGAAATCGGCAAATTAACGGTCTTTGTGTTGCTGTCTCGTTCCTGATCTTCACGTGAATCGACCCACGCGCTGCCGACGTCACTGATTTGGTATGGCAAGAATGCAATCTGCAGAATGCGCAGAATGCTGCATTTTATAATCCCTTTCTTTTCTGCGCTTGTCTTCTCGGAATGTTCGCCTGGTTCGCACAACGCAAGTATTGGCTCATTTGTGCAAAATCTCTTATTATTTGATTAAAAAACACAAGCTAAGCCGCAAGTGGAAGATGGCGTTGGTGCTGGAAGAAGTGGTGGTCAAGGACCAGCTGATGCGGTTGCTGCACCAGCTCGATTTCAGCGAGTAAGTGATTTTCGCTCTTATGATTCGAGAAACAGCATTGTCGATTCTTCTCACGCTGTGTCCGCCCGTGGCTCGTGGCTGCGCCCAGTGTAACGGAGGAGGGGGAGCTGCTGGAGGCGCTGCAGACCAAGGGAGCGACTGACCCGCACTACCGCGTGCTGTGCGCGCACCTGGCGAGCGAGTTTGCGTCCTGGGTCGAGTTCCTGGCCGGCAACGACCTCCCCAGCCCCGTGCACATTCCCACCGACACCGCCGAGACCTTCGCCCAGGCCCTCGTGCCCCTCCTGCGGAAAGAAGGTAAGCCAATCCTGTATGGGCTGACCGCCACCCAGAACAATCACACCACTCACACCACCGTGGTCGTTCAGGCGCGCACAAGCTGGTGGAGCGATTTGGCCTCAATGGCGATGCGCCGCTGCAGACATTCACGCAGAAGGCAGACCTCCTCGGTACATAGCAGCCGCAACCTGTCGAGGCGACAGGCTGACTATCCCACATGCCTGACCCGTGTGGTGTGATTTACCTTGTAGAGTACTTCCTGGGCGAACTGCTGGCCTGCCGGCTGATGGGCTACAAGCGCTCAAAGTATCAAAACCCGTCGGTGTCGGCTGAGAAGAGCGGCGACCTGTCCAAGCAGTTTGGCGTGCGCGACTCTATGCGTCTTCTTGGCGTGGTCCACACCGCACGCATGTTCTCACACGCGTGTTTATGTGTTCATGCAAGAACAGGGATGCATCAAGACCGCGTTCGCCGTGCTGAAGATCGAGCACGTGCCGGAAACCGGTGAGAAAGCGGTTCGGGCCATTGAAGAGAAGATCATCCAGCTCAACAAAACGCTCCCCGAGAGCTACAACCGCCCGCTGTTCGACCTCTCGTCCCTTTCCCCCGAACAACTGAGCCGCCTCGAGCAGGTCAACGATGGTACTACCCAACCCTTTCGAGGAGTGCCCGGCCAGACATACCATCGTCGCTCTTGGGCGACTCCTCTCAACGATCAATTGTCCACCCAGGTTTCAAGACTGAGTACAGCAAGCGACAAGCGATGATCGTCGATCGGTTCCGTCAGACCCTGATCCCGCTGTTCCGCGTCAAGGGCGTACCGGTGGAGATCAAGGAGGGGCTGCAATCCAACATCAACGAAGAGCTCGCCAAACACCAGAAGTGCGCACTGGCACCACATGCACCACTTGCAGATCCCTGCGATTACGAAAGAGGTGAGTGCGCACTGGCTAACCGGCTTGCGTTCGTCGTGCTTGTGTCGCGGTGCAGGTCTCACTCGTGCGATTTCTCCACGTGGGACATTGTGGTCGCGCGGGACGACCTCATCCGACAGCAGATGCAGCGGACCAGCATGCGCTCTCTCGACGACAAGGGCAGCGAGCCGCGGATGAAGTCGCTCGTGGTCAACGTGGTACGTTACGTCCCAGCCCGGCTCTCTGGCCTCTCGTCCAAAGTATAGGGACCAGCTGCTGTCTGACTGTCATCGTTCCCCCACTCACTTCTTCGCTCGTCGCTCTTCGTTTTTCGTCTCTCTTCATTCTTAGGAGGTCTCCCGGAAAGGCGCCGGAGGGAGGGTGGTCAACAAGAAGGAGGAGCTGCCCAAGCGTAGTCGGCGACGAAGGAAGTGGGAGGCCGACGACGCCGATTCACTTCCGACGGGCATCGACGTCGAAGCCGGCGGCGAGGAGGAGGAAAGAGAGGGCGAGCCCTTGCCCGAAGAAGAAGGAACGGGGAAGAAGGAAGGTGGCGGCGAGGAAGAAGAAGGAGAGGAGGAGGAGGGTGAGCTGACGCGGGAGGAGAAGGCGGAGAGGCGACGACTGACCAACGAGAGGCGCGAAATGGGCGAGAAGCGGAAGGCGGACGAGCTGCTCAAGAAGAAGACGCAGGAGCCGAAGGAGCTGAGCAAGCAGGACAAGCAGTTCCTCAAGCAACAGCTGAAGAAGGAGAAGCGCCAGCAGAGACGAGAGAAGAAGCTCGAGAAGACCAGGCGTGGCCAAACCAACAACAGGAGCGACGACGAAGCCGACTGATGCACAACACGGCCAAAGGCGAGCAAATAAGTAAATAAAGTTGTAAAAAACTGAAACGAGATGGAGATTGATGACCTGCCGGCGGAGGTGCTGGTGAAGGTGTTGGGCTACGTGCTCGATCCGGCGCAGCTTAGCCGCCTGGCGCAGGTGTCACGCCGCTGGAAGTCGCTGGCGGAGACCGACACCCTCTGGCGCGAGCTGCTCAAGAGGCGGTGGACCAGAGATGAAATCGAGCACATGAACAAAGAGGCTCAAGATGATGGAGGCAACCCTTCGCTTGTTGACTGGAACCAGAGATGGGAGGCCTTCCACGCAGCACAGAAGCCGCCCAACGCTTCCTGGAAGGTGCTCCTCTATTATTGTTATCATAATGATGTACTATTTATTTATCAGTGGTTGCAGGCGTTCTACCTGGGGCATCTGCGAGGGCCGGTGGAACGGCTCCTGAGCGAGCTCGACCGACACCCGCTCGACCTCGCCCAGCTGAGCACCGTCACCTTTCGCTCGAAGGCTGCCTCCCCGCCACAAGAGGTGCGAGGCTATCATCCTACACGCTGTTCTCCCCCCCCCCGAGCGTGCACTCACCTGCAGCCGCACACACAGGAGGCGGGCGATGTGTGGATCCGGCAGCTGCTGGACATCTCGCGCTCGGCGCGCCTGCAGGAGGCCCTCTCGGCCTACCCACGCGCTTGCCGCGATCACCTGGAGGTGATGCGCGAATCGGTCCTCACGCGCCTCAACTTCATTCGTCGAGCACGGAGCATGCGTACGCGTCATAGGCATACGCGCGTGTTGGTCGCTGGGGTGGTCTAACCCTCACATACGGCATGTGCGTGTGTGCGTGTGTGCGTGCGTGCGGTGTGGGCGGTGTGACTGCGCTAGTGTTTCTGGGCAAGCTGGGGCTGTTCGCCTACCTCGTCAAGCGATTCCTGCCTTCGCTGTGCCCTCTGCCGGCCAACTTTCTCACCAGTCGCCCCACGGCGGGGTCTCTACTTCGCTTTTGGCCGCTCTATGTGTACTGCGCTGCCTACTATTACGCGCAGAAGCTACTTGGGTACGACGCACACACACACACGATACACACTTTGCGTCGCCTGCTCTTGCTCACGTTGCAGTACAGGCGGAGAGGCTATATGGAAGGGACGCCCAAGTGGTACCTCGGCGTTGCTAAGTTCGGCAACCACGTGCTGAGCTCCCTCCTCGAAGAGGTCAGCTTACGGTAGCCCGCTCCCCACCGCGCGGGCATTATGGCGAGTTCGCCTTGTCTCTGATTCAAAGTACACACATTCATTCGTTTCGCGCTTTGCAGGTGGTTGTGCCTCCCTCCGTTCATCATCTCTGTCGTTGTGGCCAACGGCCTACTCAAGGGAAGCACCTTCGTTTTCGCTCTTCTCTTGGCCTTGGGCTGTGCAGTTCGGTCAGTACGGGTACGACCGCGTATCAACATTCTCCATTCTTCTTCGTCCTTCATTCTTTTTCATTCTGCTTCTTCTTCTTCTTCTTCTTTGGTGCTGGTCGGCGGTCGGCCCTCAACAGGACCAGGGCTCGCGTCTTAAGTACCTCGGCGGCGTCGGGATGAGCCTGTCGCTGGCCTACTATGCCCTACGCTTCGACCTCCTGCTCCACACCCTCTCCCGGGTGCTCATGCCCATCTTCCACGCCCTCACCCGCAACGCCTACCGCGAGGTGATCGCGCGCCAGGCCGCCGCCGGCACGGTCAACCGCCACTTCCACCTCTTCGTCGTGGGCCTCTTCGCCATGAACTCGATGGCCCACCTCGTGAGCCGGCTGGCCAGCCTCAAGCTCGCTCGCTCCTCCATCACCACGGCCCAGCTCACCCTCACCCTGCGCAACCTCTTCCCATCGCTCGCCGCCTCTTTTTCGACCACCAGCGGTGGTGGTGGTACGGCCGCGACTGACGCGACCGAGGCGTCGTGGTCGGCACAGCTGTGGCGCTTGCTCGACCAGCGGGCCGTGGCGAGCCAGCTGCTGGGCCTGGTCAATGGCAACGTCGTGGGGTGGGCCATGTGCCACGCGGCCATCCACCACGGCTTCCCGACCGTGGTGGCCCTCAAGTTGCTCTGCGAGGCCGAGGTGCTGCTTCTCCACCTCGCCACCCCAACAGCAATCAAGCGCCATTGATGCCCATAATGGCCAAGGTGCAACGTGTACGATGACGAAGTGCATTCTTCCCTTACACCCTTGGCGGGTCAACACGGTGGGCAGGCTAGCTGCTTCCCCGCTCCTCGGTGAGTACAAGGGTTGCTTCCCTTCGCGGGGTTATGCCAGTGACGCTCGTGGTGAGGTCCTCCAGCGGTTGGGCACCATCAGATCCGCCGCCTCCTCCGTCTATGCCGATGCCGCTGCCACCGGCCTCGTGCTCGGCCGCTACTCGGGCGTGCACGAGCGATGACGAAGAAGAGAAGGAGCTGGCGGTGTCGGCGGAAGAGGGGAGGGGGGTGGTGGCGGTGGGGGCGGAGGCCAGTGACGTGGTGGTGGTGGAAGAGGTTGGTGGGGGAGGGATCATCTCGCCCTCGCGAGTGAGCAGGGTCAACGGGAAGATGGCCCCTCCGCCCTGGACGTATCGCCCCCAGTCCAGCAACTCTGGACCGCGCAGACCTGGCGCGCTCTGCCCCAGCTGCACTAACTCGTCCAGCGTCACCCACGCTGCAATTCAAGACGTCGATCGTCATCATAGTGTAAGCAACACACCACCACCACCACCACCACGAGTGTATTGAGTACCAGCGCCTTCGGACTCTTTGTCGGGCTCCGACTTGGGTGGTTGGTTCTCGTCGATGGGTCGTGCAAAGAAGACGATCCGACATCGACCCCTGTACAAAGTCATCGTGTGCTCAATTCGGAGTATGCCTGTGTAAACACGCACACAAAGACGATGAAGAGACGATCAGGCTGTGCGCGCGCGCGCACACACACACACACACACACAAGCGCAAATGCACTGCTGCCGCGTGCATACCTTCTAAGCGCACGTCGATGCCGGCTTCCTCCTTTGTCTCTCGTATGGCAGCGCTCATGAGGTCGTCTCCCGGGTCGACGAACCCCGCCGGAAGCCACCACCCTCTGCCTCGCGACTCGTGCACGGCGAGAAAGCGGCCGTCTGGGTGCTGCACCACCACCAGGCTGAAGTTCCATGTCGGACAGCCTGTCTGTCTGCTCCATTCTGTGATAACGGCACGCACCACCAGTTAGCACCCTCTGCTACACAGCTAGCACGTAGCGGACTGCGCAGGTACGAACCTTCTTTTTTCTTCTTGGGCTCTTTTTCTTCTTGTGGCGGCGCTGTTGCTCACCAATGAAGAGATGTAGAAATGAAATTAGAATTACAAATTTATGGAAATTAAAATGAATGGTCACGATTTGGTGCTCTCATCTTATCCGGACAAGATGGGACGACCCACCAATGTTGGTGTTCGTGACGATTGAGAAGGCTTTTGTGCTCGAGGCCGGCGTACCGCGATCTAGCGTGTTATTGGGACTGCCCTCTCCATTCTTGAACACACGCTTCACTCGATCCAACATTCGCCGCCCAAGATGATCTTTCCTGCCCGGCCCTGCGCCCTCCTCTCGCTTCCTCTTCCTGCTCCTTCCGGGGTCGAGCTGCTGCTTTTGCCCTGACTGTGCGGCGCCTCCATTTTCCGCGGGTTGCCGCTCGCCTGGCCAGATGTTGATAAAACCTGAAAAGGCGATTGGCAACACAACAAACCTCCCAAACGTCGCCGCTCCAAGGAGGAGATCGTGGAGACCAACAACTTCACCTGGCGAGCACTCATCATCAGTGCGCCGCTTCAATCGCCACGAACATTGGCGCACGCGACACGCACAAGAAACGGTCCCAGGAAGAGTTCTGGTGGGCGGCCTCACGTGCTTCTCCAACATATACTCTGGCCTGCAGTAAGGCTGGATCTGCATGTGGCCAAGCAAGCTCACTACCGCCGTGGGGGGACTATGTTGGTCCAGCCAAGCATTGCGCACTGTGTCTGCCTTCTGGTCCCTGAGCTCCTATACCAATCAAGTGTTGTGCTCGTCGGCTTTGCCGGCAAGGTGGCTTCTGCAGCTTACAAGCGGATGTTTCGCACACCCAAGATTCCGTGGTGCAACGGTAGCACGCAAGCCTAACACGCTTGAGGTCGCGAGATCAACACTCGCCGGAATCATTTTTATGGGCTTGCTACTCAAGTTGGCCGCAGCGTTTGTTTTTTTTTTGACTTTTTTGATTTTCTTTTTCGTTGTGGCCAAGATGAAGCGTACAATCCGGTGTGCCTCCAAGACTGTAGGATTGCCGCTTGCGCTTCTGGCACCCAGGCCATTGGTCACAGGCCGTACGCTTCGGCGAGCGGCGACCGCAACCACAGCAAGAACGGCTTCCGGAGCAGATTTTGCAGATGAGCGAACTGGCACGGAGGCGGCAAAGTTGTGGGCTGCACTCGCAGCTCAAGGACCCGCCTTCCCTCTCCGCTCCACATCTGCCGGTGGCGAGGGCGTCCAAATTCTGCCCACACCTGACGATTTCTTTAATCAGCTCAAGGTTAGATTTATATTGTTATTTTCATTTTTACGTTTATTTATTATATTAATTTTATAAAAACATATAATAATGCATCCACTTTTCCACACGCAGGAAGGCATAAAGCGAGCCCGCAAGAGGGTGGTGATTGCCGCGCTGTACCTCGGAACTGGGCACCACGAGAGGGAACTGGTGCGTCTACGTCTTGACCGATGCCTTGGCCGCCCGACCCTCCACCTTGGCTGCGCAAGCTGACGCCCTTGGCTTGGTCTTTGGCCACCACCGCCGCCGCATCAGGTATCGCTGCTGCAGCAAGCATGCGAACGGAACAGGGACCTCCGCGTGTCGATCCTTCTCGACTGCGCGCGTGGCCTGCGCGGCGACCCCAACTCAGCCGCCATGCTCAGACCCTTGGTACGTTCTGTGAGGAGGGGCGAAGATCGCTGCGTTGGAGAGTGTGGGTTGACGCTGACGAGCGGATGCTGTGCTGTCACTGATGTGGGCACAGGTGGAAGCCCACCCGGGGTCGGTGTCGGTGAGCCTCTACCAAACGCCCGATCTGCGAGGACTGGTGAAGCGATTCGCCCCGCCTCGATGGAACGAGATCGTGGGCGTATCCCACTACAAGGCCTTCGTGTTCGATGACGACACCATGCTGAGCGGGTACAATCATGATCTTGAGGCTGAAGAGCGCTACACGCACGCACGCACGCACGCACGCACGCACACGCAGTCTCATCGTTTCTATCATCTGTAGGGCCAACCTTTCCGATCAATACTTTACCAACCGACAGGATCGCTACATGCTCTTCAGGCAATCCCCCGAGCTAAGCGACTTCTTCGAGACGCTCATCAACAAGGTTTTCTCCCTCTTCCCCCCTCCTCTATTGGCCCTTCCCCCAGCCATCCCGTCGCGCGTGGAGCTCATCGATCTTCTTCGTTCTTCTGCGCTCTTCGTTCTTTTTTCGTTCTTCGAAGTCGAGCGAATTTTGCTTTGGCGTGACGCCGCAGGGCGGCATTCAGCTCCCGCCGGGCTGTCCCCACCCGGAGACGGCTCCGATCGCCGAGTTTGCCGACTATGCGCGAAGCCGCATCGCCCCCCTCCTGGCCCCCGCTGCTCCTGCCGGCACAAACAGCGCCGCGTCGGCATCGGCCCAGACCTGGGTCTTCCCCACGGTCCAGATGGGTCGCTTCGGGATTCACCAAGACGAGCGCGTGACCGAGCTCGTCCTGTCGTCGTGCACGGCCAGCGGAGCGACGTTGGACCTGGCGTCGGCCTACTTCAACATCACCAAGCGATACAAGGCCGCCATTCTTTCGCCCCACAACCAGGCGCAGGTGAACATCATCACCGCGAGTCCCGAGGTACGTCAATCAACCAACCAACCAACCAACCAACCTACGTCCCACACCTCTGCTCCTCGTTCATCCGGTGGTGATGGGCAGGCCAACGGGTTCTTCAACAGCAAGGGCATGTCCCAGCACATACCCATGGGCTACACGGCCATGGAGAAGCAGGTGCGTACCAATATGGAAGCGAAATGCTCGTTTGTCGGAGTAGGAGCGAAGCGAGTCGCGCGCATTGCTAACATGACGCTGGTGGTGGCTGGTGGCACACAACAGTTCTTTGAGGAGGTGCAGGCCCGCGGACAGGGCGAACGCGTGCGGATATTCGAGTACTTCCGAGAAGGCTGGACCTTCCACGGCAAGGGCCTGTGGTACACTCCCGCGGGACAGAGCCGGCCCATCCTCACCATGATCGGCAGCCCCAACTTTGGTACACGCCCACCCAATCGATTGCCCCTTGAACCCGCTCACCGACGATGCGCGGTTGCTGCAGGCCGTCGCTCTACCGACCGAGATCTGGAGGCGCAGGTGGTGGTCCTTACCGAAGACCCTGAGCTCCGAGGAAAGCTCGCTGAGGTGATTGTCACTCCGTCATTGTGCTGATGCGTGCCACTGACGCGTTATCTGTGTTCTCGTTCCTCACGCAGGAGAAGGAGATGTTGTTTGCCAGCACCACGCTCGTGCGGAGCGCAACGTTCGAGAAGGCTGACCGCTATGTCCAGCCGTGGGCCAAGCTCACCACTGGACTCCTCTCCTCCTATTTTTAATGAAGACGTCACTTCGGCCGAAGGCACGGAAGTTGTGGTGAGATACCGCCGCGAGTTGGGAGTGGTGACACTTTGAAGCCTCTCTCTTTGTGCTCCACCACGAGCTCGCGTCCCGCGTACAAGAACGAGGATTGGCCCTGCATCTCTTTCAACTTTCTGGGTAGTTGGGTCTAATGATGATGGTGCCATGAAGCTCGAGATTTGTTTGTTTTTTGGTTTATTTTTTGACAATGTCCATCGATGTCCAGTGAAAAAGAACCTCCGCTTACTGCTCCTCGGCGGCAGCATCCTCGTCCTGGTCGTGAATGTTGAAGTACTTGAGCTTGTAGGTGTTCTTGCTCTGCGAGACCACGCGAAGCCAATCGCGCAGCTGCTGCTTCTTCAGGTACTTCTTCGTGAGGTACTTGACGTACTTCTTGGAGAAGGGGATGGTCGAGCTCACGGTGAGCTTCGTCTTCTCCCTGGTGATCTTGACGGAGTTACCGAGCTGGCCAGCCTTGCCGTTCACCTTGATGCGATCGTGAAGGTACTTCTCCTAAAAGAAGATTTCAATTGAAGAGAGGGACCTGTTAGATGGCCAAATCCATTCAATGGGGTCAAGAGGGACAGGGAACGTACGAAGGAGTTGGGGTCCATGATGCCATCCTCAACGGGGTCGGAGAGGTCGAGCACGAACTTGAGCACCTTCTTCTTGGGCTTACCCTTGCCCTTACCCTTCACCTTCTTCACCTTAGGCTTGGCGGGGGCGACCTTGACCTTGGGGGTCTGGGCCTTGACGGCGGCGGGCTTAGCCACGGCGGCCTTGGCAGCGGCAGCCTTGGCGGGGGCAGCGGCCTTCTTGGCGGCCTCCTTCTTGGCGGCGACGGCCTTGGCGGGGGCAGCGGCGGGCTTAGGAGCGGCGGCCTTAGGGGCGGCGGCCTTGGTCTCCTTGGCGGGAGTGGCGGCCTTCTTGGGAGCGGCCTTGGTCTGGAGATGACAACAAATGATCAAAGATCAGAGTGTTGTCTTGACCCATAGTCGATTTGGATTTGGCCCACATCACCAAAGATCAAGTGGACCCACAGAGCATCATGCGAAGAGGAAGGGCGACACGTACGGACTTGCCCTTAGCGGCGGTGGACATTATCTCTTCTTTTATGGATCGACTGACGACGCCGGATAGGGAAGAAGGGGAAGAGAAGAAAGAAAGGGTGCGGGTGCAGCCAGAGGGATTTAGGGCGAACGAGAAATTCAGCAATCCGCACAAAATCCGGGAATTCGCTGGGTCATGCCCGGTTATTGACTTGTATGGCTACAGGTTTATGGGCGGCCGGTTTTTGCCGGCCTCTTCCTTTCTTTCTTTCCCTTCCTCTCGCAGCCAGCAGCAGACCCTCCGTTTCTGTAGGCCCGTCGATTTCTAAAATCAAATCAAGATGAGCGAGACCACTGCTACTGATGGATTGGCCTACGTCAAGGTCGAGAAGCTCCTCGGCCGTACCGGCTCGCGTGGAGGTGTGACCCAGGTCCGCTGCAGCTTCGTCAACTCGACCCGCCGCGAGATCATCCGCAACGTTGTCGGCCCCGTGCGCGTGGGTGACATTCTCATCCTCCTCGAGACTGAGCGCGAAGCCCGCCGACTCCGCTAAAACGCTGACCTTGTGCCGCTCGCTCATTTGGAGGCTATGCCAATCGAGCCGTGGCAACGACGACGGGCATCTTCTACTTCGATGGATGTCGAGCAGGGGGCCAGCCGCCGAAGAGAATAAATTATTTCCTCATCGTTGTTTTTCTACCCTCGCTCTTGGTGAGTGGCAATTCTCAGTTTCTGTTCGTTCACTTTCATCTTTCTGCAAATCTCACAACCGCACCTACCCCTGCCACTGTACTGTGGCAATCGTTCATCTTAGGCGGATGATCTCTCTTGTGCCTCCTTGGCCCCTCCGCTGACGTGGCAGCGCTAACAAATAGCAAAAATGAATTCTCCGGAGTGGCGCCAACTCTGATCAAAGAAACAGAGAAAGGATCCATTCCTGTTCATTTGACAACACGATGAGCACCTATCTCTCGGCCAGCTCCGCTTTGGAGGATTTCTTCTGGCACCTGCTCGCACAATCCGGAAATGGAATGCTTGCTGTGGCCGATTATCTCGGCGTTCACCCCATGCATCTTGGCCTAGAGATCTTTTTCGGTCTGGTGCTTATCTACTTCGTTTTCCAAAAGAGCTACAAGATCCCCAAGCACGAGCCGGAACGTCTTACGGACAGGGTATGGCTGTCCCGAGGTTTCCCATTCCTATCTCTGTTAACTCTGTTTGCTGTTGCCCCTCCCTCAGGAAATTGATCAACTGGTGGCCGAGTGGAATCCTTCGCCTCTTGTGCCCAGTCTCAACGAGTATCAGGAGTGGAATGAAACGACGATCCCAACTCTTGCGAGGTAATTTTGTTTACTTCTACTCACGCTGGACCCACGTTTCACTCATCCTCGTCACCGCTGCAGCGCTCCCTCCGCTGTTGTAGAGCTCGAGGGTGGCAACAAGGTGCTCAACTTCGCCAGCACTAACTTCCTGGGCATGGCCGAGGACCCTGAGATCAAGGTACCTTCAATCTGGCGCCTTCTTTTTTTCCCTTCTCCAATCTTTACTCAACCACTTCCTGCCTGTGCAACACAGCAAACGGCAGTGGCTGCCCTGCAGACCTACGGTTGTGGTTCGTGTGGCCCTCGCGGCTTCTACGGCACCATGGGTACGCAGCGGACACTCGATCTACTTGGCGTAAACTGAGGCCTTCCACACTCATCTCCTGCTTCTTTTTTTTTCTTTTTTTCCTGTTAAAAGATGTGCACCTGGAGCTGGAGAAGACGATCGCCGAGTTCATGCAGACCGAGGCGTCCATCGTCTACTCGTCTGGTTTCGCCACCATCGCCTCCGTCATTCCCGCCTTCTCCAAGGTCTACGATGCCATCATTTGGTACGCGCTTCCACCACCACGGCGAGCGCCGCAGTGCCGCTCACAGACGTATCTGGGACGAATGTCATGCAGCGACCAGGGCGTATCGCATGCCATTCAGGTGGGCGCGCTGCTCTCGCGCAGCAAGGTGTCCTATTTCAAGCACAACGACGTGAAGGACCTGCGGAAGGTGCTCGAGGAGATCAAGCAAGACGATGCCGCCAAGAAGAAGAAGGTCTACCGCAAGTTCGTCATCATCGAGGGCCTCTACTACAACTACGGCGACATTGCTCCCCTTCCCGAGATCCTCAAGCTCAAGGACGAGTTCCATTTCCATCTCGTCATGGACGACTCACTCGGCATCGGCACTCTCGGCGCCAATGGACGGGGCTCGTGCGAACACTGGGGCGTCCCTACCAACAAGGTACCAGGGCCTGGCCCCTCCATTCCACACACCAAATCGCCAGTGTCCGTAATTAGTCAGCACTGACACGAGTAAAATAATGATAATAGTAAAAATAACGATAATAATAATTACTGTTAATTACTCATCTAAATATCGTATCTTTGCGTAGATCGACATCCTCACCGGCAACCTGGGTCACTCCGTTGGCTCGCTCGGTGGTTTCGGTTGCGGCAACAAGACCGTCGTCAACCATCAGGTTAGTCAGACCCAGTCGCCTCACCTTGCGCTTTTACATAACGTTCGTGCTCACGCCGCTATGCCTCTTCGTGCAGCGTTTGAATGCGTCGGGCTACGTGTTCTCGGCCTCGTCTCCTCCCTACCTCGTGTCGTCCGCTATCAAGGCCTTCTCCCTCATTCAAGAGAAGCCCGAGCTCCTCAAGAAGCTGAAGAAGAACATCGCCATCTTCCGCAAGGAGATCGGAGGTACCTAAGCACTGCCTCCTTCCAAGGCGCGCTTCTCCCCGCTCACCAACGTCCGTTCTGCTTGGCGCCACCAGACATTCAGGAGTCGGGCATTGTCTTGAGCACGCTCGCCGAGGCGCCCATCGTTCACCTGAAGCTCGCCGAGCCCAGCGGCGACAGGTTCGAAGACGAGAAGACCCTCCAGGCCATCGTCGACGAAGCCCTCGAGCAGGGTATCCTCTTGACGCGTTCGCAGTATGTACAGTCCGAGAAGTTCCTCCCGCCGCCCTCCATCCGTGTGGCCATCTGCGCCACCCACGAGGAGAAGGACGTGGTCAAGGCGGCGAAGATCGTCAAGGAGGCCGCCCACAAGGTCCTCTCCAGCAAGCACTGAGAGGGAGGAAGGTGGAGAACACAAACGTGCCGCGAGAGAGAAAGAGAGAGATAGCGAAGAGGGAAAAAGGCCGCAGACGCACTGACTCATCAACGAACTACATCGAACGAGCGCGATGGTGGACCCCAAACGGCGGTGGCGAAGAGGCAGACAGGTCAGAGGTGCGCGCATCACACAAGAGGTACAGCGGCGCAGGGAGTGAGTGGGAGGAGGAGGTGAACATGTGGAGAGCAACGCTTGGCGGGGAGGAAGTACAGAGCTTGGAGGAGGAGGCAGGTGAAGCCCCCGCCTCTCCGCCTCGGGGTTGTACACATTCATTTTTTAATAATTATCGGACATTTATCTATTTTCTATTATTTATTTATTATCTATTTTTGTCGAGTTTGCGTTTGTGGTCGAAAACAGAGGGAAAGCGCTGAGCGACGCGAGAACAGGAAAGGGGAAAGCAAGAAAGCCCTCACAAGTCTGCCTGGCGCACAGATGAGGAGGCTGCGGGGCATCGCGGCATCGGCGCGCGTGCATCACTCGAGGAGCACCAGCCTCCAGGACCTGCCCGCGGTGGCTGCTCTTGGCGGTGAGGACCCCGCCGCCAGCGGGGAGGCGGGGCTAGCCGGCAACGGCCTCATCTCCTCCTCCGAATCTACCTCTTCGCCTCTGAAAGGAGGCGAAAACGGAACATCGTCATCTTTTCCCGGCCTCGATGAATCTAACATCTTCGAGGATGACGAAGAAGAGCAACACGCCCGCGATCTAATCCGCAGGTGGAAGGAGACGCGTTCGCACCTCAAGATAGAGAAGAGCGAGCTGATACGCAGCGTGCTCCTGCTTCTCAACGTGCTCGCCCAGATCATCCTCACCGTTGTTGCGGTACCTCACCACACACCAGCACGACACACGCCCACGGAATGTGTGGACACTCACCTCGCGCAACGAATGCGACACGCACACGCATAACCGCACACGCACACACGCACACGCACACGCACGGCCGTTTGGGACCGCCCAGCTGGAGTACGAGTGGGACGGAGTGAGGACGTTGAGAGACTCGCGCGTTGCTCTGGGCATCCGTGTCGCCATCTCTGTTCTCACGGGCTTACTCGGTACGAGCACACTCGCACTCGCGCACACGCATTCACAACCGCACACGCTGGAGTGTAACACGCGCACACCGCACAAGCCCGCACGCGCACACGGACAGTCTGCTTACCAGCGGTGGGTCATGCCTGTGCGGGCGTGCCGCAGTGATTCAAATGGTGGAGGACGACGCGTGGAAGATATGGAAGGACGCCAAGGACACGCGCAAGCGGGCCAAGCACGCCAAGCAGGAGCGCAGGAAGGGGCGATTCGAAGTCGCCGTCGGCGAGGTCAGGCGCCAGTTTACCCACCGCGTACGGCCAACGCCAGCCCTATGGCACACACTGCCACTCGCGAGAGTTCTAATAATTATTGGCGTCCCGTGCGTGTCGTGTCGTGTGTGTCGTGTGTGTCGTGCGTGTCGTGTGTCGTGTGTGTCGTGTGTGTCGTGTGTCGTGTGTGTCGTGTGTGTCGGTGTGCCGTGTGCCGTGCGACTGTAGCGCTTCTACATGCCGATTGGGGACGAGGGTGTCGACTATTCCTTTCACACGCCGACCTGGATGATCCTCATGGAATACCTCCCCTTTCGTTTCTACCTCCTCGTACACGCTCCTCTCTTTGTCTTTCCCGTCATCCTCACCACCGCTTTCGTTATCGTTCTTCTTCTTCTTCTTCTTCACCATCACTCACCGCTCTCACCATCACCACGATGACGGCTTCCTTCTTCTCCGGCAATGTCGTGTGATGGTTCGCCTGACGTGAGTTCCTCTTCGATGCTCCCACCGCCAGTTCACCGCGCGTGTGCTGCTGTGTTTGCCGCACATAGCCCCCGGATTGGACGACGACCTGACAAAGCTGGCGGCCATGCTGACCTTCCTCAAACTGTGCGCGCTTCTCTTACCCCCGCGGCTTTTTATCAAAATTCATGGGCTTTCCTTCGCATCAAGGCCTCACACACACACACACTCTCTTCTTCTTTCGCCCTGCATCGCAGTTTCGTGACGATGAGCGTTCTACGCCACTTCAACCCCATCTATCGTAACCGGCACCTCATCATACGCATCCCCGGGTACCCCGACCCCTTTCTTTTCTTGCGTTTCTTGCGCGCGCCGACGATCGTCATTGACAATGACACCGGTGACTCGGCGCCCAACACAAAAACACACAAACACAACACAACACAAACACAACCCCCCACAGATCGTCGCTGATCGAGATGCCGCGCTTTACGACGTGGTTCTCCACGCGAACGTTCTACCACCAGTACCCGCTCACCTTCTCCCTGTCCAACATCATCGCCGTCGTCGCAATCACCGCCTACGGCATGTACATATACGAACGGTACATATATGAACCGGAAACGACCACCCCTCCGCCTCCGCTCATGCCCCCTCCTCACCTCATGAAGTCAACCCGCTTCTTATTGACCCGCTTCCCCCCCCCCAAATCGACACTGCAGTGAAGTGCAGCCTCACGTGTTCGACTTCAAGCTGTGCTTCGTGGTAGGCCTCTCTGCCCGTGCCGACCGACGGCCGATCGACCACCTATGTGTCGCTCACCGGGTGCGCGTGCGTGTTGGTGGGGTGGGCACCTGGCAGATTGCGACGGAGAATTTGATCACGGGCTGGCCGGGCGACGTGTTCAGTCAGTACACGCTGGAGTCCGACGGCGGGAAGTCGTTCTCCGTTGTATGATTTCCTCTTCATCGCCCCCCCCCCATGGGTGAACGTGTTCGTGGGACTCACTTCTTCGTTCTTTAGTTTGCGTCCCTGGGCGGTTTGTTCTTCTTCGCCCTTCTCATCAACTTCCTCTACATCAAGCTCAGCCCGAGCAGCAACGATTCGCATGTACGGGGGCGCCTCTCGCCTTTTCCTGCGATCTGTTCAATGGCCAATAACTCAACGGTTGGGGGGGCGGTTGATGGCCGGTGGCGGTGAAACGTGTTAGGTGGTGGACTGGATAGCGCGGATCAAGCTGGAGGACAAGGAACGGCACGAGGCGGCAAAGCTCATCCAGTTGGTGTGGCGTCGTCGCCTCGAGCGAAAGAAGAAGGAGGAGGAGCGACTGATCAACGGCGATCACGGGCGCCACTACCACTTCATCACCGTGCCCAGCGAGAAGGCCTACCAGGTCCGCTTCAGGCGACAGTGTCGCGAAATGCGCCACGTCAGACGGTACACGCCACCCCCCCCCCCAAGCATTCCTGCTCGTCATGTCGTGTGTCCCGACAGCTTACATGCCACCCGCACCATCGCACACACACACGTCACCACAATCGCACACGCACACAGAAAATTGGTGGATCTGTACGGGAGAACAGGGGTCGGGCTGGAGACTCACCCCGTGCCAGAGAAGAGCGAGAAACAGAAGAAGCACAAGAAGTCGAAGAAGGAGAAGGAGAAGGTGAGCAAGGGACAGAAGAAGAAGAAGAAGCAGAGCGACGATACGAGGCGCGCACTTCGCCACAGGCGAGACAGCTACATCGCGGCTGTAGCCGGCCAGGCGGAGCAGGAACAGCGGAGAGGAGACGAAGAAGCGTTCGCGCTCCTCGAACAGCAGCACCATCAGCAGCAGCTCGAGTGGGAGGCCCAGCGCGCGCGTCTCAGGAAATACTACGCCAAGGCGGCCAAGAACCTCAACAAGCTCATGGCCGAACTCGGTCGATGACACAATGAAGAGGTGGATGATGATCACATTCTTTACCATCAACATTCCCACAATAAATTTATTGTCAGCAACAGTGAGAGGGGGAGCGAAATACAACGTGGCGTGAAATACGACGGTGACCAGGTGCAAGTGACTTCGACCAAGGAGGAGGCGATGCCAAGCGTGTTCTCGGCACGGCACACGGCCAGGAGCACCGGAATTTCGAAGGCGAACGAACAAACCTGGAATCCGCCGAAATTTTAGACAAATGGCTGCCTTCCCTTTTGCTCACGAAGTGGCGCTACACCACGACAAGGTCTTTTCTTCATCAGCTTATCTCTACGGCCCGCGCAAGTGAACAAGAACGACTTCAAAAAAACAGGATTGGCAGTACCTCCCACACAACTACAACATTACTATGGGAGTGGACTCGTCTGAAAAGTATACGCTGTTCTTCTTGGCGCTCTGTACGCTCTGCCTCACTACGACCATCATCATCTACTGCCATCATGCCGACCACACGAGCAAGGAGGAGAGTCTCGATGAGATCAAGGCCCAGGTGGACGTCCTCAGGGAGCGCGTCACGGACCTCCTTCTCGAAGTAGAGCAGGGAGGCGGCCGCACCCACAACAACAAACTGGACATCAGCGACGGCCAGCCCCGCATCGAACGACCCGCAGGACACGTCAAAGTGGACCGCAGGAAGGTCTATGCCACCCTCTACCACAACACCGCCAACGATGTCGGCTACGTGTGGGGCCTCAGGTACTACAACTTCTCTACCAAAGAACGAACGAGACGAGTGGGAAAAAAGAACGAAAGCGAAAACGTAGAAGCGGGGGGGGGGCTGCAGTTTACGTACAACTGACACGGCCAGTCAACCTTTTGTTTTTGTTGCTTGTTCACAGGGTGATGATCCACTCGGCGCGGTTGGCAGGATGCGTGCAGCCGTTCGTGGTGATGCACCTGATGACCTTCGAGCAGGTGGAGAAGAGCCTCGGCCACGAGGTGATGCGCGAGCTCATGGAGGCCAACGTCTCCTTCCGCAAGATCGAGAGCGTGGACAAGGTCTTTGGCTCGGGCGCCTTCGCCCACATCGCCAAGAGCCGCTGGCAGGTGGCCATCAACAAAGTACGCGTCTGGGAGATGACCGAATTCGAGAAGGGTACGTCTCCTCTTCCTCTTCACCACGTTCATTGGCAGGGCAATGAGCTCACATCTCGCTTTCCTGCTGTCTTCTGCGTGCAGTGCTGTTCATCGACCTGGACAGCGTGGTGCTCAAGAACCTAGACTTCTTGTTCTCCTACCCTGAGCTCACCGTCTCCAACGACCAGGCTGCGGTACCCGCTCCTCCCTCGCCTGTCTGCCTGCGCTCGAGTCAACAAAATCATTTGCGCTGACACTCGCACGATTGGCTGGTCGTGCTGCAGCTGGACAAGATGCGCACCTACGAGGTCCTCAACCCGGGGTTCATGTTGGTGCAGCCCAACGCGTCGACCTTCCAGTCCTTCGTCCGCTTCTCCAAACGCATCAGCGCCGAGGACAGCGTCATGAGCACCGCCGAGCAAGGTACCTTGTGTTCTACTTTTCAGCGTTGTAGGAGAAGCGTCGTCTTGTTGTTGCTCACCAGCTGGCTGGTGGTGTTGAACAGGCATGTTGATCTCGCTGTATCCGCACCCGGTGCTCCTGCCCAACACGTTCGCGATGACGCCCGCGGCGGCGCCTCTGCTGATCGACCGCGAGTTCGGGTGGGCCGACGTGTTCTCGCTCCACTTCTACGACACGGAGACCGAGATCGTGCCCAAGCCGTGGACGGTCGCGTACCCGCTGACGCCGAGCGGCAAGGGCCACCACTGGGACGTGCCCTACGCGCTGTGGTGGCAGGCCCGACAGCGGCTGGTCTCCAACGACCGCCGTCCGCTCGAACAGAACGGCTTCACCGTGCTAGCCTAGGCCCTGCCGTAGACCCTGACGAGAACCAGCGAAGAGGATGATGAGGTGGGACGTACAGAAGTACTGAACCTCTCACCATGATGGGTGGATGGACGGCTGGGAGAAGAGCAAGCGATGCCAGCTCTCTCTGTTGACAGAGAGTCAACACAAACAACACAGAATGTAAGTAAATAAAAAGTAAATATTTATCCCTCTACCGCTGCACGTGAGCCTAAGATCGCGATTCGAGGGAGGCGACGATGGCGGTGAGCCGCTGTCGGGCCTCTTCGTGGTTGCCCTGCTGCGTTACGGCCGACACCTCGAGAGATCCCTCAGCGCCCCACGGCGTGTAGAACGCTGCGAGGATTGAAGACGACAGAAGTGAGCCAACATTGCGCAGACTTTGAGAATGGCTCGCGTTTGGTTTGGTGCGTTTGGTGCGCGCACCGATGGTATAGACCGGCTTGCCGTTGAGCATCGACTCGGCCTCGTTGATCATGCCTTGCCTGTCGGCGACCATGCCCGGCTTGACGACGGGACCTCGCAGCACCTGCAAGTGGCCCCACTCCACATGCTATACGGAAACCGTTACGAGTGAGCTCAGTCGCGCAGTGCGATCATTACGTGGGAGGGGGGGGACGTTGGCGTAGGATACGAACCTGGCGGGTGATGGCCTTTGCAGCCTCGAGGCTGCGACCGCAGTCCGGGAACGAGGGCTGGAGAGTGACGTTACACACCTCCAGCGTGCTCTCGAACCCTGACCGGATGAACACCTTGCCGTGCGTCATGTTGGGAGCTGTGTGTGTGTGTGTGTGTGTCGATTTCATAAGCGCACAACCAAATCGACCCACACCATTCTCAACACTCTTCGTACCGGGCATGTGGGTGAATCGAGGCGGGATGAGGCAGTGCACATCGTCGATGATGTGGACCCGCTGGGGCTGGTTGTCGTCCGGCGTACAAGCCGCCCTGACCTCGGGAGCGACCTCGACGCACTCCGCCAAGCGACGCAGAGCCTCGCGCACCCGCGACAGAGGGTGGAACGCAAAAGCCCTTCGACGTGTGGGAAGCTGACGTCAGCCACCTGTTGACATTCAGCGCAGGCGGGTTGAGCAGAGGGGCGTACCGGTCGTGTTCCTGGTCATCGGCTTTCGAGCGAGGGTAGACGATGTCTCGCCACGGGTTGAACCATTCGTCTTCCGACGCAGCCTGCCCGCCTGGTGTGCGCGTTCACAGAATCTCGGATGAGAGCACGCCTTAACTATAAGGCGGTTGCGCGCTTTGCTTGGAGCTGGCCTTACTCGTGTCCATTTCCTGGGCCTCCATGGTAGTGAATGGCGCATTGAGCGCCGCGTCACGGGCAGTGGGCGCCCTCGTGGGCAGCGGATAGCCGTAGGGATCAGCAAACCAGTCCGCGCCGCCATCCCCGCCCGCGTTGGCTTGGTCTGTGGACAGATGTGAGATCAACTGCCTGCTTCGAGCTGGTCGAGCGGCGTCGTTGGCGTGTACCTTTCTCTCGAATGGCCATCATGAGCGCTTCGCGTAGACCAGTTTGCTTGCCCTCGTCGGCAAAGATGAGAGCAGAGATCACTCCTTGCTTTGCCTGCACGCGCGCACATGATCTCACCCACAAGGTGAGCAACACGGCCGAAGCAACAGATTAGCAGTGATGGCGATGGTGATCGAGAGGCGTACGGGGATGAGCAGGTGGAGCTGGTAGGTGATGCCGCGACCCCCAGCGTACTCCTCCGGCTGTGCCCGCTTGGTGATGCCGGCCACATATCCTCCTGGGTAGATGTCGCATTCAACAAGGCCACCTTGAAGATCGATGAAGGAAGGAATGAGCTGGCTGTGTGAGTGCCTGATAGGCAAGAAGTGGAGAGTACGTACCCTTGTTGTGAGCGGCGTGCAGTCGCAGGTTGTGACGGTAAAAGTCAAGAGAGGCCTCGTCGAGCCACGCGCGCTGCAACGGCTGCGGTAGGTAGTTGAGCACCACGCCCAGGTTCAGCTCCACTTGCGTGCGCGATGCAAAGTCGAGTCAGCTCTCAGCATCTCACGACCACGATCATTCACACTGCCCCGAGATGAGAAGAAGGGAGCGCAGTACGCGATTTGAACACGGCAAGGCCACGCGTTGGCTCCACCTTGATGAAGACCCAGTCGGCCGGCAGTCTGAAGCGAACGCCTTCGAGGTGTGGGAAGAGCTGGCCCAGCTCGGTCACGCCCGTGCCGTCGCCGCCTTGCGGGGCGGTGGCTGCTGCAGGGTCGATGAACCTTGGACCACTCTGCAGCAGCTCCTGCTTGATACGCTCGAGCTCGCCTCTGGCAAAGTGCAATCGCTTCTCCACGGCCTCTTGATTGGCGGGTGTGACCTCGAGCACGTAGAACTCTTCATCTTCTGTGCCCTTGGGTCCGTCCTGCCACCCCAGCAGATGAAATGCAGCCTTGGCGCGCGGCACAGATCCGATCCTTCGCTCAAAGGCCGGGTGTGCCTTCTTGACCTTTCTAAATTTGGGCTCGCCCATGTTCTTCAACACGTTGTCGACGTAGATTATGAGGGTATCGATCGCCACTTGCAACTGCTGCCGCAATTCCTCCACCGCGGCAGCATCTTCAGGCCGCGCCGCATTCACTGCAATCAACGATGCAACTCCCGCGATAAGCGGACTGTAGTCCTCCATCTGCTAGTGTGGGACAAGCTGTGGCCACTCGGTTCGTTTCGGATTATCCTTGATGCGTAATCGCCACTAGTACTTGGAATATTGATTATTATTTGGTAGCGGAAATTTCACTCAACCAAGCACAGCAAAAAACCAGCACGACCTCAGGCTGTCGGTCGACTACGTCGAAGGCGTCGTAAGTGCCACTTACGTTCACCTTTCATCTTTAGTCTCGAGGACCCTACCACGGCGCAGTTGCTCTGCGCAGGGCACCGCAGCAGTGCTCGTGCGCTGGGTCGTGGTATGCAATGGCGGAGTTGAAGTGGGGGGGGGTAAACCAAAACAAGACGCCGGCAAGCGTTCGTCATTGGTGGGCGGAGGAAAAGGATTGGAGACGGTTGTTGCTGTGGCCGCGTTAGGAAGTGAAGCGAGCGAAGGTCAAGAGCAAGCGCGCGCCAAGGCGAGCAGCAAAGGAGAAGAAAGGGCGTCAGCAAGCTCGGGGAGGAGAGCTTCGTCTTGGATATATATAGAGCAAGGAGCAGGCCGAGGTTTGCACGCAGTAGTGTCATACGAACGCTACTGGCCATTCGGGTCCCGAGAGCAGTGCTGAGGAAGAAGGTCTCAACAGTTTCTAATCCGTTGGTTGAGAGCAAGGTACATGGTGCACCCCCTCTCTCGCTTTACTTCATCTTGCCACTCTGTGCACACTCTGCACAGCACAACGTCAAAACTCCTCCGCTGGCTTGTCTCCTGGCGGCCAGCCATCCTCAGTTTACGTTCTAATCTCTGCTCTTCTTCTTTCACTCTTCTTTGCTCTCTTCACCTGTGCAACCAAGGCCAAGCGAAGGACCAGGCCTCCACTCGACCGCAGCGAAATCGATTCTACTCTTCCGTGCAGGGAGCAAGCAACCCGGCTACCTCAGCGACTGAAGGCCAACATGGTCAGACATAAGACGAGGCCCGTGCGCAGCTTGACGCCGGACGAAACTTGCAGCATCCCGACGAAGCAGGAAGATGCTCATCTAGAAGCAGAGGCTGAGGTTCGAGGTGGCGGTGGCAAGGCGTCTCCCTCGCTCTCCTTCTGGGCCGTGGACTGGGCTGCGGGCAGCGACGAAGCGGCGCCGCCGCAGCAGCAACCTCAGGGCAAGACGAGCAAATCAAACGGAATCGATCGAGCAGCCCTTACTTCATCCAAGGATGGCTCCGCTCAATCCTCGCTTGCAGCTTTCGCACCTTCTTCCTCTCCCTCTTCGTCGCTGGCAGCTTCTATGCCTCTGTCGATGATTATGTCAATGTCCAAGCAGGGCAGCAAGTCCTCCCTTCTGCTCGACGAATCCGACGACGAAAGCGAAGAGGAGGCCTACAGCCATCCGTTGTCTTCAGTGCAAGGGATGCCTGCCTTCTCCGACTTGCAAGGTACCAGCCCACACCTTCAGCGCGCACCTTCATCTCACTCCTCCGGCTACTACGCGATTTCCTAAAATCGTGCATCTTCAATTTATAGATGCACGATTTCAGTTCTCCCGCATTTGTTTTTGTAGGATGCATCGTTTATCGCTCAACCGAACCCATTTTCAGCGGGTGCAGCATCAATATGGCCTGCACGCTGCATCAAGCAGTGAGCCGTTTCTCTCTGTTCCTGTCTTCTCTTGGTTGGTTCGCCTGAAAGTCCGGCCCTAATAATATTATACTTCCTGTGGAATCCGCGGCACGCAGTCACGATTGCCAAGGCCATCGTGAAGCAGTCCGGCCGAAGAGACGGTGCCGCGAATGTTGAGGACATCCTGGACTATGTCACGAAGGTAACGGGATCCAACGTTATTCCGCCTTGGGCCATGCTAAGCATCTGTTCCTGCTTACCCTGTCGCAGAAATGGAAGAACCTCCGACGAAAGGACGGATCGCAGTACTCCTCGGCCAGCACTTACATTCGGTACGCTTGCGCCTCGTCCTCCCCTGAGCGCGAGTGCAAGAAGGCTTACTAGTGTCAATCCTACAGGCGAGCAGTCCAAGCTAATCTGCGAAGCACGGCCAACGGCATTGCTCTCTTCAAGGTGCGAACGTCGCGCTTTGATCGAAAGAGAGGGAGCAACTGACAACGTTGCATTTGTGAATCCAGATGGACTCCCGACGGGATGGAGTCTATTGGTCGGTGTGTCAGACAGTCGAAGAGGCTAAGTCGCCAGTACGTTATACCCGAGCCACAGTCCTGCTCGGTCGTTTGCTGACCGATTCCCTATTAGGCCGTTTCGGGTGAGGTGGGGCTGGCAAGGCCGTTGATGCCGTCTGCCGTCGGTTACCACAGTTCCGACATCGGCCTCGGAGATGACGAGTTCTGGACCCAAATGAAGGAGGAGCCCACTTCACCGTCGGCCTCGAGCACCTCTCCTCCATCACCCCAGGCCGAGCTCACGAAGGAGGAAACACAGTTCTACGAGGCCGCCAAAGTGCGAATGACTGCGCTGCAACGTATGCAAAGTTCCACCTCTGCCCCACTTTCCCTCCGCCTTGGAGTTGCTGACACCGGTGCCTCCCCGCAATACCGTAGGGACCGTGTCGGAGTGCATCATGCAATCCGGTGGTTCGTGCCACTTTGAATTCATCCTCGACACTGTACAAAAGGTAGCACGACTCTGCTCTGGTGGTGCGATTGCGTGTGTGCCTCACCTCAACTTTTTCCGGTGGCTTCCATGTGCAGAAATGGGCCGATATCAAGAACGAAGACGGTAAGTACATCGCTTCATGCAGCTTTTTTTGATTTTGTTTTAAATCACACTCACTCCTTCGTCATCATGCGCAGCGCTCCCACGGATTGCCAACCTGAAGAAGCTCGTGGGCGCGTGCGTCGCTCGAGATCGCGGAGAGGACTCGAAGGCTCTCTTCATGGTTCGTTGTCGCCCTTGTGCATCAGTTGTGCTCAGCAAGCAAACACCTGCCGTATTCGCACTTGGATCGCGCCGACTAACTCCAGTGGTGTTTGCAGAGGGACCACAATGCCGAGTCCAGCGGCTACTGGAAGCTGGGCCTCTCCAACCCCTACGTCAAGACGTCTGGTCTGACCTTGGATACCAAAGAAAAGGTACACTCATTGCGGTTTTACGAACAAGTGTGCTGCGGCTCGTGAAGACGGCTACATGTATGTACATTCGCTCACCCACCGTTGTGTGCCGCAAATGCCGTAGGGTATTCCCTCGACGGTCCCCTCCATGCAAGGAAGTGGGACTGCGGACCAGGGCAGCAGCGGTAGCGGCAGCGGCAGCAGACGCAATGTCCCACTCACTCACCTGCAGGGTACGTGCTGTCGTGCGCGCATCAGTTGGGAGGCATGTTCAGTGCACCTTAACTTCTCGTCCTTGCAGAGTTGATCATTGATGCGATCGCCGCGAACGGAGAAGCCGCCGATTTGGAATCGATCTACGCCTACATCAAGGAGGTAACTACGGCTCTCGTTAACCGTTTTGCGTGTGAGCGCCCCGTGATGATGGTTGAGCAGAATGAGCTCACTCCTTGCGTGAAGAGGTGGCAGGGCTTGACGCGTCGCGATGGCACGCCCTATGCCGCGGATATCCGTAGGGCGGTGCAGTCCAGCCTCTTCAACAACTCTTCCCAGTCGCCAATCTTCGTCAAGCTCCCCGAGACTGATCAGAACACGTGGGGCCTGGCCGCACGCGGGGTACGCCTCCACAACACCGCATTCGTCGACAACAAACTAACTTCTGGTACGTTCGTTGAACAGAAAGCGCTGCTGCGTGAGCGACAGCAAAAGATGCGGATGGCTGAACAGGATCAGCTCATCGAAGATGATGAAGATGACGATGAAGACGACGACGACCCCCGCACGCCGTCGTTTGGGCAGGCGAATGGCAACGGCAGCGGTGGCCACGGTCTCGGAAGTCCCAACGGCAATTCGGGCGGCGCAGCCTCGGACAGACCCAAGAAGAAGAGAAAGAAGAAGAACCAGTTCTCTGGCATTCAGCAGATGATTGCCGAGGTCATGGAGCGGAACGGCGGATCCGCACCGTTCGAGACCATCCTTGGCGAGTGTCAGAAGGTCCATCGATCCTCTTCGGCTTGCCTACCAAGCGGTGTGCTGACGAGCTTCAATTCTCTCTCCATGGGTGCGTGTTGTGATGATGGCAACACAGCGTTGGCGCACGCTACGGAAGAGGGACGGCGCGCCCTACAATGCTGACCCCAAGCGTTCGATCAACGCCTCGCTCACTAAGACCCCTGCCTACGGCCAAGTCTTTGAGCGCGATCCCCACATCGAGGGCTTCTGGCGTCTCACCCCTGGTACCCCCCCCTCTTCCCCCGCTCATTGCGCCCCTTCGTGAGAGCGCTAGGCGCCACGACGTGGTGAACTGACCGTCGATGCCGCCGCCAACGCTACGCAGCTGCCCAGAAAGTGTGGGACCAATTGAAGACAGGATCCGTCGAGCCGGCCCAGGCCGCGGTCGCCCCGCGCGTAATGATGATGCCACGGATGAACCTCGGCGCGCTGACCGGCACGAGCGTGTCGCCCGTTTCTGCGGAGATGCACGCGGGATCGCGGCACGACGACGATGACGGCGATGGCGACTACCTCGTCGGCAACGGCAATGGCAATAGCAGGCGGCTTGAGGAGCGCCGGGAGCTGGAGCGCGAGCGGAGAGAGAGGCGGCGGCTGCGCGAGAGCAGCGAAGGAGGTCTGGGGAGCAGCCCCCAGGCCGGCGGGAAGGACTCGTCGTCAGGCTTCCTGGCCGCATCGACGTCGACCAGTCCCACCGACGGGCTGGCGGCGTTTGCGCACCAGGCCATCGGCGACGGCTCCTTCACGCATTTCCCGCGCGCACTGATACGGGAAGACGGCTCCATGGCGATGGTCGACGAGGACGAGATGGAGGACGACGCCATCGACGGCCGGCGAACGAAGAAGCGAACCCGGCGCGACGAGGGCGAGCGAGACGAACTCGAGGGCGACGAGGACGAGCTCGAATACGGCGAAGGGCTCGGCGAAGCGCCCAAGCTCGCCTCCATGCAAGCCATGGTCATTCGAGCGATCCGCAAGAACGGAGGCAGCAGTTCCTTCAAGACCATCTACGACGCGCTATGTGAGGTACCGGGCATTTCTCTCCTCAACCACAGAATTATGCGGGGCAGCCAATTAATTGCTCACGCACCGGTGCACCAACAGAAAGTGGAGAAGGACAAGGGTCTGATGTCGGCTGTCAACTGGGCGCGCGTGCATCGTTCCAACTTCCCTGGCGACAACAACAGCGAAGAAGAAGATGACCAGAACGCCGTCAAGGTGTTTGCCCGCAACGAGCAGGGCAACTGGTCGGTGCCAGACCTCAAGGTTGGTCATCCATCTCTTGCGCTCTTTAGGCCTTCATGCGGAACCACAAGCTCATGCTAATGTTCTTCCTCTTCTTCTTTGTAATGCGGCAGTTGTGCGATTGGGTGATGAAGCACAAGAGGAAGCGAATCAAGGTAGACAAGTTTGTTCCCAAGAAGAAGAACTCCCGAATCGATGAATGAATGAACTCGTTCTACACGCACCACCACGGCTGGGTCACGGACGTACCACCCAACCCACGCCCGTGCTCTTCTACCACCACCACCACCAAGGCCTTGGTGGTAGAACAGCTCATGCCATCAGTACACTAATAAAAAACGACAACAACAACGTGAAAGAAAGTGCGCTCTTGGGTGTATGGGAGGGTTGCGCGATGATGATTTATCAAAACAGCAAACTTGCTTTGAAGGGCTCAGAGCGGGTTGGACTTCTTGTCGTCTTTCTTGAGGTCGTCCAGGAAGGGGTCGCTGGCTCCAGTTCGTCCCACGAGGTCCATCATCCATTTGTTGGGGCCGTCGTTCCACCCCTCGGCCGCCATCGTTCGGTTGACCTTGCGCATCTTGTCCGTCAGGTTTTCTGTTGTGGTAAAGGTTGGTGAAGCGTAAGTTCTCGTCTTGACATCACACACATCACGCACCGCGCACGAGCTCTCTATTGCCGTACGTTCTCTCAGTTTCTCCTTTTCTTGTCGCTGCTCTGCATCTTCTCCACCCAAGCCCCACACGACGAGGTCTTCGATCTCGAAATCGAAACCGTCCATCAGCGGGCTGTTTACGAAGCGCGCATGCAGGCGAGTGAGCATGTGAAGAGTCGGAAACGAAGGGAAAGAGTCAGAGTTGGCAGGGGCGTGTGCAGCAGTGCTGTACCCTTTGCGATAGGTGACGTCCACCGACCTGGTGCTTCCCACCTCGAAGTCCTTGTCGATCCACAACCGGAAGCTTCCGAGATCGCCACCAAAGCCGATGCCTTTGTTGTCGTTATAACGCCCCAGTCAGTCGCACATATGGGACAAACATGCAAACGACAAGGCTTGAGGCGAGACGATTGCGATATATATATATATATATACCGATGGGAAGCTCGGAGAATGTCTTCTTGGTGTTGAGGTAGACGTAGTTGGTAGCCTTGCCCGTCGTCCTGTACACGTTGATGCGCGGGTAGAGCGAGAAGAGGAAGGACCGGGCATCCCCGTAGTAGGAGGTCGTGTCCTGCCAGCCTGTGCACACGACACACATGACACACGCAGGTGACACCAGCGTGAGGCCTACCCTACGCGCAAAGCGATCAGATAGGAATGGGTGCGCACCCGAGACGTTGTAGACGCCAAAGACCTCCTTGGCCTTGGTGCGAATGAGGAGGAGCGTGGTGCCGTGGTAGCCGAACAAGGCCGCGCAGAAGCGATTGAAGCTGTTGCCATGCGAAAGCGCTACAAAACAGGCCAACGATTTGTGAGCCACCCAACATGTTGAGCACGAACGAAGAAGAAGAAGGTGGTGGTGGTGGTGATGATGGGCGCGGCGTACTGGAGTAGAGGACACGCCAGGGCACGGCCCGGTCCTGCGCGTTGACCATGGCGGAGAGAACCCAGAGGCGCGACTGGTCGAGGATGAGCTGCTTCCGGTTCATGACGTGGTCGATCTCGGGCAGGCGGAACGGCACCTGCGCGCCGCCACCAACAACGGGCGCCGCCGCTCCGCCGCCGGTGCTGGTCAGGTGCTGCGACGTGGCGGGCTGGCCGGCGAACTGGAACTCGAGGAGGCGCCGTCGCACGAGCACCTCGACCGTGCTCTTGAAGAGGTGGGTGACGGTGTCGGAGGCCCAGGCGACGAAGGTGTCGATGGACACGGTGCGGCTGCCACCGCCGCCGCCCTCGCGCTCGTTGTAGAGCAGGAGGCCCTCGAGCGTTGGGTTGATGGCCTTCTTCTCCCACACGTGCAGGTCCTCGCCGGTCACCTCGAGCGTGCCTCGCAGCTTCTTCTTCTCCTCCTTCTTTTTCTTCTGTTGCTCTTCTTCTCCCTCTCCGCCTTCGGCTTGGCCATCTTCATCTTCATCTTTCTCCTTCTGCTTCTCGTCTGTGTCGTTTTGGTTCTCTTCTCCTTCTTCGGTGTCGTGCCGGCCGTAGAGCAGCTTGGCGAGGAAGGTGCAGTCGCAGAGCATGGCCTTGATCTGCTCCTTGCGTTCGGTTTCCTCCACCACGACGGCACCGGTCGACGAAGTCGGCGCTACGTTGCTGTCATCTTCGTACATGGCAAAGAGGAATCGCAACTGCTGTGAGATGCCGCCCCTGCAGCACTTCTCTACACCGACGATGAACTGATGTTCCGTCAGCACCGTCGACGATACGACGGCAGCCTTCTCCTGGTGGTGATGCGAGAGGTGAGGAAGATGAGAGTGATGTGCTGGAGGTGGGTGCGCTCCGCCCTCCTCGTTGCCGGCCTTGATGAAGGCCTGGAAGAGCTTCTCGCCGAATGGAAGCAGGATGGGAGGGAGCTCGAGGTGCTGAATGAAGATGTGCCTGTCGAGGGCAGCATGCTGCTTCTTGAGGTGGACGTAGAGGGCACGAAGGTGGTTCAGTTCGTGCTGTGGAAAGCTGTACACGGGCTCGGAGTGGCGATGATGTTTGCTCGTTTGACCTCCCATTTTGCGGGAGATGGAAGTGGATCGACTGAGCAACGCTCTGTGCCGTCAATTAGTGTGCTCGAAGGGTGCTCTACCGCGTTCGTGCAAGTGTCTTTCGGGCCTTTGGTGCAAGCCCTTGCCAACTATGCGGCACGCGATCTTTGTTGGTGAAGGTGGCCCCCACTTCCTCCTCTGCTGTTTCGATGCGAACTCACATAAAAGCAAAGGAAATCCCTTTTCCCGCCAGTGACCGCTCAGCGAATTGATGGAGGAGGTGATTGACGATTCATTGTACAAAGAGTGGTGTGGATGGCTTACAGCGTGATTGGGATGGTGCCAAGCGATGCGCGAAAATGCGATGTTTGATGGTGATGGTGGCACATGTGTAAATGCGGCCGATCTTACCACTTCTTGAAGCCCTTGCCGATTTTCTTGCCGCCCTTCTTGAAGCCCTTGCCAATCTTCTTGCCGCCCTTCTTGAAGCCCTTCATGACGCCGCGATCGCCATCCGCTCCGTACTCGCCCTCACCGCCGCACGCCACCTCGTGAGGCTGATACGATCCGCCGAAGCCAGGGCCACCCATGGCCGGGGGCGGGGCACCGGGGTAGCCACCACCGTAGCCTCCTCCATCTCCTCGCACGTCGTACGCGGGCGCACCGCCGTAGCCCATCGCGGGGGGCGGGGCACCAGGGTAGCCGCCACCATTCATCTGATTGTAGCCTCCATCCATCATCGGTGGAGGCATCCCGTAGGCCTGCTGCTGAGGCGGATAGCCAGGCGCAGGGCCGCCGGGGTAGCCACCGTAGGCCGGCTGCTGGGGCGGGTACCCGCCAGATGCGTAGGGATCGTGGGGCGGGTAGCCCCCGCCGGGAGGGGCGGCCATCACGGGGTAGCCGGACCCGTACGGGTCGTATGTGGGATAGGGACCAGACATGATCTTCTTGTGTTGTGGTGTTGTAGTAGGTGTGTGAGGGTGGCGTAGCGAGTTGGTCGAGCAGGAGGTTGGGACCAAGTAATAGAACTATGATCGATACACGCCGTTCTCTGTCCTTCTTGTTCGTTCGCGTAGTGGTGCGCGAGTGGTCGCCGGAAAGCAGCCCACGGTCAGTTGCCTTTTCAAAATTCCTGAACACCAGCATACCGGCAAGCTGTATCAAGATCGGTATTTGAGGCACGCACCCGGCTCCTTCGCTGAACCCGACACCGAGAAACACTCTCCTTCCGCTGACGTCAGCAGGAAGCGAAAACATTTAATTCGAACAAGCGTAATACCGCGAGAGCCCCACGAGGGGATGGAGCGGGGTGAGTGGAAGGAACTGGCGGATATCGTGCCACAGGGGGACGGAGCGCTGGTCGTGTCGCTCGCCTCCTCGCCCTCGGCCAGGGCCTCTGCCATCACCAACCAGGAGCTGCGCACGCAGTGGGAAACCACCTTCAAGCGCAACACCAAGCGCTGGACCGCGCAGCAGCAGCAGCGGGACGCACACTCCACTGCAAGCCTGCGCAGCAGCCGTAGCGAAGGGGTAGCCCTGAGCCCCACCGCCAGCAGACGCGAAATAGCACGCAAAAAGAACGAAAGCGAAGACAAACGCGAAGAAAGCGACAAAGAGGAGGTGGTGCGGAAGTGGGTGCCGTCCGCCTGCACGGGCGCAGAGCTCAGGCGGCGCCTGACCATCGAGGAGACCATCCAACTGCTCAGCGAGGAGGTGAACCGGTGCGTGCTCAAGTCCCAGGCCCAACTGCAGCACCGCGGTGGCCGCAGCCTCGTTGCCTCCGCCGGCGATCCGTCGTTTCTGCCGACATCACCGGCCTCTTCCTCTTCGCTGCAGCTCCTCAACTCGGGCGAATCACACTTTCATACCACCACCACCGCCGCCATGGACAAGCCGCACCAGCCGCTGCAACTCCGACCACTGCGGTCGCCCAAGGAAGTGCTGGCGGGCCTGGGCCGGAGCAGTGGCGGGAGCGCGAAGAAGGCCAAGGCGGCCGGCCGGAAGGGGAGGGCAGTGAAGACGGCCGGCACCGACGAGGACAGCTGTGGGGGCGACTTAGGAGGGTGGGACCCGCTGTCGACGACGTCGCCGCCGCCGCCGCCACCAGCGGGGAGCGAGGACGAAGCCAAGGTGGCGGTGGTGGGCAGCAACAGCCGCGCGACGGTGGTGATGCTGCGGGGCGAGGTCCCCGAGCCCGACGTGTACTACTTCGCCAAGCGCAACGTGCGGGAGGGGTGGCTCGTCAAGCAAGGTACCTCCTCCTCCTCCTTTTTTTTGACCGTGACGGCTTCCAACGGCTTCCTCATTATTATTCCGTCTACGAAACTCAACAAACTCTTCTTCTTCATCTTCTCTCTTCTCTTTTATTGTTGGCGCGTTTGTGGTGGGTGGCTGCAGGAGGGAGAGTGCAGTCGTGGAAGAAGCGGTGCGTACGGTGACACGGCCACACGGCTCACATGTGCGGCCCTAATTGACGGACATGGTTGTTTGATCGTCCCGTGCAGCTACTTCATCCTTCGACCGACGAACGGCGAGGAGGAACCCGGCATGCTCTACTACTTCGAGCGGCTGCCATTCAAGAACGCAAACGTGCCCTTCTCCTCTTCGCCTCTCCTTTTTTTGTCCTGGTGATCGCGCGCCTCATCAGCCTTACGGCGTGTGTGCCGTGTGCCGTGTGTGCGGTGTGTGTGTGTGTGTGTGTGTCGTGTGCTTTTGTGGGTTTTGGTGTCTATCTCTAGACCCCGGCCAAGGGTGCGCTGTTAATGCGAGAGGTGACCTCGGTGGACGAGAACGATCTGCCGGGCAAGCCGTTCTCCTTCGCCCTGTGCACCCTTGCGCGCAAGTTCTGGTTCCAGGTGCGTGACATGAAAGCCAGCACCTCCCACACTCCCACCCGGCCCACACATGTGCACCTTTTCCGCTCTGGTCCAGACACTCACTCACTCGAGTGTGGGCCTGCAGGCGGCCAGCGTGGAGGAAAAGGTCGCGTGGACGCAGGCCTTCTCCGCGTTCGTGCTCGAGAACCTCTCGACGAGCCTCGAGAAGGTCGAACTCACTTCCGACCGCAGAACTCAAGGTCTGTTGTGCAACGCGCGTGGCGTGTGTGCGCACACAGTCATCAATGGTGGTGGCGATGATGATGATGGTGATGATGACTGAGAATGATGTGTTTGCGGTGCGCGCAGACAAGCTGTACGTGAGCCACGACGATCGGCCGTCGGTGCTCAAACCGCTGGTGGACCGAGAGGAGGCGATCTACTATCGCCTGGACCGAGCGCGCGAGGAAGTGGCCTCGTTTCCCGTTCGCCTCTTCTGTTTTTCATCCGGCGTCACACTCATCGAAGGGAAAGGTACGCGTGTGTCGTGTCGTATCGTGTGGCGTGTGTCGTGTGGCGTGTGGCGTGTGTCGTGTGTTCATTTATGTGATGCGTTTGATTTGGTCTGGGTGATGATCAACCCACAGAGTACCTTTGCCTGGAGGACCCGCTGCACCACATGAAGCGACCAAGCGTGTGCAGGCTCCGATTAGGCGCCAAGTCCAGAGGTTTGGCCCTGCCCCCCCTTTCGCTTTTTTCGCTTTATTATTCTCTTTTGTAGACACTCACCACTGATTGATCGTTCATCGCCTCCACCAGGTGAAGCCGGTCAGGACGCCTCTCTCGGCTTCAAGTTCGAGCAGATCCAGGTCTATCACCGCGCCACCGATCAGTACGTCAAAAAGAGCTTTCCGCGCAAGGTCCGCACTCATCCATTGCTCAGCACGCACGCACTGTGTTGACTCGATCGTACAATCGCACGCGCACGCGCGCTCGCACCACACAGAGCGGCAACAAGAAGGCGGAAAAGGCGACGAAGGAGCTGCTCCGGTTTCTGTATGACGGGGAGCGCATCCACTACGCGGTGGTGGACGTGCTGTTGGCCAGGCTGGCCGAACTCATCCTCTGGCTGGAGAGGGACGCCCGGGGCGGATTCCTCCCGTTCCTCCTGCTGAAGCCCACTCTGCTCCTCGCCTACGACACGGCCGAGCCCGATGACGGCGAAGCCATTCAGCTCAAGGTGCATGAATCCTCCGCGCGCGCACACGACACACGACACACACATACACATACACACACACAAGACACTCACGCCAAGCACGACAGATCATGGATTTCGAGCACTGCAAGCCCAAGCCGGCGGGTCAAGAGGTCCATTCGCTCTCCTTTCTTAACGGTACACCCTTGATGAACCTTCTTTGTTTATACACGGCGCCTTAGCCGAGAACAAATCGCTCCTCAACCCACTCCACCGCTAAACCTTGTGGGCACAGGGGTGCGGCGACTGTGCAAGCTGCTTGATCGGATCTACTACGAAAAGTCCCTCGCAGACAAGGTGGCCAGGAAGTGAGGGCTGCAAGAACTGTGTGGCCCAATGCACATTATTATTCATCACGTCAGGCCAAGCCCCAACATCTCCACTCTGCTCAGGCAACTGCTTGTCCACCAATTCAGAGTGGTGGGCAGCTCCTCAATCATAGGTCTCTGCAAATGTATACTCATGCTGCGAGACCTGCCGGGTGAGCAGGAACCTAAAGAGCTTGTGCAGGGTCTGGGGATCCAGAGTGGTGCCCCACTGCTCCCTCAGCTCTTCAAGCTCCTGCAAGCAGCCTGAAGCGTGAGCACAGAAACCCAACAATCAAAGGGAGGAGGAAGCACCTCTGGAATCTCAAGCTCATCATCTTCACATGCCCCATCAACCTCCTGATTGAATGTCTGCAGGAACTCAGCATCTGATAGACACACACACACACACACACACACAGAGAGAGAGAGGAACATGGTTGATGAATGTCAGTTGGTTTCATAAAGTTGGTAGACTGGCCATCCATTACCTCCGATCACAAAGGAAACCGTCTCCTTGCGCCAGCAGTACGTGTCGCCGTTGTAGTGGTGCAGACCTGGAGGCATGTGAGGGTGGTCATCGGTTGGTTGGTTGGTTGGCCTCCCCACCAGGCAGGCCTGGAGCAGGTGTGGGGGGATTCGGGTACAGTTCATCACAATGTCTGTGGCGCGGCTGACGATCGCTCTGGCCTCTTCGCCCAGCCTAAGCAGCTCCCGTTCCTCGTCGGGGGACAGCGTGCCGCCATCCCTCTTCATCAACTCCTTATCCCTCATCTCGGCGACCCACGCATCGACCTGATGATAATGACGACGATGATGATGGTGGTGATGGTCCAAGTTCAGATGCATGAGAGCGAGCAAGTGGGGCTGAGAAGAGTACGCGCGCCAGAAGCTGGAGGCGATTCTGCTCGGTCGCGATGTTGGCCTGGCGTTGCTGGTGTTCTTCTTCGGCCTCGCTTTTGAAGTTGGCCATGGCGTGCTCCAGCATTTCCACAAGCTTCAACTAGAAATAGCACACACACGCACAATCGCACACGCACACACCACCGCACACGCACACATCAATCCAAACAAGGTGAGCGATGTGCGCGGTCACGGGTAGTGATGACGGAGAGGACGGACAGACGTGCCCTGTGGTCGAGTGGAAGCTGGGACGCTGGCTTGGGCGTGGCCTCGCTGAGAGTGTTGTAGACGTGGAAGGGCAGACTGATCGGGTGCGCGCGCCACGCTCGCCTCGTGGCCCTGTTGACCGCCCGCAGCGGGTGGTCCACTTCGTTCTGCGCGTGACCGCCTCAACTCAGAAATATGACAATGTTCCTATTTTTCCATATTTTTATTGAAAAATACGAATAATCATGTAATATATAATGAATAAAACAAAAAGAATTATATTTAAATAGCAGGGGAAGTACGGAAGGCTGGATGGGGAGGCAGTGGTCGAGGATGAGCTCCAGCAGGTTCGGGTCGTCGAGAAGCCACGCTGTGCCAACGTCACGGTCACTATCGGCGTCGGGTGCCAATCCTCCGGACTTGTCCACCCCTTCCCCCTCCTCGTCGATGCGCCTCCTCTTCATCGCTACAGTACTGCGAAAACAGTAGTGAGATAATCCGGAATTCCATGATTGGCCAGCCACCGCCGTGTTAAAACCGAACACACAAAACCGAAAAGAAAAACAAAATAAATTCAAGATAAATCCCCAGAAGGAAAACGCCGAGTGGCTGCGGCGCCGAGCGGGTGGGCACATGTATCACCGGCAGCAAGGGACACCACACTACAGCACCACCTTCACCACAACACGAAGTGCTCGCAGCTTACGGTTTCATAGACCATCACGTGCTCTCTTGCTGCCCCTCCGCACACGAACACCGCCGCCAACACCGCAGAGACTCTTCAGCCCGGCGAGAGAATCAAATCAGCACCACCGCCATCAGCAGCAGCAAGACGAAGAGATGGAGGGAACACAAGGAAGCGAAAAGCTGCGCACTGGCGTGAAGGTGCGTACGCCTGGTTGATGGGCAGTTTGGAAGATGGACAATCTAATCTTCATCTTCCATCTTGCATGGCCACAGGCACAGCTCAACGTGGAGATGACCTGCCAGAGCTGCGTGGAGGGCATCACGACGGCCTTGAAGGCCGTTCCCGGCGTGACGGTCCTCGACGTCGACCTCGACCGAGGTGCGCTACCTTACCTCATCGTTTTTATTTTAATCATTTTGTCAAGTAAGAATAAAAATTTAGAATAAAATGTACTGATATTATTATATCAGGCGAGGTCGAGCTGTTGACGCAGCGCGTGCCGGTGGAGAAGCTGCTGCGAATCCTGCGTGAGACCGGCCGATCGGCGTCCCTCCAGGGCCTGGGCGGTGGTACGCACCTGTGACGGGTTCTCGCTGCGCGATTGGCGCTGACTACACCACTCGCGCGCGCGTGGCGTGGTCGCGTGTGTGGCGGGTGGCGTGTGGGCAGAGGGCGAGCAGTTGGGATCGGCGGTGAGCCAGCTGGAGCCGGCCGACGGGAGCAAGGAAGGCCCGCACGCCACGGTACGTTTCGCGCAGGTGGCCCTCGACCGATGCCTCGTCGAAGCCATCCTCGACGGCTTCCCTCCCGGTACCTCTTCTTCTTCTTCTTCTTATTTTTAATGATTTATGTTATCCATGCGCTACGCGGCGGTCAGTGTTGTCCTGCTGCTGCTGACGCTGCGTTCGCTCGGCCCTCGGCTTGGCAGGCGAGTACGACCTGGCGGTGCACGAGTTCGGCGACCTGTCAGACGCAGAGCGCTCGGTGGGCGACGTGTTCGGGCGACACCCCGGCTACGCCGACAAGCCCGCCGGTGAGATCGGACGCATCGCAGTCGGCCAAAACGGAGTACTTCTCGCGGCTGCGATATGTGTCGTGTTGCGTGTCGTGTCTCGTGAACAAACACTGACGCGTGTGTGTCGTGTTGTTTTACTGCAGGAGGGCACGATCATGGCGGACAACAAGCAGCTCAAGGTGTGGGACATCATCGGACGGAGCGTGGTGGCCAGGCCCGCCAGCCCCGGCGGCGCGCGGGGCGTCGCGTTCGGCGTCATCGCCCGAAGCGCCGGCGTGCGAGAGAACCCCAAGAAGATCTGCCGGTGTGACGACCCAGACTTTTGAAGAAGTAAAAGAACGAAGACGACGAACGCTTTCTTTCATTCTTTCGTTCTTGTGGCCGACACGGCACGACCGGGGGTTCCCACGCCCCACGCGGGGCGGGGAGCCTCCTGCTACAGGACGCTGTTGGTGCGCTGGAGCTGGTCCTGGAGGGCGGCCATCATCTCGCCGCAGCGGCCATCGTTGAGCAGCACCTCGGCAAAGTCGTCGTACATGGTCTCCTCCATGTTGGCCATTACCAGCGGCGTGCGCTTGTTCAAGCTGATCGTCGGATACTTGTTCACCGGCGCCACCCTAGAATCATCATCATTTGTGTTGTGTGTCGTGTGGTCAGTATCAACTAAAATTGTGAATTGTACGGTAATTGGGGAGTACACACCTGAGCGAGGTGCCCATGACGATGAGGAGGTCGCACTCGTCGAGCCACTGACGAGCGCGGGTGACGTTGGCGCGCACCAGCCGCTGGCCGAACGAGATGGTGTCGGGCTTGAGCACGCCGCCGCAGCCGGGCGCGAGGCAGTGCGGCACGGGCTCGCCCGCGGCGATGCGGGCCACCGTGGCCTCCATTGGGTAGAGGGCGTCGCACGTGAGGCAGCGGGCGCGGGTCGAAGTGCCGTGGAGCTCGACCAGCCGGGCCGGGTCGAGGCCCGCGGTGAGATAGAGCCCGTCGATGTTCTGCGTGAGCACGCCCAGCAGCCGGCCCTGGGCCGCGAGGTGGGCCGCGATGTGGTGCGACGGGTTGGGCTTGGCGTGGGCCGCGATGGCGTACAGGTCCGCGTGCATGCGCCAGTAGTTCACCTGCGCCTCCTCCTCGGCCACGAAGTTCTGGAAGAGCTCGTGCTTCTCGCTGTACTTGCCCCAGATCGTGAACCCGCCCATCACCCCGCCGTTGTCACGGAACGCAGGAATGCCCGACTCTGCAGACCACACAATACAACACAAACGTCAGTGCGGCGTGTGCGTGTGCGTGTGCGTGTGCGTGTGCGTGTGCGTGTGCGTGTGCGTACCGGTGGAAACGCCGGCGCCGGTAAGGAAGACGATCTTGTGCGAGTCGCGGATGAGGTCGACGAGCCTGGCCAGACCCGCCTCGCGCCCGACGTACTGTTGCGCGGGCTTCCACGCGTCGTTCAGGCCGTACTCGACGCGCTGCTCCCACGTGCGCTCGTAGCGCTCCACCGTCACATCGTCATCGGCGTCGAATTCGGCGTCGTCAGCGTCGTCGTCTTCGTAGTCGAGATTGGCGCGGGCCAGGCCCAGCGGATCGTCGAGCACGAACGTGCAGGGCAGGCCGCCGCACAGCACCTGGTCGAGGCGCTCGAGCGTGGCGCCGAACTTGTCGCGGCCCGGCCCCGGCGCGTAGCCGGCGTAGCTCTGGCGCAGCTGGGCGCGCATGTCCTGCAGGAAATCGCGGATCGTGGTGAAGCGGCCCGTGCTCGCCGGCGAGTCCAGGTCGATCTCCGGAATGGCGATCGACGTCGTGTCCGACTGTGTGCGCACACACAACCGACCATCAGCACACGCCACGCACGACACGCACCGCACACGCGCAAAGAGAAGAAGGGGAGGCAAGTACGCGGAGGATGACGCGGTCGAGGTCGTGAAAAGAGCGAAGGCCGATGGTGATGCGCTTGCCGAGCGGCGGGACGTCGGAGCCCAGCTCGAGGTAGTCAAAGTGCTGCGGCTGCGGCACGAACGCCTCCGCGCGGCGCTTCCTCCCATTCTTTGCCTCCTGCGGTGGCTGCAGCACCAGCCCGGCATTGATGTCCATTCTGGGCTCCCAAGGCGAGCGTGTCAACACAACTGTTCTAGAGATGAAGGATGGAAGGGAAAGATGTTGGGAGGGAGACGTACGGAACGTGAAGGCCGTGCTGGGCTTCATGCCCGGCCAGCTGTGCGCAGTAGTATCGGAAGAGGGACTCCATTCAAATTCAATAAATGCCCACAGGATTCGAGGTTGCAGTCCTTAGCTTGCGTGTTGTGGTTGTGGTAGACATGCCTGCGTTCCTCCTTGTACCCTGAGCTAGCCGTTCATGGAAATAACTACGATCAAAAATAAGGAAAATGCCAAACTGATGAAGTGAAAAATAAGGAAAATGCCAATTGTGCGAATTGTTGAAGATGGAGAAGGTGGAGGTGATGGAGAAGGTGGAGGCTGTCGCGCAGGATGGACCAAAGTCGACCAACATCACCTACCACCCGCCGTTGGTGACGCGGGCTGAGCGCGAAGCCAGCGCGGGCCACCGCGGCTGCACGGTGTGGCTCACCGGCCTCTCGGCCAGCGGCAAGTCCACCATCGCCACCGCCCTCGAGCGACAGCTCGTCACCTCTCGTGCCTCATCTTCGACCGGCGCCATCGCCTACCGCCTTGATGGAGACAACTTCCGTGCTGGATTGAATCGCGATTTGGGATTTTCGCCTGCTGATCGCGATGAGAACATCAGGCGGGTGGCCGAGGTGGCCAAGCTGATGGCCGATGCCAACGTTGTGGCTGTGACGGCCTTCATCTCACCCTACCGCGCTGGCAGAGATGCCGCACGGACCCTGCACGAAAAGGATGGTCTCATCTTCGTCGAGGTCTACGTCGATGTCGAGCTGGCCGAGGCCGAGCGGCGCGACCCCAAGGGCCTCTACAAGATGGCCCGCGAGGGCAAGATCAAGGACTTCACGGGCGTGTCGCCCGACGCGCCCTACGAGCCGCCCCTGCAGCCCGAGATCCATCTGCGCACCGCCGACAAGGGCCTCGACGCCTGCGTGGCGGAGATCGTGGACTACCTCAAGGCCCGTGGCGTGCTGCACGCATGAGGACCTCGCCAACCCACCCTCTTCGTCCCTGCTCTGCCCAACGACGTTATTAAGTGATAATATTTATTATTTAATTGTTTGTTGCAGTGTAAACTTGTTTACATCTTGGGCAGTGAAGGACACTGATGATCCTGCACAGTGATGAACATCACGTGTGTGGTTTATTGCACTTTGACTGTCCAAGTGGCTCTCTAGTGTTACAGAACAACAACTTCTGGTAGCCAAACAACATTGCAGTGTTGGTTGAGCCCCAAAAGACAAACGCACCCAAAACATAAAATAATAAATAATAAATAATAAATACTACTATCTACATCACAGATCTCCTTTGAGTCCCCTTTACCTGTAAGCCAAGTGAAAAGAACACCATCAAGGTCAGCTCAGGAGAAGGTACAAGAATAAGAATAAGAATAAGAATAAGGGGAGAAGGAGGGAGTACTTGTGAGGAGACGAGGAGGCGAGGAGTTGGACGTTGAGTTGCATGCACAGGTTGCCTCCCGTCACGTTGCCCTCCTTGTCCTGCAGCGCGAACCACTTCGGTCCGATCCTGCCCCGGTCGGCATCGCGCATGATGTCTCCCAGCGAGATCTCCAGCCTGTGTGGACCACGTGCACACGTAGTGTCACGTGAGACATGCACGACGAAAATGTCATGGGTGGACACCACGGGGGGGGGGGCGAGGTGCGTGCCTGCCCAGTAGAGGGAAGTGACCGGCCTTGTCCGACGACTTGTTGGTGTCGAACACAGAGACCTCGAGCCGCTGGTCCGCCAACGGGTCGCCCAAGTCACTGAGTTTGAACAACAAAACAAAGCGAACCAACCATCAGAGCTGTGCGCCGTCGTTGTGTGTGTGTGTGTGTGTGTGTGTGACCAAAGACAAAGAGGGTAGGGCGTACAAATGAAATCGCTCGAACCAGCGGGGCTGCTCGTCGAGCTTGCGCACGCCGGTCCTCTGCGCCGCCTTGCCCCACTTGACCTCGCAGTAGGGCGACAGTCCTCCCTCGCCGACCTCCGGGATCGCCGCCTGTTCCTTCGACGCCTTCACGTCGATCGGTTCCTTCTTCTTCTCGCTTCGTGCCTTCTCCAGCTCTGCCGGGGCATCACCGTTGCTCTTCGTCTGGTGATGGCGGTAGTTGTTCGATTTGTGGTCCACCGAGTCGCCGTCGACGCTCGCAACTAGATCCTTCGCCTCGCGTATCCACACGAACAGTTGCCGGTTGACGCTCGCCTTCTTTTTCCGTCCGCCGGCTGTCGTTTCTGCAGTGCCTCCCCAAATACACCAGAACGGCGTGAGTATTCGCGCAAGCCCAGTGTAGGCGACTGTGTTGTGAGGTGTGTGTTAAAACGCAGTAATGGGAGGGGGTGAGGGTACGGATGGAGTGGGAGGACGAGAGCAGGGCGCGTCGAGTATTGAAAAGGACGCCCAGGAGGTCCATGTAGCCGGCCTTGATGAATCGCCGCATACTGCTCTGCATCGCAATAGGCGTGCCTCGGGGTGTACGCGGGGTACCCGGATCCGCCGAATTCTGCGACATGCCACCACCGCCCAGTCCGATCAATCACTCGGCCATCTCAATGCACACGGCACACACTCACGACTCACGGCACACACGACACACGTATGAGCTGATGGGAGCGCTCACCTTTTTCAGGTCGATAGTATCTTTGGCGGAGTCGGCATGGTCGATGCAGTTGACGACGGTCAGACTGACGCCGTCGACCGCGGCCAGCACGCAGCCGAACGGACCCGTGAGCGGGGAGAACATGGCCAGGCTCAGCTGTCGCACCTCGTCCGCGCCGCCGTCCTTCCGTGGCGACAGACTGCGCGACCGGTGCTTGAGCCGCTTCTTGGTGCGTTCGTCGTCCTGGCCCGGGGTCGCGAGCACGCCCTCGAACTGGGCGAGCAGGCAGTCGAAGGTGTGCTGGTCCACCAGATCGTAGAGCAGCGTCGACAGCGACATGTTCTGGAGATAGTTGCCCATGTCGCCCTTCTCGATCAGCAGACACAAAATTTCCAGCTGTCCCTTGGCTGTTCACACAGGACACAACACAACACGATACGACACATACGACACACATATTAGGCATTGAACACACACACCACACACACGCACACAAGGGCCCCCAGTTGGAGTACCAATGACTTCGACGAGCGGGTCTGTCGCCAAGGCGAGCGCGGGCACCTTGTCCTTGCCGTCCTTCTTCTGGGCCTTCTCCTTCTTCTTGTTGTCCTCCTTCTCCTTCTTCGACTTCTTGTCCTTCTTCTTGCTGTCCTTCTTTTTGTCCTTGTCCTTGTCTCGCTCGAGCGTGTTGGCCTTGGTGGGCATCGGCGACGAGCTCGACAGGGCCTCGTTGTAGTGCGCGCCACCACTACCGCCGACGGCGCCGCCGTCCCTCCCGCCGTCGCCGTCGCCGCTCTGTTCGCCGTTGCCCGAGTCCTCCTCCTCGCGCTCTAGCACCAGGTTGCTGCTCTTGACCATGCCCTCGGTCGAGATGAGCTGAAACGCCGAACGCCGCTTGCCGTGCTTCATCAGCACGATCAGCACATCGAGCACGTGTCGCTTCTTGTTGTGCTGCTGCTGTTGGTGGCTGATGGCCGAGCTGCTGTTGGAGTCGCCGAGACCCGTGGAAGCGGCCGTGACGGTGGTGGTCGTCGACTCGCCGCCGCTGTCGCTGCTCTTCATGTCGAGTCGGTCCCGCATCTGCCTGAGCGCGCGCTCGCGGGCCTCCTCCTCCTCGGCGTCGTTGGGCTCGAGCAGGAGCGTGATGGTGTCCCACTCGCGCAGCTTCGACTTCTGCGAGATGAAGTGCTGCGACGAGTTGGCGCCCGCCGCACGCAGGCCGCCATTGGTGCCCTGCTGGTTCTGGTGCTTGCTGGACTCCTTCTCGCCCTGCTCGATGAGCAGTCGCAGGATGTCGAGGTGGCCCCGGAACGAGGCCTTGAACAGCGCCGTCTCCCCGTTGCGGTCCTTCTCCATCATATCGGCGCCGTGCGCCAGGAGCTGCTTGACGCACTCGAGCGAGCCGCCGGTGCACGCGTAGTGGAGAGCGGTCTGGCCGGAGGTGTCCTTGAAGTTGGCCTTGGCGCCCTTCTTGATCAGCCGGTGCACGATGTCGGCGTGGCCGCCGGCAGCGGCGCGCATGAGCGGCGTCTGCCGCTGGTCGTTGGTCTGGTGCACCAGGGAACCCTTCTCCAAAAGAAGCTCCACGCACTCGAGCGACCCGCTGGCGCACGCGAGAGGAAGCGCCGCGTTGCCCTGTTTTTTAACAGCCAAACACCAGAAACCAATTAGCGCTCTTTGGGGGGTTGGGTTTGGGTTTGGGTTTGGGTTTGGGTTTGGGTTTGGGTTTGGGTTTGGGTTTGGGTTTGGGTTTGGGTTTGGGTTTGGGTTTGGGTTTGGGTTTGGGTTTGGGTTTGGGTTTGGTGGCATACCACGGGATCGCGGGCGAGGATATCGGTCTCCTTGTGCGAGAGAAGGAATTTGAGGATGTCAGCGTGTCCGCCGGTGGCGGCCATCAGAAGCGCGTTGACGCCCTCGTTGTCGGTCTTGTTGATCTCGGCGCCCTTGCCCACCAGGAGCGACACGCAGTCAAAGTGACCGTTGCGCGCGGCGAAGGTGAGTGCGGAGATGCCCTCGGCGTTGACGTCGCGCGTCTTCTCCAGGGTGAGCTTGAGCCGGTTGACGTTGCCCATCGAGCCGTACTTCATGAGCAGCGCCTGCTGCAGCTGCCGTCGCTTCTCCTCCTTCTGCTTCTTCTTCTCGGTCTTTATCACCACGCGCTTGGGTGCTTTGCTGGCAGCCGAATCGCTGCCGCTCGACACATCCGACGACTCGTCGTCCGAGCTCAGCCATTCCACCTCGCCCTCGAGTTGATCCTGTTTTGAGTACGCGAGGCAGCGTGTGAGCATCGATTCGTTCGATGATATAGATGCGGGCGCTGGGCCAAAGAGGAAGGTGCGCACACGGACCTCATCAAAACTGTCAATCTTCAATCCAGCATCGTAGTCACCGACGATAGTCAGCTGGAAGACGCCCTCTGCATTGCACAACAACAACGCCATGGTGAGTGTTAGAACAGTTGTTTCTTTTGATTGTCAATTTTTGATATGTTGTTGTTGTTGTTGTTGTTGTTGTTGTTGTTGTTGTTGTTGTTGTTGTTGTTGTTGTAGAAGGTAGTAGGTGGGAGAGAGTACCGACGCCGGGGTACTTGACGCAGGGCACGATAATGTAACTGCCCGGGAGTATGTACACCTCCTTGCTCACGCTCTCGGAGCCGCGTTCCATCCAGCTGAAGTAGTCCCCGCTCTTCACCACGTCCTCTTCTTGCGCCTTTCGCTTCCGCACCAGCTCGCTCAATTCTATAACCAGCACATAGAGTTGCGCAGCGTTTCGTTAGCGATGGTGTAACGAAGAACAAGCCAACAATAATAATAATAATAATAATAATAATAATAATAATAAAATACCTGCGATCTTGATGATGTAGAAGCCGAGCTGATTCTCCTTGCCCAGCGTGCTCTGTAGGTTGACAGAGATGATGCTTCGCACGGACACGGAGAGCCAGTACTGGGGGTTGTCCACCCACGTGTGGTTATTGAGACAGCCGCCGGCCGACTTGCCTCGCCATTCGCCCTTGATGCGCGCACGTCACCAAGTCAGCCACAACTACGTTACAACACATACAACGCGGCACGGCTGTGCGACCAACTACATACCAGCTTGCGGGTGGGATGGCGCTGCTTGAGCAGTTTGAGCCCGATGCGCAGCATGCCGCCCGGCACGGAGGTGATGCCGTCCTTGGACGTGGGCTTGAACTCGTAGTACTTGGCCAGACCGAAGGCCATGCTCTCGTGCACGAAGGGGATGTCCTTGAGCGGGATGGAGACCACACCCATCGCGTGATTCGTTTCCGTGTCCACCACCGTAACGCGCAGCTTCGACTCCAGGCTTTGCACGGGGCTGATGATGATGGTTGAACACAGCGATGAGAGTGCCAGAGGGTTGGGTTAGTCACCGATCACGTGTAAACCAACTGGAGGGCGGTGTATTACGCACAAGTTGATGTGGGAGCCGAGGCATGTGGGCTGGGTGGAGAGGGGCACGAAGACGTTGGACGGCAGGATGGCCTTGTTGCCTACCGACAACACGCAGCCATATTGCAGATCCGCGTCACTCGTCGAGCCTCCTGACGGCGCACCTGGTGTCGATTTAATTCCATTAAAACCTCGACACAGTCTGACCCTCAAGGGAAGGAGAAATGACAACGCTATTTGTTTTCGATTGGCCGTAAATAAAATGGGGAAGATTGGACCAAAGGGGAGGGGGCTGCGTACGAGGTACTTTGAGGTCATAGAGGATGACGCGGAGGGAAGCGACGCATTCCCCCCTTGTAGGTCGTCGCAACACGGAATTGCCGCCTCCTTTGCTTGCGATAATTGAACTACCCAAAGATCCCGATCTATCCTTCAATACGCGCACCCTCCTTCCTGCGCCGCCTCCGACAGCCGGCACCGCGCCTCCTGCTCCTCCATCTGTCCCCTTGGCTGATCCTGGTGCGCCAGCCCCCGGCTTGCCTCGAAGCCTCATCTCGTCACGTTATTGCAGCCCCACAGTTCGCCACCAAGAGAAACGAAAGAATAAATTGCGATAAAATTAAAATTAAAATGGCCTTTTGGGCGACGGTGGCATGGAGCCTCAGTAGCAGACCCAATCGATTTGGGGCGGGCCTGTTGTTGTTCAGCCAACAGATCAGGCGAGCGGCGGGTGATGCATAGAGGGCGGTGGTCTATCGTGCGTACCGTACTCGTCGTATTGCTGGCTCGTTAGCCAGGCGTCGTCGAACGCCGCGAGGGAGGCGAATGCGGCTCCGCCCTGCACGTCGCCAGCAGCGGATCGGCCCTGCTCATCACGCGTACGCACACTCCTGGAGGAGACAGCAGCTGCACCTCGTGCTGCAGGCGCTGGCCAAATCCGGGCATCGCTGACGACCCGCCCGCGAACACAATGTTCCCGAATAGCTCCGGCCTATGCGAGAAGGTAGAGTGGTTGGTCGATGCTCTCTCTCTCTCTCTCGTTTGGTGAGTCGTACACCGGGTCGCGCACGGTGTTCTGCTGCATGTCGGCAATGCGCATGTCATCCTCAAAGTTCAGCGACGTGAAGCACAGCGCCTCCTTGGCCTCTGCAGCGTCGTCATTGCCAGATTAGTGAGATTCACAAATACACTCATAACGTAATGAAACACGGCCTACGTACGGCGCACTTTCTGGGACTCAGAGGTGGTACGGAGTCGCTGGTTTGGTTCACGATTTTCGTTGAGCAAGGCGCGGAGGACCCCGGTCAGTCCGTGCCCTCTGGCGATTTCCAATCTTTGCGCGGCGTACTGCAGGCAGTGCCCTGTTGCATGCATCAGCAACCACCATATGGTTGGTGGTGGTGCCTCCATCAATTGTGCCAGCACACGGCGAACACTGAACGATCGAGTACCTTGATACACGGGCGCCACGTCGATGATGTTCTCACCCACGTCCACGACCAAACCGGTTTTGAGCCCGTTTGCCATCAGCGCCGCGACCGGCTGACACACCACACCACACCACACCATACATCACGTCGATGAGCACCACAGCCCTATGCAGAGCTGCGTGGCTGAACTCTGATGGCACGGGCTCCACGTGGAGGAACCTGAGCGACGGAGCAATAGGCCGGAACGTTGAAAGTCTCGAGCATGATCTGGGTGGCCTTTTCTCGACTGGCACGCGATTGCGCGATCGGCTCGAGGTTCAGCACGGGATGGTCCATTGGCTGTACAGAAAGCTCCGCGAACGCGTGTGTCCTACATCAAACGGTACACACGTTTCAGTTTGTGCGTGCGTGCGTGCGTGCGTGCGTGCGACCAGCGCACCAGATAAGCTCCATGTCGTCCCAGTTGGTTACCACTCGCTTTTCGATCTGCCGCGCAAAATGTCAGGGCGTTAGTGGGGTACAGCGTGTGGGAAGCGTAGGCCGTACAGGGAATCTGCAGGTGAGGTGGCCACCTCTCTGGAGGGCCACGTCACCGGTGTAGACCTTCGGGGTGAAGGAGTGGCAGTGACGTTGGCGACCCACTATCGTAGGGAACGTCGCTCGGGGCTTCTCTTCCCCGCCGAATCCTGGTGCGGAGATCTGCCATCAGCTACTCTCTGTCGTGTGTGTGTCGTGTGTGTCGTGTTGTCATGTTTCGTTCGCTTGGTGCTGGCGTACCAACTTTGGTATTCAAGGTGCCGCTGTCGATGACAATCGCCGGGGGGCGGATGCCGGCGTTGACATCGCCCACGGTGAGAGCTGATGGCAACATGGGGCCGCTTCTGGTCTGCCACCGGTGAGCCAGCTCAACGCCTTTGCAATGGTGCTCGAAGCCGAAGCTCTCGTTACCGCCCTCGATATGCCGATTGCGAGGCACCTGAGCCTTGCGCCGACCGTCCGCCACCATGCGTCGGCACAGGCCATACCAGTCCGCATTCCACGACTTCTTTTCGGTTGCCAGCGACGACGACGACGCAGCAGCATTAGTCGCGAAGTGCTGCCACACCGGGTTCATGCGGCCGAGGCGGTAGAGGGCACGACTGGCCCTCATGACGCGCAACACGTCCCCCGGGTCGTCCAGGCAGCTCACCACCCGCTCCAGCACCTGCTCACGCACATTGAGGTGGTCACTGGCCATGGGTAGTGTGAAAATGGCCTTGAGGGGAGGCGTATACGGAGAATGGCAGGGTGGCCCGACCAGCGGAGGCGCTGGGCGTGAAGCTGCGCTGCAATTCGAGGGCCTCCAGGTAGGCCTCCACAAACCCGGTCGAGTCCCTGTCGCGGTACAGCGACTGTCGGTGGTGGTTACAACAAACTGGTGCGCGTATCAAGGGACATAGGGGAGAGTAAGGGAGGGAGACCTCGGAGAGTTCGTAGAGGCTCACGATCCGAGTCCATGCCAGCTCTTCTTCGGGTGAGATCGAGCGCGGCGTGAGGGCCGAGTCCACCCGCTCGAAGATGAGCTCCGTCCGCAGGATGTACTTGACGCCGCTTAGCAGCGGTGCGCCCTTTGTTTGATCGTGCGCCAGACGTCAGACCCACGTATGCACACGCACAAGCGGAACCGCACACGCATGATGTTGTGGTACCTCGTGCAGCAGCTCGTGGCGAAACACGACGGCCGAACCGGTCTTGGGCTCAACGCTGTATACCACGTTGTGCTCCTGCTGACTCCTAGTCTCGGAATTTACCTGTGAGTGAGCGCAGATGGCCCAAAAAAGACAGCCATGATGAGCGCACCTGGCGATATGCGACTCTGCTGCGGACTCAGTGATTCTCTGGGCCTGTGGTGTGTTGATGGCCGGCCGTAGGAAGTTGGTGTGGCCGCCCACGCAGGACGGCTGCGAGCGGGCGTCGTTGAGGTAGATCACCACCGTGAACATGCTCGCCCGCTTGGCGCTCGGCACCCACGGCCCGTCGATGTGCGCACTGAAGTGGCCTCCTGTGACGTCGGCACGTGGAAAAGATGGTGAGCGACACATCACTGCACAGCCATGTGATCGAGCTCAAAGGTTGAGGGCTGATGGATGAAGCACGCACCGGGATGGTAGCGGGCAAACTTGAGGCACTCGTTGAGCCCCACGGGCAGCCACACGCCCTCAGTCCCCGGCCCCATGGGCACCCCCACCGCATCTGAAACCCGAGGCCACACTGGATCAGTTCTGCCGTCACGGCGCACGGCACACGCAAAGAGAGTGAGCACACCAGAGGGACGGAGGCAGGGCAGCAGGCGCTCGAAGAGGGCGCGAGCGGCGTCGGGCGAGAGGGTCAGGAGGCGGTCGCTGGTGCGGTAGTGCGCCGGAAACTCGCCTTCACCGGAGGCCGAAGCTGAAGAGGAGGCGGATCCTGCCGCCAGGGGCTGCATGCCGGCTTCGTCCAGGTGGCGCACGTAGAAGGCGCACTCGTCGGGCGTGAGCACGTTCTCCACGAGCAGTCCCACCTCCTCTTCGCCACCGCCTCTCACATCGAGTACACGCCTCCGCTGCCCGTCTGCAACCCCCCCCAAACACGGTCAGCAGCTCATTTTGCCCCCCCCCAAGCTCAAGTCTGATGTACGGTGAGCGGACGACAATAGGGAGGGGGGATGGGGCAGGCTCCTGAACTTGCCGCTGCCGCCATCGACCTGCGCCGGCTCCATCTTCTTCCCCCTTTGCTTTAGTTTTGTCACAAAAGGCGGCACTCGCCTCCAATGGGCGCGGGCTCATTTTGTTGGGGGTTGTGCTGTGTTGTTTCTGTACACCACCTCGGGCTACATACATCACGATGAAGATGAAGGGGTCGAGGTTGGGAGGGCGGTGGTGGCGGTTGATGGCAATGGCAACGGCGACGGCGGCGATGGCGTTGATGGTGGTGCCGAGGTGGTGGCTGCAGGCGCGGCGGAGGAAGGAGGCTCCTGAGTCGAGCTGGTGGGTGAGGAAGCCGCAGAGGCAGAGGCTGCGAGAGTGGAAGTGGCGGGCAAAGCTGCGGCGGCGGAGGCAGCAGGTGGCAGAGGAGCGGCGCTCGCCAGCGGCAGTGGTAGTGGTGACGTTGGCGTTCCTGTGGCGCTGGTTGCAGGAGCTGGCCTGGCTGTTGGGGTGCCTGACGACGTCGAAGTCGGCGCCCCCGAAGTCGTGGCCATCGGCACAGCGGAGGAGGAAGAAGTAGAGGAATGTGCAGCGAGGGAAGAGGCAAAGAAGGGCGGGCTGACGGGCGCGGCGTAGACGGTCTCCCAGTCGCCGGCGGCGAAGGGGTTCTCCTCGATGATGACCGGCACCGGGTTGGCCATGCCGTGGTTGGTGAGAAAGTCCAGCTGCGGGTTGTTCCGCACCGCGCAGAAGACGTGGTACGGCACCAGCGACACGCCCTCGTGTGGACCACCGGCCCGGGCCTTCTCCTGGCCTCGGCACACGATCAGCGAGTCCCGCACGAGATCGCGCGCGAAGCTGAACGCCAACTGAGAAGCAGAAGAAGACGCCCACGTCAGCACAGAGTTACATACTAACGTGTGGGGGAGAGGGTGAAGGTGAATATAAACCTTGCACAGGAGGTTCTCGACGACGTGACCCTGGGCGGTATTGGTGTCGAGGGGTATGTCGATCTCCTCCAGCATCTTCGGGATCTCACCGGCCAGGAACGGCCTGTCCCGGAAGTGTTCGTAGAGCTATACAGTGCACGTTACGTTGTAGTGTTAGCCGACCGGCCAATGTGGTCCATCGACATGGCGCAGCTTATCTCATAGAAGTCGAAGAGAGGAAGCAGACCTTGGTTCGGACTTCGGCCAGATGCGCGTTGATGGGATCCTTGACCACGTCCATTTCTGGTCCCAAGGCGCACCAAAGCGGACAAATAGAGTTAGCTGGGTTCAGGCCTGGCACTTGCGCGGTGTGGCGGAAAGCGCTTACCGATGGGTTCGGGCTTCACGGCCATCAGCCCGGAAGAAGGCGCAGTAGCCGGAGAAATGACGTCTGAGGAGGAGGAAGAGGAAGACGTGGTCGTCGCTTGAAGCGCGGCTGGCGGAGGCGAAGGCGGGACTGAGGACCCGGGCGACGTCGGCACGTGCTTCCAGGGGGTGAGCGTCGAAACGATCGCCGTTTCGCCCAATCGTTGTCTGCATGGGCATGAAAAGTGTAACTAAGGCAGCTTCTCAGTTTCGTGTGTTCGCGTGTTGACCGGTACCTGCACAGCTTCTGTGTGGCCTTGAACGACTCCAGGGGAAGATGCGTGCGGCCGCAGAATTTGCAGTGCCGCACGACCGGTATCTCCACCTCCACCGAGACCTCCACCTGAGGCGTGAATAATGGTTATGGTCGCGTAGGTGAGCACCTACGGCCACGACGGCTTGAAGCGTCAAAGCGACGGGGGGACATACCGAAGGAACCTTGTTGTGCTGGCGGCACCACAAAACCACCTTCTTGGTGGGAATGTCGAGCTGTATCCTGCTCCGCACGAATTCCCTGACCTTCCTCGCACGCTGCCACTGTGGTCGTAGTCGCGTACCGAGACGTCAGCACACGGGAGTGGCCACGAGAGTACGCAGAATGGACGATGCGCGCGTACCTCGGTGGACTTGCGCTTGCCCAGGTTCCACGCACGGAAGGAGTCGTCGCTCTTGGCGTACGAGTAGGGCAGGACGGCCTGGCCGCGCTTGTCGGCCACCACGGGGAAGAGCGCGCAGCCCTCATCGAGCAGCTCCTCCACGTCGTCGGGGAACACGACCACGGGCTGCGGCGGAATGCTGACGTCAGCAAACGGGTCGGCCATCTGCGGCTTCTGGTCGACGACAGCGGCGGCGCTCCCGGCATCGGCCGAAGGGAGTGCCGAAGGGACTGCCGCCGCGCGGACCACTGGCGCCGACGTTGACGGTGCAGACTGCCCAGTGTTGACAGGCAGAGCTGCTGCGGGCAACCGTGGCGGTTGTTGCGGTTGCGGCTGGGCCTGCGGGGTTGCCGCGGACATAGCCGCGAGTGCAGCTGGCAGGCCCATCGGCTGATAAGCAGCCGCCGCGGGCGGAGGGGCCGGTGTGGGAGGGAGGCCGGGAGTGGCGACAGGGGCGTGGGAAGGGGCGGGAGCAGAGAGTGGATTGGTCGGCAGAGCGGGTGTAGGCAAGGCGACAGGGACGGGTGCGGTTGCGGCGACAGCGGAGGGCGATGGAGTGCCGGATGAAGGTGAAGACAGAGGGGTTACAGCTGAGGGCGTAGCTGTTGGCAGCGCTGCGGTGGTCAATGCGGCAGCGGTTTGGACTGGGGCCGCCGAGGGAGCAGTGGGCGTAGGGGAAGGAGTGGGCGGAGAGGATGATGACGAGTGAACAGCAGTGGCGGAAGAAATCGCCTCCGCTGGGATGGCGGACGAGGATGATGCGAGAGATGTCGAGGAGGTTGCAGCGGCCGACGAGGATGCAACATCAGCTGCCGGAACTGCAGTTGATGACGACTCGCTCGCGGTGGTGACGCCAGACGCAGAGGGGAGGGAGGACACTGCGGCCTGATCGGTCGCCGGCGGCTGCAGCGTTTTTTGCTCTGTTGGAGCTTCCTTCTTCAGTTCCTTCGGTGTCTCCTTCTCGTTCTCGATGTCCATGAAGTTGCCTCCGGGGCTGCTCGGAGCATCACCACCTGCAGCAGGAGCAGGGGCATCGGCGTCGTCACCGTCGAGATCAATTTCGATGATGTCGATGTCTTCTTCCTCTTCGTCGCGCGTTCTTCTCTTGACGACCGTCGCCTCCATTCGTTCGTCGTCTTCCTCGCCTTGCTCCTGCTCGTCGTCCACCTTCTCGTCCTTGACCTTGACCCTCGGCCGCGGGGACTCTCTCTTCCGGCCCCGGTTCTCCTTGTCCGTGACCTGTCTCGACCTCGCCTTCTCCTTCTCCTTTTCTTTTCCCTTGGGGCCGCCCTTCTCCCTCTCTCGCTCCTTCCTTCGCTCGTGCCGAGACGCCTCGAGTTCGTCTTCGCTGCGCCGGTCGGGGAGAGCCGGCCGGCTGCTCTCGCCACCGACCCTCTGGCGCTTCGCTTTGAAGCCTTTGGCGTTCTTGGCTGGCAGAGCGGCGTCGATGGCACCATCGATGACGTCGATGTCCTCCTCCTCCCGGTCGCCTTGCTCCTCGTCTCTCGCTCGCTTGCCCAGCGCTCCGCCAGTGCCCGCGGCTCTTGCCGGCTGTAAAGGCTGCGGAGGCCGTGAGCCTTCGGGCGGCGCCTGCTGTCGCTTCCCCGCTGTGGCAGACGAGGGACTCTTCCCACTACCCGCGCCCTTGGCGGCCACCGGTAGCTCTTCGCTCTTTCCGCCGTCACTCCCTCTTTCCCGACTCGGCGGCTCCAGCTTGACGGTCGGGGGCTGCGTGGCAGTACTGCTACTGGAGCTGGAGCTTGAGCTGGCACTGATGCTGGTGGGACGCTCCTCCTCGAAGAATCGTCGGTTCAGCTCCACCTCCACCGGCGTCTCGCCGCCCAGCATTTGCAGGCCCGAGTGGGTTTGGTCCAGCTAGCGGAAAAAAAAATGATTAAAAAATAACAGAAAAATGAGTGCTTGGTCGGTTGAGCGAGAAGCAAAGGTGATGTGGGGTGCACCTTGAGGTGATGGATGATGTCCACCGGCTTGTTTCGCGTATCCACGAAGTGCAGTTGCACGCGAACCGGAAATTCGCCCCATCCTGCAGAGAAGAAAACGAATTAGATGCGCAGTCCAGGTGGCTTTCAAGTGGACCCACAGATCGCAAGTGGTGTGTATACCTCGTCGCGTGAGGTGAAAGGGCGGATGCAAAACTTCGACCACATCGTTTGGCGCAAAGCTGGGATGGAGGAAGAACCTCGCCTTCTTGACGAAGTGACTGATGTCGGGTTCCTGCAAGTACAGTACCGTACAGTACATACTCTGAATCAGCGATGCCCGAGGCTCTGAGGACATGATGACCGCCCCCACGTGAGATTGGGAGCGCTGCGTACCTCTGCCGGTCCACGCACGTAGACCATCCACTTGTGCGTCGATCTGTCATCACCATCTCGAGAATCTATATATCCGGGCCTGTGAGTGAGCCAAATCTCGAGATTCACACTACACGACCGAACGCTGCATTGGAAGGAGGAGGGGCGGTACCGGTTGGAATGAATTTGGAGGTGTTGCCCACGATGACCTTCTTCTTGAGGTAGAATCGAGACACGTTCTCCGGCACCTCGCCCTCGCTCAAGGTTATCTTAAGCGGCTTCTCCGTCTGCGTGCGCCATTCCGTGTGTGTTTAGTGTGGCTGAGCGGTTGTTGCTGCAAGAAGCGCAAAAGAACCTGTGTAGGTGCGGTAAAGCTGCGCGGGTAGTAGATCATGGCGGTGTCGAGTCTGCTGGGGTCGTCGGCGGGCACGTCGGCCTCGTTCACCACAGTACCACAGGCCAGCACGGCATCGGCGTGGGTGGCGAACTTGATCTTGTGCATGATGCGACAGTGGTTCACGAAGCCCAGCACGTTCAAGAACTTCTCGCGCTTGCACGTCGGGCAGACCAACCTGCGATCGATCAGAGAGAGAGAGAGTAGGTTACGTGATACATCAGCGCCAGCTAGCGAGGCAGAGTACAGGGGAAAGGACGAGGCGACGTACTGCACGAATGAGTTGTCGGGCCTGCGAGCGTACAAGGGGCCGGCCTTGGGGGAGATTTTCTGTCGTTTGCGTTTGGGGCCTGTGCGCACAAGCCCGTCAGCCGGGGCCGCAAAGAAGTGGGAAAGAGGGGAGGTGGTACTTACCACCTTCGGTGCCGCTCTTCGCTGCGCTTTGCTTCTCCTTCTCCTTCTCCTTTTCGGTCTCCTGTCCCGCTTGCTTTCGTGTGAGCTTCTCCTTCTCTTTCCCCTTGTCCTTCTTCCTCTTGTCCTCCCGTCCCCCGCGTTCCTTCTCTTTGCCTTTGTCGCCGGCCTTCTTCTCGCTTCGCTCTTTCTCCTTCGCAGCTGTTCGCTGCTGCGGAGCTTCGCTGGGCTCCACATCTGTGAGCGCCTTCCGTCGTTCGCCCTCCCTGCTCTCCGCACTCTTTCTTTGCCGCTTTCTCCGCTCTTCGCGGGCCTGCTTGAGCCTTTGCACTTCTTCTGCCTCCTCCTCCTCGTTCTCATCCGCCTCTTCGTCGTCTCCGTCATCGCTGTCGGACATGCCCAATCGCATGAAACCGCCTGCATCGTCGCGCATGCACAGGTCACCGTAAGTTCAACAATAGAAGTGGAGAGCAAGTGCCCAAGCGGCTGGCCCGTACGGTTGGCCCAGGCCTCGTGTAGACGCTCCAGAATCATTTCGCCCTCGTGCAGGCGGTCCTCGATGAGTCGCAGTTCACGGCGCTTGTATTCGATCTCCACGTCGAACTGCACGGCGATGATACGTCGAACCTTCTCCAGCGTTGCCTCGTCTGCGTACCAGGAAAAAAACACGTGAATCACTCCGCTGATATACGCCGACACAACACATGCATACGCAACACACGGGCGGCACACACACACACACACACACACACACGACACACGACACGCACGCGACACAAAACGCTGTTCCGTCTCTTCACCTGTGGGAATGCCCTCTGCCCGAGGTGGCTGGAGAAGAGGTGTGGCTGGCGGGGAGAGAGGCGGTTGCGAGGGCGTTGGCGGTGGCGACATCGGATGCAGCATCGGGGAGCGCGGTGGCCCGCCATGAGCACTGTGCGAGTGGTGCACCGGGCATGCCTGACAAGTGCAGCACGTTGTTGTTGTTGTCGAGGAAGACGATGAAGATGAAGTAGTAGTGGTGGTGGGTAGAGTGAACATCGAGGATGAACGCGACATCGAGGAGGGAGGCAGCGGAGGTGAAGTGGGCGCAAGTGTGGGCAGAGCGCCGGCGGGTGCCGAGGCCGAGAGGGAGATGCCCGATGAGGACGACGGCGACGGCGGTGCGGCAGACGAAGTGGCCGCCAGCGGAGAGGGCATGCGGCGCCGGATGCCCAGAGATGGTGGACGCCGCCCGATCGTCGAGGCCAGCCTTTGCGGTGGCGATGGCGATCGTGCCTGCTTTTCTTCTTCTTCTTCTTCTTCTTTCTCTTCTACCTCCTCTGTATCCATGGTGTTGTCGTCATCGCCGTCCACGACCACCTCTTCCTCCTCTTCCTCCTCTGCCTTCTTGTTGTTTTCTGTTCGTTCTTTCGTTCGCCTGTCTTCGCCATCGTCGCGACGTCGACCACGATGATCGTCCCTGCTCCGGTCTTGCTGCCGCCGTCGCTGCTTCTCTTCATCTTCGCTGCGACTATCGCTGTCGCTGCGCCGGCCTCTTCTCCTGCCGCTGCTGCTGCTGCGACGCTGCTGACGGTAGCGAGAGTGGTACCGACGACCATTTGAGGGAGAACGCGATCTCGATGATGTTCTTGACCTCGAGCGTGATCGAGACCGAGACCGAGAGCGCGAACGTGACGATCGTGACCGAGAGCGTGACCGAGAGTGTGTTCGCGATCGCGATCGTGACCGAGATCGCGATCGGCCCTTGTTCTTGCGATGAGATGAAGAGGGGGGTGGGGATGCGACTTTCTTCTTGAACGAGGGGATTGACCCCGGCCTGACGTATCTTCGCTTGACCGGCGATGTGTAGGATGAGGAGGGTGCCGTAAGGGAGGAGGTAGAAGCCCCCTCGCTCTTCTTGCTCCCCATACGCGACATTTCTGGGCAATAATTATGATTATTTTTTTTTTCCCCAATTGCCGATTACTATTCAACGAATCTATGAGGGTCCTCAATAGAGACGCATCTCCATTCGATGATCGCCTGCGCGTCTTCTCCTTCTTCTGATTTGTTTGTGTTTCTTTTCCAAATCTTTATTTTACTGTCAGAATCAAAAAGTAACCGTTTCGCGCCTCTCTATCGCGCAGCTTTTCTGCTCCATGCCCACCCCGCAAAAAGTTCGTCGGCAAAGCACACAAGTTTCTGATAAACACATACCCACAACACAACAACCTTGTACCACAGCCCCCGCACAACCTTGCACCACAGCTGTTGGACTGCAGCAGGACAAAACCAAGGTGCCACGCCCCCTCCCAAGCGGGATCTGTGAATTTAAACTGTTTTATTTTTATTATTGGATTGTATTAATTATTGATTCGTATCTTGGATCGATGCGTTAGCAGAGAGAGCAAAGCATGTGGCAACAGCAACCACCCTCCTATCCTTCGGCCCCTGGCGCCTACCCGCCTCCGTACGGCTCCACTGCGCCCTACCCGCCTCCCGGTTCTGCGGCAGGCCCCGCTGGCTATCCGCCCCGCTACCCGCCCCCTCCCGGTACTGGGGTACGTACTCTCGCTGCCCTCCACTCCGCTGGTGCCCTGTTGCAGTGCACTCACCGCTGTGCCGCTATTTTATTTTTATTTCTTTATTATCATTATTATTTTACCGCAGGCGCCTCCGTACGGTGGGTATCCGCCACCGCAGTCGCAGCCCGGCTATCCGCCGCAGCCACAGTCCCAGTATCCGCCGCCTCAGTCCCAGCCCGGCTATCCCGGCACCTACCCGCCCCAGTCCTATCCTCCGCCGCAAACACAACAGCAGCCTCAGCTCTGGGTACAGCTCCCTCCCACACATGTGCGGCGTTTGTCGCCTTAGTGACACAGCCGACTATCGATTTGATCACAGGCGTCGTCGTACTATAATCAAGTCCAGCAGCAAGAGCTGTCCGAGCTCCAGAAGTGGTTCAACAGTGTAGATAGGGATCGCAGCGGTGCCATTTCGGCCAACGAGCTCGCCAACGTCGCAGTGGGTGGCATTCGGCTGGGCATCGACCTTGCCATTAAGGTTCGATCAACCGTTCTCGCGCGCGCGCCATTAGCGTTGACGGCGTCTGCTAAACGCATTCCGTGTTACGCTTCGCAGCTGGTGAGGATATTCGATGTGGACGGTAATGGACAAATTGACTTCAGGGAGTACGCCTCCCTCCACAAGTTCCTGCTCAGCATGCAGCAAGTGTTCTCCATGGTGCGCAGACAGTCCCCTGTTCTATTACCTGTCAATTCCTGCCCGAGGCCATTGACTGACCGGTCGACCGACAGGGCGACAAGGACCGCAACGGACGGTTGGATTCGAGAGAGATCCACGAGGCGCTGCGGACAGGCGGATTCAACATGTCTTACAATACGTCGCACGCGCTCTACCGTAAATACGATACCACGGGCTACGGCTTGGACATGGCCCAGTGGATCGCTCTCGTGCGCTCCTCTCTCTCTCTCTCTCAACACACACACACATATACCACCACCACCACACTGCACGTGCGTGATTCGTGACTTCTCACCGCCTTCGTGCCTATCGATGCTGCAGGTGGCGCATGTGGCGATGACACGAACGGCCTTCGAGACCAGAGATCGGGAGCGGAAGGGCCAGATCGTCTTCAACTTTGATCAGCTCTTGGAGTTCTCCGCCGCCATTTGATCACCACATTCATTGAGACGCTTGCAAACAGTGATAGGTCCTCTCAACATCGACGTGTTGGTGGTGTGCAACTTCTGCCAGTACACCGTGGAGTGGCTCGAACAAGAACGACACCGTCGAGGGGGTCAGTCGTCGACTTGTTTTCTTTCATCTGCTTCTACGCCCCGACATACCCCCTCGCTCGAGGGTGCTACCCAATGGTCTACCCCCCGTGCACCAGGTGTCGACTACATCGATAAGAAGTACACACGCCCCATAGAGCTCGGCGTGTGCCGCAACTGCACAGAGCCGGCCATCGCCACCAGTAGGACGAGCACCACCCTCAAGCTTGAATCAGACCAAGATCGAGCGTACCGGTGTGTACATCATAATAACGTTTTATTTTACGTACTCTTCAGCACTTCGCGCGGAAGAGAGATGGGCCTCAGGTCTTTGGGGTTCGTTCTTGTTGTGCTTCTTCTCTTGGCTTCGGTCGGCACCGCGACGGAAGAGGCCGGCAAGATCGATGCCGCGGAGACAACAGAGACTGAAGCCGTGGTGCCGCGACCGAGCATCCCGCCGCTGAAGCGATTTGTAGTGGATGAGATCGCATCGAACCACACGCTGGTGCGGAAAGAACTGGTGGGGCGAGGCTGGGTGGAGCCCTCCCGAGCAGCCAAGAAGCGAAGCAGCTGGAGCGGCAGCGGCGCCGCCACGGCGCACTTCCTGTGGACCTGGTCCGTCGATCGCACCAAGGCCGCCCCCGCCGGCCAAATCGTGAATCACTTCCCCCACTTCCAAGAGATCGGCACCAAGATCGGATTGTGGAAGAACCTCTACGCTCTTCATCAGGCCGAAGCCAGTCTTCTTCTTCGGCAAGAAGCTGGAGCCGATCTCCACCCACCACCAGCCGGTGGTGAGGGCAGAGCTGCACCAGTGGTGACAGACGTGCACACCTTCTTCCCGCGGTGCTACCTGCTGGTGGGCGACCCCGAGGCCGAGCGGACGAGCGATGTGGTGGTCGACCCGCTCGTGGCCGAACGGGAGAAGCGGCGCTTCATGGCCGACTTCCTGCGCGGCGAGCCGGCGCCCAAGCTCGTCGCGTGCGATGGCGAGGAATGCACTTCGTCGTCGTCGGCCCGTACCGACGGCGCTGGTCAGCAATTGTCTGAGCTCAGGCCGTGGCCGCAGCAGCCTAGCATCGAGGGCTCCAAGAACATCTGGATTGTCAAACCGTCCCGGGCAGCTCGCGGCGTGGGTACGTTCACTCTTCGCTCTTCGCTCTTCGCTCTTCGTACAACTTTCTCTTTTCTTTTCTGCGGGTCTAATCAATGCGTTTGTGGTCGGGCTGCACAGGCATTCAGCTGTTCTCGAACCTCACGGCCCTGTTGGAGCACACCCTGGGCGTCGAAGCCGCCGCCGAGCTCATGGCCGCACCCAAAGACTTTGCCCCCGGGCCTTTGTCTTCATCGGTGGCCACCGCCGCTGACCAACCTGCTGCTGCTATCGACACCAACGCATCCATTCCCATCGGCCACTCCTCGTCCACACTCAACCCCGACCTGACCACCTACACGACCACGAGCGCGACCCACGACAATGACACTGCCGCCGCGAGTGCCGGCGACCCTTCAACAGTCGCAGACGAGGCACCATCATCGGAACCTTCGTTCATCGTGCAGAAGTACATCGAGCGGCCGCTGCTGGTTTCGGGATTGAAGTTCGACATGCGCCAGTTCGTGCTAGTGGCCTCCCTCGACCCGCTCGTCGTCTTCATCTCTGACGACTTTTACCTCCGATTCACCGCTCAGCCCTTCACCCTCGACAACATCGACGACAGGTACTCTCTTACCACTCTGTAACCCTCGTTTCTCCCCCGTGTCTCCTGTGCGCACCGCTGACATGTCCCATAATCTCTTGCGCGTGTGTGCGTGTGCGGCGATGCGTGTGCGCTTCAGGTTCCTTCACCTCACGAACCACCAGGTCCAGAAGCACGCACCCGACTTCCACAGCGCCGAGATCAAGGAGAACCAATGGAGCAGCCGCACCTTCATCCAGCACTTGAGGTGGCTCTCCATCTCTGTTTCTTCTTCTTCTTTTCCCTGGTCCTAATGACCAGATCTGGGTGGTCTCAACAGTGATACCTATGGCGAGGGTACGTGGGAGAAGCGCATAACGCCGCTTATCGATAAGCTGATCGTCACCACCATGCTTTCTTGGCCATCCAGTGGTACACGACACCACACGACACGACACGACACGCACACGACACGATACTATACGACCCACGATGTACACGATGACACTACACACGACATGATTGACGGACTTTGCGTTTTATAAATTTATGTGTGTAGGCCATAGGGAGGGCAGTTTTGAAATGCTGGGGCTCGACATCATGCTTGATGAGGACCTGCGGCCGTGGCTACTCGAGGTCAACACCAATCCCGGCCTCCACCTGCTCACTGATGTGGTCAACGAGCACCACCCCAAGTTCGTTGCCGATATGTTCAAGGGTATGACCACACACACACACACACACACATACACCACGACACGCCACAACAGCTGGGCAGTGATTGATGGGTTTGGTGTGTAGTGATCATCGACGAGAGGGCGTCGTGGGAGGCCCTGCCAGCATTCAACCCCACCTTCACCGCGGGCGAGGAGGCGCCGATGGTGGTCGGCAGCCTGCGACTGGCCTACAAGGGCCACAAATCGACGACCGCCAGCCAGCCGCCTGCGACAGCCAGCCCCCGCAAGCAGCGCCAACGCGGCAAGGTGCGAGACTGGGATAATTTATGATCGATGCACACGCACGCGTGTTCGATTTCCAGTTCGTCGCTGGAATCGATGAAGCTAGTGGTGTGCCGAGGTTGGATATGCTGGATACGGCCATACTGCGCAGAAAGCACCGCTTCCCATCTGAACAGCGAAGTTAAGCTGCGCCAGGCGGTGTTAGTACTGGGGTGGGCGACCACGCGGGAATCCACCGTGCCGTATCCTTTGTTGTGATAGCGCAGCATGCGCTTTTGATCCTTGCTCATCCACATACACGCCGACATCAGCAGCTATCCTCATCTCTCTGGCCGAGCTTCACTGCGCGCAGCCCAGGAAATTCTTGAGATGACCCATTGCCAGCAAACAACAAACAACGGAAGTAAAAAAGAACAGAAGACCATGCAAGCCAGCAAGGCGAAGAAGCCAACAAGGTGTCCAGTCCCGCCTATCATAGAGAAGGGTCTTTTGCAAGTGGTGAGTGGTGCCTAACCAATCTCGCCCACCTCAAGGAAAGAGAAGGAATGCTTCCACTGCAAGGAGGTGGGTCATCTAGCCAAACACTGCCCAAAGGTCAGAGGGGCTGGTGTTCAAACAGGAGATGATGCCGCCCTGGTCTACACACCACCACGAAGACACAAATTTGAAGCGGAGAAGGATCGAGCAGCCTTTGCACAGAGGGTGAGAGCCTTCAAGTTCCAGAGCCGCAAGTCACATCAGTACGCCACTCACTTCCATGCGGAAGCCAAGCTGACACTCACCCTTCTACCCCTCAAAAACCAGGCTACAGCCCGAGCTGTACAAGCCCATGATGGAGGAGGTCTTGGCCTATCTTGTGTGGGCGCATGGCCAAGCCAAGGCGCTCATGGTGCGCCCTAGGGATGTCCGCCTTGCTGTTCGCACCAAGCCTATGACTTGCCCACCTGGTACTCGCACTTGAGCCCTCCAACGAACCACGTTTTACTATTCACACCTCATCTCACCTCACCCGTGTCAGGTGAGCTCACCTTTGCCGACACGTCGGCGATGACCGGCTACATCACATTCTCGACCGCCGCCATCGAGCGCGGCCTGCACGACGCCAGCGAGTCAGGCTATCCGTGCGAGCAGCCCTTCTTGGACCAGTATTGCCGAGGATTGAAGGAGGAGCACCTCATGTGGCTCCTCCTTCACGAGTTCACCCACCTCTTTCACGGTACGTACCACCATCTTTAGTGCCGAGCGATCCTCGGTTCGCAAATTGACGTGTGGTGCCGCCACATCCGCTCCAGGGTTCAACAACGACCGGCACGACGAAGCGTTCTTCGAGCAAGTGGCTGCCTTTGCGGAGGAACATCCCTTCCTCTTCTGTTCTTCCGAGACAGATCAACACCTCGACCTCAGCGATAAAATATAATCACCCATCACTTCGTCCAGAGATGAACGCAGGTCAGAGCAAAGAAAGAAAACGAAAAAGAACGAAGCAAGAAGTGTTCGCGAGAGGGGAAGAACGAAAGCGAAAGAGGCAATTGCAAGTTGGGATGTGTGTACGCGGGAGCGTTTGTATTTACTACAGTGTTTACAGCAACACCAGCCAAGGTGCTCACTTAGAAGCACTTGCGGTGGACAATAGAGGGACCCGACTCGTCGTACTCCTCCTTGGAGATCCACATCTGCTGGAAGGTGGAGAGCGAGGCAAGGATGGAGCCACCGATCCACACGGAGTACTTGCGCTCGGGGGGAGCGATGATCTTGATCTTCATGGTCGACGGCGCGAGGGCGGTGAGCTCCTTCTGCATGCGGTCGGCAATGCCGGGGAACATGGTGGTACCGCCGGAGAGCACGACGTTACCGTAGAGGTCCTTCCTGATGTCGACGTCGCACTTCATGATCGAGTTGTAGGTGGTCTCGTGGATACCGGCCGACTCCATGCCGAGGAACGAGGGCTGGAACAGGGCCTCGGGGGCACGGAAACGCTCGTTACCGATGGTGATGACCTGACCGTCGGGAAGCTCGTACGACTTCTCGAGGGCCGACGACGAGGCAGCGGTGTGCATCTCCTGCTCGAAGTCGAGGGCGACGTAGCACAGCTTCTCCTTGATGTCACGCACGATCTCGCGCTCGGCGGTGGTGGTGAACGAGTAGCCGCGCTCGGTGAGGATCTTCATGAGGTAGTCAGTGAGATCGCGACCGGCGAGATCGAGACGCAGGATGGCGTGGGGCAGGGCATAACCCTCGTAGATGGGCACGGTGTGGGTGACACCATCGCCGGAGTCGAGCACGATACCGGTGGTACGGCCCGAGGCGTAGAGCGAGAGCACGGCCTGGATGGCGACGTACATGGCGGGGGTGTTGAAGGTCTCGAACCTGATGGGAGAGAGAGAGGAGGTGAGTCTATCTTTCATGCGAAACCACACCTATTGCGTGGCGGTGATGGAAAAGAGGAGGAGGCTCGTACATGATCTGGGTCATCTTCTCGCGGTTGGCCTTGGGGTTGAGCGGGGCCTCGGTGAGCAGCACGGGGTGCTCCTCGGGGGCCACGCGGAGCTCGTTGTAGAAGGTGTGGTGCCAGATCTTCTCCATGTCGTCCCAGTTGGTCACGATGCCGTGCTCGATGGGGTACTTGAGGGTGAGGATACCACGCTTGGACTGGGCCTCGTCACCGACGTACGAGTCCTTCTGGCCCATGCCGACCATCACGCCAGTGTGGCGGGGACGACCGACGATCGAGGGGAACACAGCGCGGGGGGCGTCATCACCGGCAAAGCCAGCCTTGCACATGCCCGAACCGTTGTCGATAACCAGAGCCTGAACCTCGTCTCCCATGTTGATGTAGTTGGTGGTGGTGTTGTAGAGTTGTAGTAAACTGAAGAATACTGCGCGCGAGGGTTGGGTTTTATTGTGGCGGTGGTGCCAACGGCGTTGCCCTTGTCGCCTGGTGCCGAGACTCCTGGCTTCTCCTGCACTCCGCAAGTGGCCAATGGGCGGTGGTCCCGGAGCTGAGGGCGCACAGTAACGGGAACCAACAAGGCAGGTTTGCGGTACTGCGGGCATCAATGGCCAATCACGTGTGCGTAATAAATCCTTCGCTTCCCCTGCGCTCTTACCCGTTGTCGCACAATTTCGCAGCCGAAAAAAGGCAGAACACGAAACGTCGCAGGCGACGTCTGCCGCCAGCGAGGCAAACAATGGGACGGCATTCAACTGCCAGCTCGCTGGGGTGGCAAGCTACAGGGCTGGCGTGCACCTTGGAGACAACAAAGAGCATTTGATTGCCGACCTGACGTCCCCCTGCAGCGAAGCCCCGAGACAAAAGGACACTGCCTCACGTGAGGATCGAACTCACGACCTTCAGATTATGAGACTGACGCTCTGCCGACTGAGCTAGCAAGGCTTCCTATCCGTTAAGCCTCTAACCCAGCAGCCCAAGCGCGTTTTTTGGCTCTGTTAACGGTGAAAAGCAAGGAAGAGGCAGAAGGTAATGTTGAGGGCAAGATCTTCTTTTATTGACAAAAGGAGGTGTGGGTGGTTGTTCAGGCCTTCCACACGTTGTCGATCTCGTTCTCGGGCAACACGAGCTCCTCCTCCTTCTTCTCGCGGAGCTGCTTGGAGATCTTCCTCTCGAGGAACCGGTTGGCAACGTCCTTCCTCTGCATCTGGCGCATCTGTGATTGCCAATAGTCACATGATGATGGTGAGCACCAACCCGCGAGACCAGAGAAAAAGAAAGATGCGTACTCTGTTGGGCGAAATGAAGTTGGGGTTGAGGTAGAGCGTGGGGCCGCCGAAGCTGCCATCAAAAATGCGGTGCAGGTGCAGCACGAAGCGAGGGCCGATCTCCACCAGCGTACGCTCCTTCTTTTCATTCTCTACGATCTGTGGTGGTGGAGGAGGAGGATTGATTGTGTGAGAACGCGTAATCGGGAAACGGAGCCCAAAGGGATAAATTATACCTGGTAGTTCCTGAACCAGATCTTGTCATCGACGATGGAGAAGTGGAGGATGTGGTCGATGAAAGGCTTGCTCTTGCGGTGGCCCTTGGGAGTGCCGAACACCTGCCGCCGCACGACAAACACAAGTTGGGTAAGCTCGCTGCTGTACTCGGACACGCACGCACGGGCACTGGTGTGTGCGTTATGCAAGCACGCGCAGAGTTAGTGTGAAAGGCATCGGTAAGGTGTAGTCGCGAACCTGAACGAAGAGCTCCTTGACAAGGAGCCAGTGAGGCTGCTCCTCGAAGCCCTTGTCAAACGAGAGAATAGGACGGGAGCCGCGCATGGCGTTACCCGTGAGCTTCATCTCATCCATGGTGTGCACTGTGGGCAAACAAGGTAAGCAATATAAACCTCGACGAGCACGAAGGAGCCCTCGTTAAGGGAGCCTCTTTGAAGGCAGCCATCAACAGCTCGAATAGATAATATCTTGAGAGATTAAATCTAGAATCGGAAATGAATAAGAGTAAATCGCAAGACGTGCCATTGAGGACCAAGAACTTGGCGGAGGGGCCGTTGGGCGTCTTGCCCACCCACAGGTAGAGATCCTCCTTCTTTCGGCACTCGAAGAAGAGCACGTCGTTGCAGTTGTTGAGGTCGGCAATCTCGTTAATCGTGCCGAGGTGCGATTTGTCGTCCATCTTGCTCTCCTTCTTGCCGTGCGGCATGAGCATCCGCATATCGTTCATCAGATGCCGATACCGATGCGTGACTCCTCGCGAGCACAAGATCAACACCTTCTGTTTGTTCTTGAACGGCGGCAATTCCCTCTTCTTCGACGGATTCTCCACTACCTCCTCCTTTGCCTCCACCTTGGCCAGCTGCTTCTCCTTGTTCGCCGCCGCCCTCTTCCTCTTTCTGTTGGCGTTTCCGCTGCCGCCATTCTGTGGTGATTTCGTGGCCATCTTGCTCTTCTGATCTTTGTTCTAAATGGCTTTCGATTCTCCTCCTGGTCCGGCACACGGAGAAAGCCTCCGGAATCTCTTAAGGTGGCTGTACGAAATGCATTTTGTAATAGTTTTGTAATGACTTTGTAATAATAAATAATTTGGTGCAAAGGTGCCTTGTCCTGCCCGAGCACCAGCTTAGGAAGGGCGGGTCACGAAGTCCTTCCTCAGGGTTCCGGCTTGGGGTGGGAGTGGGTCTCTGATGTAGGAACCCTTGAGCTCCTGCATGTTGCGCGGCAACGACGTACGTTTCGTGACCCAGGTCCTGCTGCGCTTCTTCTCCTGTTCCACAAGCTGACAGCAAAGTTGCTGTGTGAGTGTGGTGACCAGACCTTGGTGAGAAGGTTGCGTGAGTGTCGTGTGTGGCTCACCTGCAGTCGCAGTTCGTCGAACTCTTTCTGGTTGATGACGCTCGGACGCTTGGCGTACTTTCGGGGCGACAGCAGGGAGTAGATGCCCTCCTCTTCGTCGTCCTCGCTGCCCGCCTTCTCCTTGCCCCGCTGCGCTTGGTGCCCATTCGCCAGCTCGAACAGGTCGGCCAGCGCATTGTTGCCGCCGGCGGTCTCGCTTCGCGCGGACAAAAGCTTATGTTCGAGCGTGTGGATCTCTTCGAAGTCGGCGTACTCCTGGTCGAGCGCCGCGAGGTCGGCCATGGCCTTGGCCACGTCGAACGATGGCGGGATTGTCGGGTACCGCAGGCCCGCGGGAGCGGTTGCCGCATGGTGCGCGGTTGTCAACCGCCGCGCGGCGGGGGATAACGGTGACCCGGTCTCCGACCGAGGCGACATTGGCGACGTCGGCGTGGCCTTGGGCGACAGCGGCGGTGAGGCAGGTCTGGGCGAACCCGGCGGGGTGAAGAAGCGACGCACCGGCTCAGGCAACTCGATCGCACTGGTCCTGCTTCGTGCATCGTCGCCGTCGCCCACCGAGAGCCTGCGATCAGCCGGCGGACTAGCGCTGAGCGAAGCGGGGACGGTGCCCTTGGGACTGCGCGGGCTCGCCAGCGGGCTCGCGCCGCCCGGCTGCAGCTTGGCCTCCTTCTGCCTCTGTAGCTCCCGAATGAAGTCCTCCTTAGACATCTGAATGCGGCTGCCTTTCTGTCGCCGGTCGTCGTCGACAACCAGTCGCGGGCTCGTCGTCCTGCTGCCTCTGCCGCTTCCGCCGCTGCCGTCACTACCACTGTCACCGCTGCTGATGCGGTCGCCGGTGGTGGTGTTCGTGAGGTTCTTGCCGGTGCTGCTGCTGCCCTGGATGCCCTCCAGGGTGTGTCCGGCTTTGAGCGGCGAGGCCTCTTCCTTCGCTGCCGTTGCCTCCTTCTTGTGCTGGCTCGATCCGCCTCCGCTCTTCTTCTTTGCCTTCGACCCTTTACGCTTCTCCTTCTTCCCGCTCGTCTTCGATTTCGTCGTTCCGCCTTTCACTTCTCGTCCGCCCACATGCTCCGTGTCACCACCATCACCTCCTTCTCTTTCTTCCTCTTCGCTTCCTGCCTCCTTTCTCTCTTCTTCGTTCTTTTCTTTGTTCTTCTCCTCCACGCTGGTAAGCTCTGGCTTCGTCGCTTGCTCGACCTTGAGCTCCGCCGCAGCAACCGCAGTCGGGATGACGTCGATCGGAGGCGGCGAGGCAGCTCTGGCGAGCGAATCCGGCTCGGAGCCTCGGTCGTCCCACTCGGTGTAGGCCCTGCGCCGGCCGACGGGGAGCGCCCGGGCCTCTTTGGCTCGTCGTGCGGGTCCTCCTCCTGCCCTCGTCCGCTTCTTCCCGTCGCGCAGGTCCCGCAGCTGCGAAGCGTAAATCGGCGGCAAGATGGACGACAGCAGGTCGTAGATGGCCGACACGCTGTCCCACGACGTGAGCAGCCTGTCGACCCCGCAGTGCACACATAAAACGTCAACAGGGAAAGAGAGACCTATTGAACGGTTTTGCAATGACAAACCTGAACTTGAGAGCAAATATGACAAAGTGCTTGGTGAAGGCGTTGAGCAGCGCGTCGAGCTTCAGCGCAGTGAGTTCCTGCCAGTGGTGCCTGGAGATTGCGAGACCAGCGCACGTGTAAGCTCGCACGGGCTGGTCGTGGGCGCAAGAGAAGGGGAGAGGGGTAGTACGTACCAGTAGAGATGCATGGCGATCCGGAACGAGCGGCTCCAGATGAGGCGATACGTCTTCTTGAATGCCGCTTCGTCTGCAGATTGCGTAGAGCCCGCACGAGCGAAGCGGTTTCGTTACAAAGCCAATCACGGAGGAAAAGGAGAGAGGCTCGCACCAGCAGGGTCGAGATGGAATTCGTCGGTGAGCTTGCGCGCCCACTGCACGAGTGCTGCTATGTATTCGGTGGCCGACAGCGCCGCTGGCTTGGTGCTGTATTCGCCCTCGGACCACAGGAACTCGAAGCTGCACCCGAGGCGAGTGGTGTCAGAGCAGACCCATGAGTCTCGTGGGATTGGCTCGTTATCGAGGGAGATGGCCGTACTTGGGGCCGGCAGACATCTTTGGGCACGAGGCAGGTGTACATTCCTTGTGCACGGCGTGGTGCATGAGTTCGTAGAAGCTCAGCAGGTCGTGTGCTGGTTTGCAGTGGTCATCAGTCCACCAGTTTTTTGATTAAAAAAAATCATATTGTGAGATAATTTCTAATTGTATCTCACGCCTCTGGAGCTAGAGTAATGAAATGGAATTTTAAAATTTAAATAAATAATCATTGGTTATTTTTATGGTATTTAATATTAATATAAAATTGGCGGGCAGGGGGCACTGTTGAGTTGAATCCAGAGGGGCTTGGTGTAGTCGTCCTCAACAGGCACGTCGAAGATGTCCCGTGGTTGCCGCACCTCGCGTCGTGGGCCTGCTGCACCTTCCTCTCCCCCCGCCCCAGCTTCACCCTCATCCTTGTTGTTGCCCCCTCGCCCAGCCCGTCGTTGCTTGGCCTGTGCCGCCTTCGTACGGAGGGCCAGAAGGAGGGCATCGTCCTCCTCCGCCCCACCATTCAGCACAAACTCGCCCACGTCCATCTTCTGCTTGAGCTATTTTCACAACCACTCCTCGCCCCTCTACCAGCCGCGCGTGTTGAAGGGTGGAGGGTTTGTTTGTTTGTTTGCGGCTCCTTCTTGTAACGAAGCAACCTTGAGTTGACTCCATTTTATACAGCCAATGGTCGTGGTGCCCTTTCACGTGTGGGCGTACTTAATGGTTGGGTTGTGGGAGGCAAGCACAAGAGTAGCAGAGCATCACTGCTGATGGCCTCGATCATCAGTCTCGTGAGGTGCGCCTTCATCAGCCAAGGCCCTCCCGGCGGCGCACTAACCGGAAAGGTAAAGTGAAAATGGTGCGCTGTGGTAACGGCGACAACAGGGTCTTCATAAGGAGGACTGCGCGTTTCTCTGGTTGTCTTCCTCGCCCAACGACACACTATTACCACACTCGCTATGTCCAAGTCCCTCGAAGGTAAGGTCGCCGTCGTCACCGGAGCCAGCAGCGGTATCGGTGAGGCCATCGCCAAGGTACGCGTTTCCCGATTGATGTGGTGATTTTGCTACAAGGTGACGATTTCGTAATTTGAGATTGACCGAGATTAATGATTAACAATTTGGTGGTCCCGGTGCATGTAGCGCTTGGCCGAGGCTGGAGCGAAGGTGGTGCTGGGCGCAAGGCGCACGGACCGCCTGGAGGCCCTCAAGAAGGAGATCGAGGCCGCCGGAGGAATTGCCGCCTACAAGGAGACCGACGTCGTCTCGCGCGACCAGGTCGTGGCCCTCATCAAGACTGCCAATGACACCTTCGGCCCCGTACGCCCCTGGTCCCCCCATTTGCATTTGTATTATTTATTTGCCAGACTCTTGTATTATTTATATTATTATCTTTATCTGCGTGCTTGGTTGTGGGCACGACGTGCATGCAGGTGGACATTCTGGTCAACAACGCCGGTGTGATGCTACTGAGCCCGGTCGATGCCCTGCTCCAGGACGAGTGGGAGAGGATGCTTGACGTGAACGTCAAGGTTTGTGCACGCAGTCCCCATTGCTCCTGCCGCCTTGCTCGCGACCTCACCCACAAGTGTGTGTGTTTGTTCAGGGCGTCCTCAACGGTGTTGCTGCCGTTCTGCCGGGCATGACCGAAAGGGGCAAGGGCGACATTGTCAATATCTCTTCGGGTGCGTTCCTGCTGTTATGCGTGAGAGTACAACGAGTTGTGATCTCAACTGTCATCACGTGCAGATGCTGGCCGCAAGCTCTTCCCCACCGGCGCCATTTACTGCGCCTCGAAGTGGGCTGTTGAGGCCATCACTCAGGGTCTCAGGAGCGAGGTGAGGCCCAGCCCGCCTTCTTCTTTACTCCCTCGCTTCGAACTACTGAGTGCTTAACTTTCATTCACATCAACCGCACTCAGCTCTCGGGCAAGGGCCTCAGGGTGACCTCCATCCAGCCGGGAGCGACCACCTCGGAGCTCGGCAGCCACATCACCCATGAGGAGACCAAGAAGGTACAGCACACCAACCTCTTGCCTCCGATGGTTGTAAAAGTAGCTCAACTGAGCACCGTGGTGGCATCTAGGGAAGCGAGGGGTTCAAGAATGCGATACGCTTCCTTGACGCCGACGACGTCGCGCGGGCCGTCGTGTACGCCGTGTCGCAGCCGCCCCACGCTGCCGTCAACGAGATCCTCATTCGCCCCACTCAGCAGGGCTCGTAAGGCCCCAGCACGAGAAGAAATATATTTTTATTTTCCTATTCATTTATTTTTCTCCTGCTTTTTCTTTTCTCCTTCTCCTGCGCCCCACAAAACCGCTTTCAATTGTAGAAACAAACAAAGCATCAACGCGCAATGGATCCTCACCAGCAATCTATGCTTGTACGTAACTAGTCTTATCTTATCTTCTTTAGATGGAGATCTCAAACTGGCGGATAACTTGCGTATTCAACTTCAACTTGCGTATTCCTCTTTTGCATCCTTTCTAATTCCTCTACCTTTTTTCCCTTCTTTGTAGCAGGCCATGGGTGCCCTGCCCTACCCCTACGCTTATTCCTATGCTATGCCCGATCACCTCGCTGCCGCAGCTGCGGGCAAGCGATCTCGCGAGGATGGCCAGGGCGAGGTGTGCCGGGACTACCTCAGCGGTAAATGTACTCGCGGAAAGAACTGCAAGTACATCCATTACGATCCCTATGGATACGGCATGCCCGTCGCCCATCCGATGCAACAGATGCAGCAGCGAAAGACCTCGATCGAAGTGTGCATGGATTTCCAACGCGGGACGTGCACGCGCGGCCTCGATTGCAAGTACCTCCACGTCCAATCCCCCGGCGCGGGAGTCGAATCGGGTGTGGGCACCGCCAAGCGAAGCAGCGAGATCTGCAAGGACTTCAACCGCGGCCTCTGCACTCGTGGTGACGCGTGCCGCTACATCCACGTTACGATCCCCACGATCAACCAGCAGGCCATCGGCGGTGGACTTGCCATCAGCGGCGGACTTGCCATCAGTGGCAGCGGAAGCAGTGGTGAGGCCGAGTTGGCTGAGATGGCCAAGAAGCCCAAGGTCGAAGGCGAGGAGGGGAATGGCGACGCGCACGAGGTAGAGCAGCTCCGAGCACAGAACCAGGCCCTCCGAGCGCGCAACCAGCAGCTCGAGGAGGAGGTGGCCCAGCTCCGGGCTCAGTTGGGTATGCCGCACACGGGGCCGTACGGCTACCAACCCGAAGGGACCATGGAAGGCCACGACGCCCCACTCTAAGCGAAGTACTTCACCTCGCTCTTTCGTTCACTTATACCCGCTTCAGCTGCAAGACTGACCAGGTATGTGACGCTTGAAAACAGGGCTGGTCGTTGTACAACTCTGTCGAACTTGTGCGCTTCGTCCAGTCGAGCCGAGCTCCGTCTTCGTCCCAACTGAAAGGTGACTGCAAAGCGCGCTTGCTTTTCGGCTCCCTCTACCCCCCTCCACCTTTTATTTCTTCTCCTTCGCTCTCTTTGCGCTCCGTTTTGTGTTTGCCACCCGCGCATTACCACCGCCGCTGTGAATACCGCTGCTCACCACGGAAGCTCCAAATAATACCTTCTCTGCTTTGCTTTCTCTGCTCACGGCGTTCGCCACACCGCGCATGCGCCAACGCGCCAACAGCGCTTTTCCGTTCATTGCGCTGCCGATCGCCGTCACCGTCATCAGCGTGTACAGCTCGCCTCTGCTGCTGCTGGCCTTCTTCTCTCGTCGCTCATTCGCCGCCGCAGCGAAGCAGCAGCCCCGTGCCACTGCCGCCGTAGCGCTTCGTGCCGCGCAGTGTTTGGCTTCTTCCGCGTCAGCCGCGCCTCAGCCTGTCGCTTCATTGCGCCACTGCCGCCACCTGCCAGTCGCAGTCTGCGCTGTCTGTCTGTCCCTGCTCGTTCGCGCTGCAGCTTGGAGGGCGCCATAGCGCCTGTGGCGACGCAGCCCGACAGCGGTGTCACTAACTTCAAGTGCTGTCTTCTTCGTTAGGTTGCTGATGACGACCCTGGGCATCACACGTCAGTACGATGGAGGAGGAAAGAGGTGGTGCCCCCATCTTGCGGCTTCGTCCTACATCTTTCCTCCTTCATCTTGCTGACGTCGCCAGCAAGACAAGCGTTGAAGAAAAGTAGGGAAACAGACGCGTTGCAGCTCGCTGCAAAAGGACGAAAGAGAAGGAAGATGCTGCCAATGAGCGGTGGTCGTCTCGCTCAGAGCATGAGCGCCCTCCCCTCGGCCGCGAGCGCTGTAGGGAGGATGCTCCACAGGCACCAGACCACGACGTCGCATTTGGCGTTGCCACCATCATCTTCCCCCGCCACAGAGGACGACAATGGGTTTGTGATGTTGCAGCCCGACAAGCCGGCCTCCACGACGGCAGTCGCTCGATACGATTTCGATGGATTTGGAGGGCAGCTCTCCTTTCGGCGAGGAGACGAGATCGTTCTCCTCAACCACCCCCCACTCGCCACCTCCCCATCTTCGCGTCAAACCCCCTACGTATCCTCTTCATCTACAAGCACCTCGTCGTGGTGTGTCGGCAAGCGAGCTATGGACGGCGTCACGGGCATCGTCTACCTACCCGCTTTGAAGCTCCCCTCATCCATGCCATCATCATCTTCTACTTCTGCTGTCGCTTCTCCGACCGGCCCTCGGCGAGGTCGTCTCTTCATCATCGACCACAGCTCAACCAAGGCGCGAGAGGACGAAGAACGACTACAGAAGGAGCACCGTGGCTACGATCACTACGGTAACGCTGTGGAAGACGACGAGCCGCCAGGCACGACGAAGCGGAAGGAGAACTACGGAGTCCAAGTTGTGGGGTTCGTGCTGGTGCTGCTGGTGCTCTTGTTCGTCTTGGGCTGCCTCGGGCAGGCTGGGTGGGGCCTCGCCCTGCTGGGCTTCCTGCCTCGCTTGGCTTCTCTCTTCGATCGCCTCGTCCAGCGACGCTTCCTCTAGCTGGCGCCATGCACGTCACCATCATCTCTCTCTCTCTTTTGTTCCTTCATCATCATCATCTTGTTGTAGAGTGCACAGTCAAGAAATTTGTACCAGTAATCGTTGTTTCATTCAGCTCTCGGACTTAAAGCTCACCTTGATGATCTCCCTCACGTTCGAGCTGCCATCTGATGGGGTCGATGATGAAGGAAAGAGGAGAGAGAGAGGGTAAGTTGCCGATCGATCATATGATGTGATGGGTTCCAACCTTTGATGACCTTTTCGACAGTGGTCTCGAACAGGCCGTCCTTCTTGACCATCTCCTCGAACTGTCGGCACCCGCCGCCCACAGAAAAGTAATAGTTCTTGGCCGCCACGTAGCTGCACGCGACACACGACACACACAGCACACACAGCACACACGGCACACGACACACCCATGAGTCAGAAGGAATATTGGGTTGGCGACTTGATGGAGTCGAGTGTGCACCAGACGCCATGAGGCGGCTTGAGGCAGTGCTTGATGAGGGCAAAGAGTCGCGGCAGGCTCTGCACGTTGTAGATGGTCTCGGCGGTGAGGATCACATCGTAGGCGTGTCGCGGAAGCAGCTCCTATCAACAAACCCGCGTGCGTGAGATCAAGCAGCACACGGCAGCGGAGAGAGCCGAAGGCTGGCAGCGCACCGTGAGCAGGCCCCAGTCGCCGGAGTAGAACTCGACTCGCTCCATCGTCTCCTTGTTCTCCTCCGCTGCGTTGAGCCGCGCGTTCGGGATCGTCAGCAGCTCGAGCACCTCCGAGTTCTGTTGCCCATTACCATAATGAGCACTCGGTTAATCTTCGCTGTGGTCTGCTGGTTCATCACTGCATACAATACACCAACAGGGCGGTACGTACATAGTCTTGAAGGTGAACTTCGGCGCCTTGCTTCCACAGGTAGATGCCCGGCACGCCGTGCCCGCAGCCCAGCTCGAGCACCTTCTTCCCGGCGTAGCTCACGCCGTGCACCTTCTCAGTCTCCTGGAGGTGCGCGACCAGGTCGGCAGCGCCCTCCCACAGCTTGAAGCCTCCTTCATACACCCCGGGGGCAAGGTCCGAGCTGCCGATGACTTCCGCGACTGGGGTGCGGAGAGAGTGCGTTAAGTTGAGCGAACCAGCCAAGCAAGCCAAGGGACCTGGTGTCCGTTGATGAACGAGGCGGCAGCGTAGACACGATACCCTTTCCGAACTCGTCCTGCTGCTGCTCGGCCATGAGGTCGAGGCACTCCTGCAGGGCCTGGGATGGCACGGTCCACTTGCGCACGGTCGCCTCGCCCAACACAACGTCTTCCACCTGGATGAATGATTTGAGTAGGAGCATTTAATCTCGAGAAATTAAACCATGGAGAGAATCAGCAAGACGTACGGAAGAGACTTTCTTGATGATTT